GATGATTAAACATATATTTGCTACGCAGGTGAATACATATATATTTTCACCCTGTACATTAAATAATGGATAGACAGTGTCGTAAAGGGAACGACCTACTGTTCCACTTTGAATACCTATAAGTTTTGGCAAAACCACGCTACAATATTTTGGTATTAAATCATCCCTTGTGACAAAATATAGCGTGCTCCGTGCAGGAATGAATAAACTATCTATCGTTAAAAAAGACGAAATCTAAGGCTTTTACACGGTTAATTTAGACTTCGATCCCCAGGAAGTAGATATATAAAAACAAAAACTCGATTCGACTTCATCATATAATTTAAGTAAATTAGTATAGTTTTTTATTTTTTAGACCAGCCTGGAGTTCACGTGATGGTTGGCGAAATACTCCAGCCATATAACATTTAAACAAGAGGCGCTGTGGTATTTTGGCATATCACAATTGTAAAATCGCATTTCCTCTAAAGATTTAGTAGACCTCTTTTAGTAATACGCAGGTAACAGATTTTTATTTAATTATAAATCCCGTTTAACATATTGCTAAGTAACTACCCACTGACCCACGAAGGTAGTTAATAAATGGTATACGTGTCAATATAATGGTAGTATACAAACTATTAAAGTAAAAAGTTCTGTGACAAATGACTGTACAAAAGCAATGCAGCATAAAAGATGTCATAGTTCCCACCAAAATAAACAAAATGCAGAGTTCACCAAACTTATAATTGTCGTCTTTTTGCGTTAAAAATTCGAATGTAGTGCAAGTTTGCATGACCTAATCCAACTTGACTATAAAATATAGCGTAAAGCTTGTTGTACACCGATCCCTAAATATAAAAAAAAAAATATAATTATTCTCATAAAACGCAGTCATGTAGTATTTAGTTGTATTACAGTTTACCCAAACATAAAAATATTTAAAAATAATTCATGTAAAGATGTTTAAAAAAGGTATCAGAAAACATTTTACTGTATATTTAGGAAATGCCTAGGTACAAATATATGGTGTTGCCAAGAACGGTTCTTATCTAAAGAAAATATATTACTATACTATAAATCGCCAAGTACAGGCCACGAAAATCAACTCGCAATTTCGTCTCTATAGAAATTCAAGCTTTGTTTGGTTTGACGTACATTACTTTATTTATTTATTATAAAGACAATTAAAACGGCGATAGCCACTTACATTAATTGGATAGAAGTACACAATAGAATTACACTTAAAAATAGAGTATGCATCAATTACATTAGGACAAAATTTAAAAATCAGACAATTCTCTCAGTATTGATGACCAGTGATCTGCGAAAAGATCACATTTGGGTCTTAACTTGAGGAGAGCGTTGAGCGAGGTTAAAATTCGTGGTATCGGCGAAAACGCGCGAGCAGAGGTGCGACCTCTCGGGACGTCAAAGAGATCGTGTCTTCTAGCGCGGCCATAGTTGTTCGGTACAAACAGTCGACAGAAGGCTTCCCTCAAATAAGTATCATCGATTTGGTTTCGAAACAACTTACAAGCTACAACTAATTGCCCACGAGATCTGCGACTTTCAAGAGAATTAAAGCCAAGCTGTCCTAATAAAAACAAGGTCGGATACAAGTAGGGGTAAAAACCGTATTGGTGTTTGTAAAGAAACCGCAGAAAGGCTTTTTGGATCTTCTCAAGCATGAGTATATATTTTCCCTCGTGAGGGTTCCACACGGACGAACTCGATTCCATCTTACTGCGGACAAGACACATATATACAAGGCATATCGCATGCCTATTGCGAAAGTCGCGAACATTGCGCAGGACAAATCCAAGGCGTCGAAATGATTCCTTGGACAGTTCGACTATATGATCGTGAAAGGTCAATTTGCTATCAAATGTAACGCCTAAATCATTAACAAGGGATTTCCTTGCTATCGACGAACCATTAATTTGATAATCGTATATATATGGATGAAATCTTCGACTAAAAGTCATCACTTGACATTTGGATAAATTAAAAATAAGCTTATTATCGATGCTCCACTGTTCAATGGCATTAATATCATTTTGAATAGCATAGCAGTCGTCATACGATTTAACTTCTGCAAAAATTTTTAAATCGTCAGCATACAAAAGACACCTTGTATGCGGCAAAACTGATGGAAGATCATTCACCATGATAAGAAACAACAAAGGACCTAATATTGATCCTTGACTAACTCCGGATCGCGTGAAATAGGGCTTAGAATCATAAGACCCAAGTCTGACAAATTGCTGGCGATCACGAAGGTAATCTGCAAAAAATTTTATTAGAGTTGTGCTAAAACCTATAGCGCTGAGCTTACTGAGAAGTATATCGTTGTCCACACGATCAAATGCCTTTTGTAAATCGAAATACAGCACGTCGACCTGAAGACCATGATCTAACCCAACCGAGATAAATTCCACAAGTGTCAAAAGGTTTGTCTCTACTGACTTTTTCCTTCTAAAACCGTGTTGTTCATCACATAAATACTTGTTAACCTGGGCGTATATATATTTATGTAAAATACTTTCGAATAGTTTAGCTGGTGACGAGGAAATAGCAACAGGTCGGTACTCCTCCACCATTGCTTTATTGGAGCTTTTAGGAATGGGAGTAACCCTTGAAAGTTTCCATCTTGAAGGATAGATTCCGGACGTCAGAGAAACATTAAAAATATGATGTAGTGGAACAGAGAAGACATCTCTATATATTTTAATGAAATCTGGCGGGATACCATCAGGCCCAATGGAACTGTTAGATTTCAATTGTTTAATACCAGAAATGACGTCATTTAAAGTTAGACCAACAATATCAATACTATCGTTAAGACAAGTGCCATCGCTGTTATATTATCAGTTGCTAGACGCGTCCAAATTCGCATCGGCAAGTGTTAGCGGCCATATCGTAGTCTACAATTTATTAAATAGACATAGGCCCGGTGTACCTCTAACTTAACGATTGTTTACGACAAAACCCAACATGGTAAAGTCGCGACCGTCAGTACACTTCGGAAGGATATCCGGCCTGACGTGTGGATAAAAGTTTTAGCAAGTCTTTCTTTAACGTCGTAAAAAATAACTCGGTGACATAAACATTTTTTAAATAGTACATAGAAGATACTAGCTAGGTAGAAACGAGGTTTTAAGAGGCCGATACATTATATAAAACTGTATCGTTTAGTAAAAAAAATATTTTTTTTTACTATATGACAAAACGAGAAGGACAAACAATTTGGGTGTTGTCTAAGTATGTAAGTACATAAATATATTTTCATAATCACGATTTTAAATAACACTTTAACTAAGTTTAAACACGTTAATTAAAATTAATAAGTGAAAAAAAAAAACGGGGGCCGGGGGGTGGGCTTCCGGGGGGCCGGGGGCCCGGGGGGGCCGAAAAAAAATTTTTCCCAAAAAATTTTATTAATTAATCCCCTTTTTAAACCGTTAAAGTGTTTTATTTAAATGTGTACTACTCGCGTAAACTATAGACAGTATATAATCACAATAATTAAAAATTAATAAGGGGGTATTTAATAAGTAATATGTATGTGTAATAAAAAGGGTTTATATAGATATAAGTCTTGTCAGGGGTGCGACGTCTGTTTGTGTAATGTCTGTTTCATTGTCTTTCAATGTAGCACATCTTCCTCGACCAGTTAATATTATCTTAAGATGTCTACCGTTAAGTCTTAATAGAAAAAAAATATAACACGCTTTTGAACGGCTGTACATTTTTTACATATTTCAGCAATAAAATTGTACACCTAATTAAAACTGAATAACTTGTGTCTGTTAGGCTAGGCTAAATATATTTATAAGTTTGAAAACAAAGTAAGCTCGTGTTATCTTTTTTCAATCTAGATTTTTATTTTTATATAAAAAATCATATTCAAACAAAGCGAAGTTTAAACAGATATAAAACAATCTTTTTTTATCATAATGTACTACTTGTACCATTGTTCTGAATTTCTGACAAGCTACAAATTATAAGACTATCTATCGTATATAAGCAAAATGTAGTGATTCAATTTCATTGTGAATCGCATGAAAATGCAATGTGTTGCGTCACTTCCAATTAATTACGGTAGGGGGAGCAACAGGCAACACTCGTTAGGCCGTATCGCCCTCGTCAGAACTTCCAACGACTGCATTGTGCAAAACCTCAGTAATAAACCGCAACACATTAATTAAATCCACCGCTTTCGCTCTATTTTAAGTGAAAATGTATTTTTATTACAAGAGACAATAAACCTGTATGCAGTAACTAATTTATAAGTACTGTATTTTTAATTTCAAGATATATGAGTAACTAGCTAGGGTCGCGAAGAATTGTTAGTGTCGGCATCAAAATTTATTTTTGCAGACCTTCCCATCTTAATAAATTACCCACGATGTCATCTGCGTCCCGTCGTTGTTGCAAGTGTATCTTAAAAGATAGACATATACCGTCGCGGTTTTTTTCCAGATCATTTAAACAGGAATTATTCTTTCATACATATTATAAGTTTCTCAGCGCGCACGCAACAGAGGAGGACATCATAATATTCCCCGTTTTTTCCACATTTCCCTCTGTTTCTCCGCTCCTATTGGCCGCATCATTATTCCGTAAAGCCTCAAAGTCTCTTCATGATAACACTCTGTTAAATAGCTCTATAATTGTTCCCACCTGGGACTAAACCCTGTCTGTATCTCTCTCAAGTACACATTAAATTTACCTCCAGGTACCCGAAACATTTGACGTCATAACCGGCATACCTCTAAGCAAACGTTGCTTTCGAAGAGCACTGCCCAAATACGCTTGTAAGACACAAGCAAAAGGGCTAGTAAAAAGTGACAAAACAGAATTTTCGCGTCCTCATAATTAGACATCACTAAAACACTTTATATCTATGATATTCGTTTGTTTATTTCTGACGTATTTTTCAGGTTCCAGCTGTGACGTCAACAGCAATCAATAATTACGAATGCAAATGTACCGCTTATTCAATATCGCGTGCATAGATGCTGTTAACTTGGACCTGGCGGTGTAATATGCCAGCGCTCTGGCAATCGTCTCAGCGGCCTATGTACATAAGGACGGTTTGGGTAGACGGGTTCCGCCACGCGATCCTAACACACGACGATCCTTGCTACCTTAAACTGAGCGCCAAACGGAGACCCCATTCTTCGGCGAGCGCTCAAAAGCAGAGCTACACTAACTCCCGTTTGAGCCACAGATCCGACGATCTGCAGGACTGCTTACGAAAATTGCAGCTAGTCAACGAAAAACACCCGCCAGAGACAAGCGTCGAGGAACTTCACCTATCGGACGTGGAATCTGAGGAGGAGATCAGAATACCGGACGTCGAACCAGACACCCCTATGGCTAAAGCCAAATCCAACCGCACAGCGCGGACAGAAGCAAAAGATACGGACCTATCAGACAGAGTTCTACAATGGCTAGACCTAGCCGGTAAAGTGGATTTACTGAAGGAGGACAGCGAAAGGATCTCGCAACCGCGCCACAGCTGGCCAGAAATCCAGAGGCGGAATTTGATCAAATCGAAGACATCAGCGGATTTGAAAGCGAGGGAGCCAAAAACGAGCGCGGGTCCTATCGATCGGCAGGAAATTTATGTGACGACGTCGAACACGATCGAGAACTACGCACGCCAGTCACGTAATCCCAAAACGCGACACGAGAAAGCGAAGGAAAACAAAAGGGTCAAAGACATGAAACCGAATATTGTCGAGACGAGACAGAAAGTGGTGATGGAGAGGACCGCCGTTGAAAAGCAATACGCCGAGTTGGTGAACAAGAAATTAATACCAGATGTGGGCAAAACCAAGAAGCAAGTACACATCTTCATGCCGGAAGCGTTGCCGAAGAGAACGGATTTAATAACCAGTAGGACGCAGAGTTTGCTGTCGCAGAAACTTTAGACCTAATTGCAATAAATGTAAGTTTTATATTTAAATGACTAGATTTGTTGCATCTTATCAGCGTATCTCGACCGAATTGTAATGAAAAATTAACATGATCGTTCAACGTCGACATTCGATTTGGTCGACAACCTTTGACTATGAACCTTAATTAATCCATAAGATAATTTAAAATTAGTTTTCGTGGGTGTATTTTGAAATTACCGTCATCGAGGCACAGAGTGTCAATTTAATCTTTTATATATTTTGTTACGAAGTTTAAACCGCACATAGTGTAAATACATATTTTCTTCTAAATAAAAAAAAATTAAACATTTAATAATTCGTTACTTACCCCATACCCAACAGTAGCAACATCCCTGGCTTGAAACCTGGATCTTAAAGGCGGGTCCAGGGGCTGACCAGTGTACCTCGGCACGGGCAATCCTAGAGCAATAACTCGAAAGTTCTCATCAACCCGAACTAGACGCCACTTGGCTACCTCCTCTGCACCATGCTCCTAAAATATAAATATAAACATTTGAGGTACAAGAAGGATGATAGTAGCAAACAGATCTGATCAATATGAGCCTGCACTATTCAACCAAATCAGAAATGGTTATTATGTCGAAACCATTTCTCAATCATAATAAAATACAAGGCCAGGTATTATTTTCTATATAAAGGTAATATTTCTATATTCTTCAACAGAAAGACTGCTTGAAAGTCTGCATTATCTTCTAATAATTTCACCCATTTTCGCTATAGGGAGAGGTAAGCTAATGAGATGATAATTAAAACAAATAGTGTTACTATAAAGAATTAAATTTATTTAATAATTACCTCAAGCAATTTGTCGTACCTCGACGATGGGATTAAAAATCTGCCATCTTCCAAATGCATCTCTCTGTTTTCCAGCAAATTGTTGAGCACTGGCAAAACATTGCGTTCAGCTTTTTCAATACCTTCTATCACAAGAATCCGTCCCTCTATGGCTGCTCTTACTGCACTCTACAAAAAAGATAATTATAATTAACAAAATGTGTTAAAAAGGAAAAAAAACAGTATTGTTAGAGCTTTATACATTTTTGGCCTTTTGTATATTAATCTAAAACCTTTTGGATTTCCGAATAATTCCAATTCCCAAAGCCAAAATTCGATGTCAGTGCATCTTGTTGAGATGTTATCTGACTGGAGTATTTCATCTACCAACAAGTCAAACCCATGTCAATGAGTTTATTTCTCAATAATCCAAAGCCTTTAAAACATCACCTGATCAAAGTACTTTGCTGTAGAAGACTGTATTTCTCTTCTTTGTTTAAGATCAGCTTCTGTTGTGTCTCTTGATAGTGCAACATACTCCAATTCTCTCTGTGTTAGCTCTAAATACTGAAGTGCTACTTTTCGCCTTTAAAGGAATTATAATTGTTTTTCAAAATAAATAAGTATATTTTTACTTAAGCTACATAAATATAGAGTACAGAAGTTTATGAATATATAATCTTACAATCACAATTAGTAAAAACTCTGCATACACATATATTTAAAGACAACAGTCTAAACAGAACATATAATTCATTATTTATTTTATTATTATTATTAATTCATACAAAGTTGTTGTGAATTATATAATTTAAATATATACCTGCTTGGTCCAGGTCTTCCTAATAAAAACATGTCCTGGCCAAGTAGATCTTTTTGCATCATCCATCTTAAGTTACGGAGAGCACTTTGTGGCAAATTTTTGAGCTCTGAACTTTCTATTGTTACTGGAATAAAAGATAGAATTAAGTTTTATATAATGTTAAAATGAAATAATTCGTGAAAACCTACAGACAGAGAAGTAAACATGAAAATAATTATTTACTTACAATAGTTTCTAGGGATGTATTCTATCCTTTTTGGCGACTTTATCTCTTTGCTAATATTCCCGATGGTCACCCTTCCTTCATAAGAGCAAGCACGCACTAAGTTTTGCTGTACAAGTGTTTTTCTCCCATTTAAAATTCGCACCAAAACATCTATCCTCCTCACAGTTACAGCTGGGTTGAACCCCATTTTAAATTGAATACCTCTTAAAATAGATGTAACTGCTTTTGGTCTTTATTCTAGTTTCATTTTACAACTTAAATAACTCATGCTGACCACACAGAAAAGTTGTGTTTTTGCGATAAAATTTAATTCCGCAAGTTCAAAGTCTATTACATATTGTTTTGAAACTATACTATAGTCTATACACAGTATAGTTAAAACTATCTAGCTTCTTGTCAATGTCACTCGACAGGTGCAAGTATAGCTTTTGACATCGATTATATTTTGTTGATAATACAGTTTACAAATAAAATTATGTCTCATTACCAGGCCATTAAATAATTTTAAAAAATTGTTTTCGAATCTGCGATTGTTTATATTTGTTATACAAATACATTAAAAACACTTCTATACAAGAAGAAAAATGTGAAGTGAAAATAAGACTTGGCTTAAAGTCTTCGTTACCAGGCTATTAAATATTAAAAAAAGGAAAAAATAATCATTCATTTTCTTTTATACATCTCCAGAAAGAGAAATTATTTCCCGTTTGATAATCTGCTTATATATCTTGAATTAGTCAAAAACGACACTGGTATACCTAGTATCTTAAAATGTTAGGCATATAATATGTTTGTTCGGGCGTAGGTATACCTGCAATTACATATTCAAAAATATAAAATAATAATGAAACACATTTTAAGTGACCGAAGAAGTGTAATAAAAGCAATTATTAATTATATTTATATATTCTATTAAACACTACGATAATAAAATCTAGATAGTGTAGTAAATATTTTGTAATTACTTATTGCTTAATAAATGACGTCAATACAACAATAATACCTTATACTTAGTTCTCAACATCAATCATCGTCAATAAAATGGGTGAATAAAAAAAGACCTTAATTAGGCATTTAAAATAAGAAAAAGCATATACCTCTATTTAAATAAAACACTTTCACTAGTTTAAAACACTACTTATATTACTTAATATGTTTTTTATCAATCCTAACTACGGTCCGACGTTTGCGTAAGTGATCGCTGCTGCCAATAAGCATCCGAAACGTCGGGTCGTATAATATATTTCGCATCTTCAATTGTTAAATGTTTTATTTAAATGTGCACTACTTGCGCAAATTACAGACAATACAGAATAAACGTGTAGTTTTGCCTAAGTATTTGAAATACATAGTGTTGCCTGTTTTTTGCACACTAACCTTTTTACAAAAGTTATATCATTTTGAAAATTATAACAAGAAATAGTTTTTAAACAAAATTACAAATGTGTACAGTATACCACTTTGAAGGGAACGTATAATGGAAGAATTTGGACCATCCAGTCAAAAATTACAAATGATTGTTTTGCGTGATAGAAATAGATCAATATTCTTAAACATAGATTATAAATCAGTACATTCATAAACAAAGTGTTATCTGAGACTTTTGATACATCTTAATTCTAGACCCTTTTAAAGTTTTGTTAATTACTCTTTATTAACATCGTCGTCCATTGGTTCAATCTTAACACTGACAAAATCTGTCGGCTCCAGCTCATAATCATTATCCACCACTTCCTGTTTGCATACAACTTGGGTGATCGGCTCCAAGGCACTCACATTCACTTCTGTCTCTTGCTCACCCCCGTTAACTTCCTCTTCATCACCGGGCTCTGTGTCCGTGGTGGGATCTGGTTTTTCTGCAAGCTTAATTCGCTTGAAGTGGAAGTCGTTAATAATGTTCGGGACTTTTCTCTTCGGAGGCCCAAAGATGCTGGTCATGGTTGTTTCATCTAGTTTGAGGTTACATTCGCGCGGTTCCAGCTTCGTGTAGTAGTCTTTGATGTTCACTTCATTGCCGTTTAGTCCATGCCTTTTTCGAAGGTGCTTTATCATTGTACGTCGAACGTTGTAGGACTTTTTGCAGCATTTGCACTAAAAAAATATTAAACATGTGTTAATTCTGTAAGAAACACCGTATACAGAAAGATAGAGATAGACGCAAGACAAAAGAGAAGAGAATCGATAAATTTAAATAAATTAACGGTTTAAAACGCGATATATTAGTTAAACTTATTTGAAAATGATTTTTAACATCGGCCCGACGTTTCGGATGCTTCGCAGCAGCCGTGGTCACGGGGAACTAATATATCGCGTAACTTTAAACCGTTAAAGTGTTTACAACATTCTAAAAGTTATACATAACAACAGTATAGAATCAATCAAATTAAAAAAGTTATTGCTAAAAGTTATCATTCTATCTTTAACAAAAAATTTAAAAAAAAATATTTTGATCCTTGATAATGATAATGTTGTCTAATGAAAACTCACCCGGAAGAGATTCTGAGTGCTGTGCGTCATGACGTGGTACCTCAGCGCCGTCATACTGCCCAACGCCTTGGGGCAGATGGGGCACTTGTACGTTCTGTTTGTGTGTATCGAGCGCAGATGGCGAAGCATGTAGCGTTCGTCGTTGTACCGCTTATCTATTAAAAAAGGTTAAATTTCAATCATACAAAATAGAGGAAATTTTGTCGTGAAACACTGTACCTGTATAGTAAAAATTATTAAGTTAACGCCCGTAGGTCACATAAAAAAAACCGTGATCGTGGTTTGCATTGTAAAGTATCTTAGTTAATTTATTATCAACTCCGGCCCTACGTTTCAGATGCATTGCAGCAGCTTAACTCTATTACATTAATATATTTCGCATTTTAGACTGTTAAAAGCCAATTTGAAAGTAATAGTGTAGTTAAATATATTTATATAAATATAGGTTGATGTCACATCTTGTTTAGAAGTTCTGGCTCACCTACTATTAAGTGAACCGCGCGGTTATCTATCCTTCTGTACCATAAAAAAGTAGTCATTTTAAATGTTCTGGCATAAGATTGCACTTCCGTTTTGTAATTGGATTTTTTGTTAACAATATGAAACGTCTTTCGAATGAAACACAACTAAAAATTCTTAACTAGCCTAGAGCTAACGAGTGTACTTTAAATAAACGAAATATTACATATAAAAATAAATTCTATAAGAATCATTCTTACCACATAAAGGACATTTGAAATTGTCACTTTTCTCAGCGTGAGTCTTCATGTGTTCGCGAAGTGAACAAGCACTAGTAAATATCTTCCCACATACAGTACATGTTTCCAAATCTGAAGAAAAAAAAATAAAATAAATGTTTAACTCTCATAATTTAGCTTGGAGAATGCGAAAAAAAACGTTTTGTTTGTAAAAAAACATATGGTATAATATTTCAAAACAAATTTTTGTATCCGTTTCACTGGTCAATCTTATTTACAGAAAAGCAATTGTTCAGCTGCTGTACTACTTGTTTCGTGGTTCCTTTAACGCTTCGATAGGCAACATGTTAAACCATCTAAAAGGCGATTGTTATTATCGGAGATAAAATCTAAACAAAGATCTCTTACGTTTAACGCTTTAATAGGCAACGTGTTTAACCATCTTAGCTAACCTAAACATGTGTGGTATCACTGAAATGTAAAGAGTAAGCATGTATTGCTTGTATCGTTCGCGAATTGCTCGTTAGCGGCATTTCATACCTGGGTATATAAGCAAGTTATAACTTTTATACTATATTAAGAACATTTTAATTTCTTACAAAGAATAGAATATTTTTTTTTATAGAAAAAGTTTATATCTTTGGGGTATAAAAAAAAACCCCCTCGCTTCCTATGTACTTCGCCCTAACTGATCTTGGTACTATTGCTTTGAGAAACGGACCTGTAGCGAATTATCTTGTAAAACAGATTTAAATGTCGTCCATAGCAAACCCGTATCCGATCTAGTCAGCTAAGGGCGTTGTACAAAGTAATATTGTTAAACATATATCATACAAAAAAGGTTTAGGAAATTTGGAAAATAGCCTGCTTTATGTATAAATATTTAAAAGTGGAATCTGCAAATGAGTTTTAATTCAAACGTAACAATCTTTTGAGGCTGTAACTGTACAAGGTAGATAAGTACTCACTTTCTCCAGTATGACGTCGTATGTGATAATTGAGTTTGGACTTCTGTAGAAAGGTCTGACCGCAATACAGACAAGCATAGGACCTGTCCTTCGAATGAGTCCTGCAAAAGTGGGGTTTGATAACGTTAAAGAGAAACAATTGATCATTGAATGTCATCTTTCGAATCATGCTATCCTTGCCAATCATTATTTTAAATTAAATGGATTTTAGTTATTGATAAAAATTGAGCTACCGTCTCTTGAAATGGTTAGAGCAACAGCGCGTAACGCTGTGCCATTCAAGTACTGTACGTATCGTAATTTTTTTTTTCAATCTTAAATCGATTTTTAATTTATATAATGCCATCATGTGTAATAACATGTGGAAATTATTAATGTTTCCAATCCTTGTTTTGTTGAGCTTTTGTAGAGGAAATTAATTCCACTTTTCCACTTGTGTTGTTTTAGCTGTTGCATGCAATGTAATTTCAACCTTAATACTTACGCATTAAGATTCAATCTCCTATGCTTTGCAGCTTTTAAAAATCATTAAAAAGCGTTACGAACTAACTGGAAATTAACCCTTAAATAAGTCCTTACTTAACCTTATTCTTACTTACCGAGCGTGCGATGTGCATGCACCCTTATCGGCGAAGGTCTTCGGGCAGTGCGGACACGTGTACGGCCGTTCGCCAGTGTGTCGCCGCTCATGACGCAACATGTTCGAGCGTTGGACGAATCGCATGGGACAGTAGGAGCACGCGTGCCGCGGCCCTTCGTGTATTTGCACGTGCTCGCGAAAGGAATCTTTTTTCTGAAATAACAAATCTTGTCTGTCTCTTTCTATTCACATATGTGTAAGTGAGAAGAATAATGATGTTGGTCTCGATAGTCAAGCTGTGTTTATCTCTTTCTAGACACATTTAGTAAATAGATACATAAATAAAGCAACCAATGAAACAGGTATATAAGTATGATATATAAATATGCTCGCAACAAAATTGGTATCAAGTTGAGAGCCAATTTTAAATCACAAAAAGTTAGTGGACATAGCGAGAATATAGGACAGATCGAAATATTGACGAAACTCTTTCTTTTACTTAACATGTTTTCAATTTGCATATAGTCTTATCCTATATTTTTTTTAATAGAGTTGGACAGACAAACATGGGAGATCACTTGATGGTAGGTGATGTGCGCTGTTGACCCATCTTTGAATATTCGGAAATATTCGAAAAACTTCACGGCTTTTTTCATATCATGACATCACATTGTCATTTAATATTCAGATTTTCAGACGAAGCCAAAAAATTTTCAGAAACATTTTAAATGGACTAGATACAAGTCGAACCCACCACCAGTCGATTATTAAGCACGGATTACACGAAAAAGCTCGTCAACTTTTAAAGTTACTTTTTAACGTAGTTTGCTGAGACTTACGGCGAATATCTTTCCACAGTAACTACAAGTATAGCTCTGCTTGTTTGGCAAATGGTCCTGTTTGTGCATATACAGTGAGGACTTGTATTGGAATGATTTCCCACACTCCGTGCATTCAAAAGGGTGTCGGCCTGGATGTCGCAGTAGGTAATGTAACTTCCTGAAAATAGAATGCAAACTTTTTAACACTTCATTTAGTTAGAGGACCCATAATAAACCTCCACAGACGCTCAAATAATATTTATGTTGTTTAAGCAAGACGCCAAGCTGTTTTGGTCTTATACATAGGTCATACTTGTAACATTTTTGGCACTAGTGAGATGGTTCTAATGACCAATAAATGATTGTTAGTAATTAACTTATATAAAACATGTACAAGGGAGTTTTGGAAAGAATCACACATCAAAGTAATGAGTAGTGAATGTTTTTCTAATAACTAGTGCGTTATAAAGCTGAAAAAGTTTAACAAGTTTGTTTTGAATCCACAAAAAAAAGAAAAGAGTAGTACCTATCGTAATCATATAAAGATGAAATTTTTTTAACTCTCGGAAACTACTGGTTTGAATAGTTTTTTTTTGTGCATTTATCAATGAAGGATATAATATGTAGTCTATAAAATGTGAAGCTGTGACCAATATGAGAGAAAGGGAGAGGGTGGGAAATGTGGAAAAATGAGGTTTCCAAAAGAACAACAAACCATTTTGATGACCAAAATAACTACAGTAGTGTACGAAGTACGCAGGGACGAAGTCGCTGCATGTAGTAGTATTATTTTCTTGTGAATTAAATCAATCAAAATACATTATAAACTACCACAATGATTCCTAATAACATCACTTAACAAGAGTGTTTGTGGCGAATACCTTTCATCAGCAGTTTGCAGCATATCCTTACACAGCTTGCACTTGAACTTGCCAACGATACCGTGCGCCTGCGACACGTGTGTGCTGCAAGACCTGGCGTTCGCGAACTGACGGTTGCAGACGTGACAGCTAACAATCTTAGGCTTGGTATCACGGGTAGTAGCATGGACAGTCTGTAAGGTTTAATTCATAAATTTGACAATGCGAAAAATACAGCCTCAATTACTGTTATCAGTATTAAGAATAGGTTTAGAAATAGTATAACTGTTAAAAATAATAATAAATTACATAAAAAACCGCAAATAAAAATTAACCTTTATAAACATTCACGTAGCTCAAAACGCTCCTGATTGATCTGGTTTATGATGACGTCACTTGCTTATAAACAATGCAATAAACCACCGAGCTTCATAGTAATAAAACTGTTCTGTTCTTTACATAAATAAATAAATTTGTAACTCATTTCATTACATCAGTCACTGTTAAAACGTAAATTTTCGGTACACGCATGTAGATTGTAGATTATATGACCCATATACACCAATGGCCAATTTAAGGTCGTGAGGTCACTAGCTGTATTTCAGCTTTATTTCGCAAAATTAGCGTTAAGGCGCGCAATGTACATATTGGATTTTCAATTTGATATATTCAGCAAGTAGGTATCAGAATTAAAAAATACTACTTATCTGGGGTTGCTTAACATCTACTAAATAATATGAAGCCGTTAGAGATAGAGAAGGCTAACTGCAATTAACGACATTACTTTTTTTAAATTTTTATAGTCTAAAAATTTTAAACTACAAGAGCAGAGTGAAAGAAAATAGTTAACATAATCTTACACAAATAATAGTACAAATTCATGTTCTCCTAGGCAATAGGCCAATTTTTATTTTTCTCCTTATTGAATTCATGTCAGTTCAGTCAAATAGCCTATTACTGCTTGGTATTGGTTTTTACAAAAAAATATAAGGAACCTCTTACCTTAACATGAACTTTTAAAGACTTCTTAGCGCTTAACGGTCTGAACTCGCAAGTATCCAACGAACAGTACAACTTCCTCGCCTCTGGATGAAACTCCTCAAAATGACTACGCATATCATCCACACTGGACATAATGAGACAGCACAGGCAACATTTGAGGAGGTATGTCTTTGATATGGTTTCTTCATTGTAATGTTTGTGAATGTAATGATGAATGAACCAAACCTGTAAATAACACATTCCAATATATTGGATTTGGACTATTTTATACTGTGTAAACTCTTTATAACACTGTAACTTGGAGAAAATTTAAATATTTTTGGTTAGTAAATAATCAATTTTCTTAGGATAAAGAACCTTACCTTATCACCAAAAATCAATGAACACTCCTCACACTTATAGAAGTGCTCTTTAAATTTATCAAAATGTGAATTGATCTGGTGCAATTCGCGATCCGGTTCATTCCAGAACAACGTCGGACAATACTTGCATTTGAAACCGAGGTGGGGACTAAAACAATTATCAAATTCCAATTCATTCCAATGAAAGGATAAATGTTGCCTTGTCTCTTCACGGTTATTAAATTCCTTATCACAAAACTGACAAATCCATAAATCTTCAAACTCTCCCATTTCCTGCAGAACATGGGCATTCAACGAATGATTTGTGTCGAAAGTTGTAGCACAGACCCTACAAGAATAGAGTGGGTCTGTTTTGATAGAATGCATTTTATTCATGTGCGTGGTAAATGTTGAAATATCTTCAAACTTTACTTTGCAAATTGTACATTCCACCTCCTTTATCTCGGTCTTATTATTATAGTCTATTCTGGATACCTCAGGTACAACTCTTTCGTCTATACTCATAAACAACTGTGTAATATAATCATGGAAACATTTTTCCAATAATATTATTTCAGTCAATGTCATATCAAAGTCCTCAACACCTGGATAGTCAATAATTTCTGGATTGACCTCATTTGCTACTTCACTTTTTTCATCATCTACCTTACTATCATCATCACTCACCAATTCTTTTTTAATATCAGATACATTGCTAATTTCTGCTGTCGGCTCAGGTACCGGTTCATCAAGACTAATTGGCATATCCATTCCCATATAGCCGCACCTTGTTGAACCTTTCAATTCATTGTCTATGAACTGTGAACTTACATCTACACCCTTTACAAGGAATGGTGGATCTTTACCAGAAACTACACTGGCGAAGCATTTTAGTGTGAAATGGTGATAGCCCATATAATGGCTAAAGAATGCTGTTAGTAAATTATCAGTCTTCGAGCACAAGAGACATAAGAATGTAGCCTCAGTTTCAAGCTCCCACATAGATCCATAAATACATGAGACATTTGACACATTATGCTTTTGCAACAGATGTGTATCATAGTTGTTATCAGCAGGTACTCTAAAATGACAGAGACGGCAGTGTACGAGATTGTGGTTGTTTCTAAAGTGGTCTCGTAACAATTCTTCAGTTGGAAATGATGCAATGCATTGTGAACATGGCCACGGAATGTGAAATGATTCATGCTCAATCCAGGCTTGTCTGTCAGGAACAAAGTATCTAAAACAATGAAAATAAAATACTATTACAATGTATCAGTGATTGGTAATAATATATATTATGGTTATAGTTATAAACTGATACTAAAGGTAGAAATTAATAATTGCACAAAAAAATTATGGAGAGCTGTGTAAGTCAACCTCTAACTATGAACTTAGTATTAATACTGACCTGCATATGCCACAAAAATCCTTTTTGTGATTTAAGACATAGTGCATAATAATTTTTGGCCTATTAATAAACCAATCGGAACATAACAAACAACTGTATGGTCCCGTTGTATTGAAATCTTTCAAATAAAGCCAAACATCAGTTGGTCGTTGGACCACAGATGGTACGGCTGATGTATTTCGGTTTAATTTGATAGTTATAGCGAGGTTCTTCAACAGTCCCTTGCTTTCATCTTCGTTGGCGAAATCGCCTGGATGCGCTTTCTTAGCATTTGCCAAAACGGACAGAGGCTCATTGTCCGATTCATCGGATTCCATTTCGTTTAGTTATCCAACCGAACTTTCGATTTTACATTAAAAACGCAAACCATGCGAACGCTGAAATCGGAACTTTACTTGGTAAACTCCAGCAAATATATTTAATTAAAATAATGTCACTGTGAATATTGTCAATACACCGCGTCAACATCAACATAATCAATATAGTGCTTTTGACTACAGACTTGTACTGACTGCCGCTGAACAAATATAATATAATAACTCTTTAGTCTATGATTTGGAATTATAAACAATTATTATCATAAATTAAATATTTTAAAATAAATAGTAAAAGCTATTATAATTATTTAATTATAATTTTATATATACCGACATACATTTAGACCATTTTAAAATTCGTTGAATGGAACGTTTTGCAAAAATATCCTGTCGTGGTGGCCATTTTATAGAAATCATATTGTCTATGACAAAATCCAAAGAAAGGTGAAGCTAAACAAAAGGCTAGGATAGATAACAATTGCTTGATTAAGAGTGAACTAAGCACTTAATGTATCTAAATGCATATATTAAAATGCTGCTGGCTCAGTGACTCTCAATATAATAGTATACAGTGTTCTGAACGGTTCATTAAAATGAAGTACATTGCATCGTGTAATGGTGGCCATTAAGAGTAATAATTATGGATATTACTAGCGTACTACTTAATAAATAACTGATAACAGTGTGGTGTGGTGCTTTTATTTTGATCAAGACTGTACAACATGTAAATAAACATATGTGCTATGCCGTGTGAGTGATTTCGGTCGAGTGTAAATAGTAGCCTTACGATGGCCCAAAATCAAGGGGAGATTCAGGTGGCACCGAATCAACCCCTAAATAAGGATAAGGATATTTATGCTTGCCTTCCTGATATACGTACCCATGGTCCCTTGGGACCCGATGAACCGTGTCCTGGTGGCGAAGAATTGCGATGGTTGCCTGCACAGGCCACTGATAGAGACTTGGTGATGTATTTAAGGGCCGCACGTTCTATGGCAGCATTCGCTGGTATGTGTGACGGTGGTTCGCCTGACGACGGTTGCGTTGCCGCCAGTCGTGATGATACTACAATTAATGCACTCGATGTACTCCATGACTCTGGGTATGACCCAGGCCGTGCTTTACAAGCTCTTGTAAAATGTCCTGTCCCTAAAGGGATTGAGAAAAAGTGGTCAGAAGAGGAAACCAAACGATTTGTTAAAGGGATCAGACAATTCGGTAAGAATTTTTTTAAGATAAAAAAGGATTTATTACCACATAAAGACACTGCAGAATTAGTAGAGTTTTATTATTTGTGGAAAAAGACACCCGGTGCTAGCAGTAATAGACCACATAGAAGACGTAGGCAGGCTTTGAGAAGGGTGCGGAATACTAGAAACTCTAGGGCGGGTACCCCCAAAGAGCAAACACCTGAAGCGACACCTCCAATGCCTGAAACTAATGGCTCTCGACCATCACCAAATCCTAAAGAAGGTGCTGAAATGAGTTCTGTTACAGAAGATGAAAATTCGGAAGATGACAGTGATTCACGGGAGGCTGGTGATCTAGCTAAAGTTGAAACTGGTAGGAGTGGAGATAATCCAGATGACTCTCCAAGTAGAATGAGAACAAGAAATAAGTCTAAGGAACAAACAACCCCTATTAAAAAGACTCAAGATGAAAGTGATAATGATATTAAGAATAAGAAACCTACTAAGCCTGTTAACATACCAAGTACAAATACTATTCCCGAGAAAGTACCATCTTCTCCAGTCAGTAAGGATGCTAAAAAGAAAGTTGCTAATGGAAAAGTTGATGTATCTAAAGTTAAGAAACGTCTGCCAGATGATTCCAAAATAGAAGGTATTATGGATGGTGATGTACAAATGAAGAAAAAGAAAGCTGCCGAACCTCCTGAAAGTCCTTCGGAGAGTCTCACTAATGACAGTTTTCCTGCGATGGATGAAACTGAGACACCAGAGGCTGAACCAGAAGCCTGTGACTATAGCTTTAATAAGACTGACAAGGAGAATATAGAGCATAATAAAGAATCAGAATTAGAACAACCAGTGAAACCCAATGAACCGCAAATTAAAATGGAGCCAAGTATTGAGCCAATCATTAAGATGGAGAAGGACCTGTTGCCACCTGTTTTCAAAGCAGTTCCTGATAAAGATAGCAGACCTGCATTAGATTTAAAAACTGATTCAAATTCAGCCAAAAATCATGACAACAATGAAACTCGACCACTTTCAGTTTTCTCTAAGACAGAATTAATCATACCTAAAGTTCATCCTCCAATGACTACAGAGGCAATGGAAAAAATTAAAATTAAGGAAGAAATAGATACAGAGGAGCAATCACTTAATTTACAAAAAGATGAATTTCAAAAAGACCCGCTTGCTCAAAACTATCCCCCTCATTCAATAAATCAAGTGAATAAGCCTCTCAATTTAGAGCATACAAATTTCTTTGTAAAGGACAGCCATATCTACAATCCTAAACTTAGTCACAGCATCAAAATTGAACCTGTATCAAATTCAATATTTAATCCTGTTAACATTACTAAAGATAATAACTCTATAATAAGAAGTGCTAAAGATTTTTCAAGTGGTATGCCTCCATTCTCTTATCCACCTAATATGAATTTTGCAAATGATCCAAATAAACACAATCCTTTAATGAATCCATTAAAAACTGTTATAAAGTTAGAACCAAGAGATGAAGCAAGTGAAATGAAAAATCCAAACACTCCTGAAATATTTACAGCAACAATATCAGCTAACAAGGTGGACTCACCAAATACACCAAGACTTGATTCATTACAGAGAATAAGCCCTTCACCAACAAGTGCCCGAGGTTCAACACCACCAAACATGGACCATCCATCTGCAACCAACACTGAACCTATATCACCTGCAAATATGCAAGAAATTAAGTCACAAGAATTGGAGACTGATGATAAACAGCCTACAGATTTGAAAACTCAGCCTAAGGCTGACAGTCAAAGCGTAAACTTAAGACAACCAATTTTCCCAGCACCAATAAGACCTGAAAATCTTGGAATCAGACCTACAGAGACACCTGCTATACCTGTGTCTGGACAAAGTATGCCTCCTCCACTTAGTCAGCCATCAATTTCAGGCTTGTTACCACCAGGACCACTTATATCCGTGAGTGGTGGGCCTCCTAATGTCGGTCCTTATGGGTTTATGCCCGCGTCATTATATGGACATCATGGGCACCCTGGATTAGAAAAACCCAACTCTATGCCGCCACTAATGCAGCAAGTGCCTCCATCCCATGGTTTGCCTGGAACAGGTTTAATGCAACCACAATCTAATCAATCTGATCCATCAATGCCGCAAGACTTAAAGATAAAACAGGAAGTGCCAGATAATATGCCTGCTAACCTGTCTACACAAAATGTTTCCGATCCATTACAATCACTCAAGGAGGTTAAAGTACCAGGATATCCAATTGGAAGCAGCATTTCACAGCATTTGAATTCCGAGAGAGATAGGGAATCAATGTCGAGTGTCGAAAATAACAGCAGACCACCAAGCCAACCTACAAATGAAAGTTCAAGTATGCAAAGTCCCTTCCTTGGACCTAGAATTGAGAGCATTAAAAAGGAGCCAGATTTTCTTCACCAGCCACATATTACACCGGTTTCTACTAGTCAAGGTAGTGGATCTGACTCAGGAAGCACTCTTCCCCCTGTTAAGAGTCCACAAACACCAACTCCTATTAAAAGCCAATCGAGTCACAATGGGGCCCCAAGCCATCCACACTCTTCGACAACTACATCGCCCTTTTCTAGGCATCTTACAAGCCCTTCGCAGTCAAGACAAATTTCTGCGTCGCCTGTACAGCCTAACACGCCAGTATCGCATTCAGCGTTAAGCTTAATGAATCCATCTCCATTGTCTATCCCTTCTACAATGGCGGGACCAGTTATCCACTCTGGTCAGCAACATGGCCATCCACATCCATTTGCGTCGCATTTACATCATCCACACCATCCACTTCTGCATCCATCTTCAATATTCCAGCTCTCAGCAGCTGCTGCCGCGCATGCTATGCATCCCTATTATCCCCATCCTCACCCGGGCTATTCAATGCCGTATCCCTATCCTTATGGACCTTTGCCACAACCCCATCCGATTCCTCCAATGCATCCTTCAGCAAGCACTCCAGGAAGACATGATCCAACTAAACCAAGTACCATTGAGTCTACTACCATGTTGAGTGCGCATCATAGTACGAGTTCATCTGTTACCACGCGGTCTTTACGTGAGATTTCTGAAACAACAGAGGACCCACGAAACCCAAATGCAACAACAGAGAGACATCAATTGCACGAAACGACGATGACTCATCATCACTCGACGAGCCATCACAGTGCTGTACATACTAGTACAGAAAAACAACCCAGCCATGTCGGGGGTGGAACGAATCATACACTTTCTATTTCTCACTCGACGTCTAGTAGCTCGTCACAATCTATTCAACATAAGATTAATACGCAGCAAAAGAATAGCGCTCATTCAAGTTCTCCGCATCACTTATCGGCAAGTGTTTCTCAAACAACAAGTTCCTCGTCAAGTGTGAATGTGACCAATAATCATACGCATCATCATTCACACCACTTGGCCCATCACCCTGAAAGGCTATCTCCTGCTGACTCTATGTTATTACGACATCACCCGAAAATGCTTCCAGGTAATCCTAACCATCTAATGATCCCACCGCCATCGATGGGTCATCCTATGAGCCTGGCACTACCGGGACCAGGACCTAGCTCAATAGAAAGCCTTAGATTACATGCTCAAGCTGCAGCGGGATTACAAGCGGTGCACGGTAGGTCTGGATCTCCTCATCAACTCGGACAAGGGCACCCCCATTTGCGTGGTCCTCCACGACCGATGCCTGAAGACAACCCAGAGTTAAAACTAGAAACACAGTCGGTACCAGAAGAAGAAGAAATTCCGAGCCCTGCTCATATTCCCCACGGGCCAAGTCCGGAACCTAAAATTGAAGATACAGAATGTCATAGATCACAATCTGCTATATTCTTACGGCACTGGAATCGCGGTGACTACAATTCTTGCACTCGAACCGATCTCATATTCAAACCGGTACCTGAATCTAAACTGGCTCGTAAACGTGAAGAACGTTTGAGGAAGCAAGCGGAAAGAGATAGAGAAGAACGGGAAAAGATAGCTCAACAGGCGCATAGAAAAATAGCGACACCAGAAAAACCCGACACCAAACCTCCATCCAGGGGTGCCATTGAAACCATATCCTCACCATATGATAGGTTTCCCCGTCCGCCTGGGTACCCTGATTCGCCGTCTCTGCGACAACTTTCAGAATACGCCAGACCACACGCCGGTTTTAGCCCTGGCAACCTGCCCCGGCATTGCATGGATCCCATGTTGCAGTATCAGTTGAGCTCCATGTATGGTGCCGCAGGTGCCCGTGAAAGGCTCGAGTTAGAACATCTAGAAAGAGAGAAACGAGATAGAGAGATTAGGGAGTTACGCGAACGAGAATTGAACGATAGATTAAAAGAGGAACTGCTAAAGAACAATGTTGGACCTCGAGCGTTAGATCCGCATTGGTTAGAAATGCATCGAAGATACGGGATGCCTCCGCCGCCACCTCAAGGTGCGATACCCGTACAGTTTGGTCTATATCCGCCCGGACATGGACCTGGAGCATTATCACAGTTAGAACGAGAACGTTTGGAGAGGCTTGGCATACCGCCGGCCAGTGCGGGCGGACCCCCACCTTCGGTACCTGTTACCGGTGCACCGCCGCACCATCCGCACCACCCACACCCTGGCGTCGCTGCAGCACAACTGGAAGCAGCCGAGAGGTTAGCGCTAGCCGCGGATCCGATGGTCCGCTTGCAAATGGCGGGAATAAATCCTGAATATCACGCACATACGCACGCTCACACGCATGCGCATTCTCACACTCATTTACACTTACACCCTGGACAACAGGCGGCGGCCCAGGCTCAACAGGATGCGTTAGGCTTAGGCCTAGGCGGTAGTGGGCCGTACCGACCTTTGCCACATCCAGACTTGCTTGGGCGGCCGTACGCGGAACAATTGGCGCAGCAGGCGGCGGCTCATGAGCAACTTCAGAGGCAATTGCTGTTGGAGCGCGAGCGCGGCTTCCTTCACCCCGCGCATCATGAAGAATTCTTGCGACAGCAACGGGAGAGGGAGTTGAAGGTTCGGGCCCTCGAGGAGGCGGCCCGCGCCTCGCGACCGTAGTACGGCGCGCGCCCTAAGCCCGACGACGACGTAGTGTTGATCGAGTAAAGGACGCACCACACATGATGATGCCTTGTATATTTCTAGTGTTCACGCGAGTGATACGAGACTGTGGACCGAAGTAACGTGTGACGACACTTGTAATTTATATACATTTAGGTTTATATTTTTATAGCATGGCCGTGTAGTATGCTTTTTCTCCATGCTCAAATTTATATATCTACTAGTCATAATTAAATTTTATTTGTAGACAATGAGTCACATTACTATAACTGAGTGCTGTTAGTTTAAATTATTTCATACATTGAGTAACAGTAGAGGGTGCTGGGCAGCAATCGTGGAAAAATCTCAACGCTGTTACGTTCATGACATGATAATTATTTTACTGAATTTGTATCGTGCAAGGGGGAGATCCCTGTATAACAAAGTTTTCATTAATATTTACATATCAGCAGTATGTATAATAATGGTGACACATTAGGGGCATAAGTTGCCTTAATGCATATAAGTATCTCCATCGTACATAGAGGCTACTCCATGTTTTGTCTCTTTCATTGAAATTATAAGACTACAAGACGACACAAGATATCGTCTTGAATAGGGCAGTGAAAGACTAAAATCATCTCAAAGTAATTCAGAGTAATTGTAATATATATAATTCATGTACAACATTAAAACCATAACATAGACGGATTGATAAATAATTTGAAAAGCAAGCTGTAGTGCCGTACTTCAATGACATCGTAAAATAGTATCTAATTAATTTGTTGTATAATAATTTATTGCTAATTAAAATAATATAGACCCAGTTTGTAAGTACCTAACGACACTTAATTATTCTTATCTGAATAAATATATTATTAACGCGAAGTTTAACGAGTACAAAAAATGTATTTTATTATTCCGACACGAACAAGTAGATGCAATAATATTTTTAATAATTAGTTGCCTAAGCCGAATTATCTTTCTAGGATTTATCTGAGAATAATTGTGCACCTTACATCTTAAAACCATAATTTTATATGTTGATAACAATTATACGGTCAATAATTGTACAACATAAATAAGGGTTACTCATGTTGAAATTGTTTTTTTTTCTAACATAGCATGATGTGGGTTAACCATTACAATAAGCAGAAATATTTTTTTGTATACTGATATAATTTAAGACTTGTACTTCTCACCCAATGTTTACAGTAATTCAAAGAAATCTATTGCACCATTGTAAAATAAATCATTTGTAACAAATTGTAGACATTAGAATTGTAAACGTTCATAGCACTTTGTAATTAACAATGCTTTGTCGGTGTTATCATAACGCCATAGTTACTTTCTGATATTTAAAAGAGAAATGAGTATTATTTTTAGATACAAATTATATCTTTAAGAGTTGCGTGTCGATTTAAAACGTCATTTATTTAGACAATAAGGTTAAATGGATGTCTTAGTGCTTTTGTGTAAATTTTTTTGAAAAATATATGTGGAAAAAATTCATTTTGCAGTTTCTATTGCGAATACTACATCACCGATAGCTCTCTAAAAAAGGAACTTCATTGTAACAAAAGGTTTCGAAAATTTTTGAACATCTATACTAATCTATAAAGCTGAAGAGTTTGTTTGTTTAAACGCGCAAATATCAGGAACTACGGGTTCAAATTGATTTTTTTTCTTTTTGTGTTAGAGCATTTATCGAAGAAGGTGAGCGGAGCAAAGATACAGCGAGTAATGGAAAAAAATATTCATCATTATGGGTTTTCGAGGCGCACGCTGTAACGGTTTGAGATACCCAAAAAATGTATAAAATAATGATTTCTCTTTAAACGATCCAAATAAACATTCGCTGACACTGCTAGTAAAAAATTAAACTAGCCATTTTATGATAAAAAAAAAGTTTTTAATCATATATAGAAAAACAAGTTTTTAACCTCTTTATTAGACATTTCAGATAGAATAATTGCGAAGTCAAAAAGAAGTGAAGTGACAATCCTATGTTACCATTGCTTGATCAATATTTGAATAAACAACGCTGTGGTTTACACTTTGTTTACACATTCAATGCCTTAATTAAAACATGGGTCTTACAAGTCATACGGGTTTATTAGCTAGTTCTCCGCAGAAGATAAGTTTTTCTAAAGAGAAGGTAATATGAGAGCCCTAATTTTTCAAATTAGTGAATCTTTAGAAAAAGACTGAAAAAGTCTCCATTTAGGCCAGTGTTTAGCAAAAACATCATTAGAGCCAAGCTCCACATAATTCTTCTATTACGAGTCAACCTGTCCTTTCTAATTTCTTTCCAGAGTAACATAGAGTTAAGATGTGAAGTTACTGCAGCACCGTTTATGTTACGCCCCTACGCTGGACTTTACAATCCTTTCTCGCACAATTGCTCTGTTCTCTGCAACCACCCAGCTGATACCAACACGAAGGATTTCGTTAAACGTGCAAAGGATGCCTGGGTAGGATATTACCTACATTGTGAATTTGTTAATGACCCATATAAGATAGGAAAGTGGATATTACACCTGTGCCTCTGCAGATCTTTACGCCCATATTCACATGGTATTTATTAACTTAGTACCACCTTGCAACTAATTGGTTGTTCCCTTAACTTGATTGCTTATACATTGTAAAAGAGTTTTGCCCATTTGTGTATACCCTGCCCCAAGCTTAAACATTTTTTAAGTTATGGCACATTTAACCAGTAACTTCACCAGCCTGTTATAATATACGTCGAAAATAATACGAAGAATTAAATTTTAACTCATAAAATTCCAGGCTCTGGAAGGTAAGGGCCATCACTTCCAAGAAGATTTGTCGAAGTTCCAAGACCAGGCTGATAAGGAAAAAAACAGAACTCCTCACGATATTGTTACAGAGGATATGTTTAGAAGGTTAAATTAGTTTAATTTACAAATAATTATCTTATCCAAGCTATTTGATAAAAAGTGTGTTTACAATATTTTATTTCAGATATGCAGAAACTGACTCTCGTCCGCTAACTCCAGCACCGACGTTAGCAAGTGGAAAGTCCAGAGGCTCTAGAAGGTGCCTTACACCAGACCAACCTAGGGAGAAGACCACCATTATATTAGATTTGCGCAGAAGTCATAGCCAGGTGAGTATTTTATTCTAAAAGGATTATGAAAACCAGAAAGAAAAAAAAACATATTAACACGAGCCGAACTTGTAATTTTACATATATATATCTTACATGTATGAATTTAATCATTTCGAGCTTTTTATTATGGCATATTTTGTATTTATAAATATTTTAAAACACGAAACATATTATTTGAGCTTAGTTATGCGCTGGTCCGAGCCGAGCACGATGTCTCATTCAGGGCACCCTTAGTCTAACTGCAAATGGGGACCAATGTCCAGTTTTTTCAATTTTCTTTCTTTCATTCAGGAGACGTTATATTACCACGGATATGGAAACTCAGAAATCACGGCCGCTGTAACGAGTGCGACGAACGAGAGGTCAACTTTGCCCTCTTTAAACCTCTCGGAGGGAGCACATACAAGATTGGTTAAAGGGCAATGCGAGCAATTGCCCCCCCCTTGCTTCACCGCTAGTGTTAGCGAAGAGGACTGTTAAGGAACCAGCCAGCGGCAGAACTGCTAGAAAAGTAAGAGTTCATTTAAATAAAACACTTTAACGGTTTAAAACGCGATATATTAGTTAAACTTATTTGAAAATGATTTTAACTTCGGCCCGACGTTTTCTCCCCGTGACCACGGCTGCTGCAAGACTCCGAAACGTCGGGAAAAAAATTTTCAGTTCCTTTAAAAAAAGTGGTCACAAAAAGTTAAGAATTGTTTTTAGTATCTGAAGTTAAGGTACACATTTAAGTACTGTCAACTTCAGTCATGATTGGGGTTGCTACAAAGCATCCAAACAACAAATGAAGAAAAAATAAGTTTATCTTATATGTGTCGATTTTTAAACCGAAACTTTGCTAGCAAATGTTTTATTTAAAATTAAATAAGTATGGTTAGGGAAATGGGGGCGTATCATTTTGTTCAGACGGGCATATGTCGGTTACCCTTATCTGTTATCAATAATAGCCTATCAAAACCCCCTCAAAAGCTCACTAGACAGTGAGCTATCTGCAACCACTCCATCCGATAAGGATCCAATCAATAAAACCCTCATTCTAACACTGTTTGTGTCAAAAAGATGTTCCCTATAATCGTGTCCAAATCAAAATTGCTTCAAATCAAACGAGAACCCAAAGTAGAGTTCAATCCTAAAATTGGGTTCAAGACTAAAGTGCAGTTCAAGTCCCAAACTGAAATCAAGGTCAAGGATGAGTTGAAGCCCAAATCAGTGAAAGAGAGAGAAAAGCTAAAAGAGAAGGAGACAAAAAGCTTTGTGATTTCTCGCGAGAATTTAGCATCAATAAAATCCAAGCGCGTTAAACGAAGGCTTTTGGCTTTGCCTTCAATTATAGCGCCAACATGCGATTGTTCGTTGATGCATGTGACTAGAATTGTGGTTAATTACGCTCCGAAGAGTCGAAAGAGGGATGGGTCGAATATCATATTGTCTATGACCTGGGGAACGGGGCAGAAGAAGCGAATGCGTCTTCCAAGTGTTAAAACAGTGTCTAAGGCTAAAAAGACTAAATCAGTTAAAGACTGTTATAATAGTGATGAGTTCTTCAATAAGTTGGAGGTATTGGCTAAACCTTCTATGATTATTAGGGTAGTGGATAGAATTCTAGATGAAAGTATCCAAATATCCAACCAAATAGCTTGCCGGTTCTTCTCTATCATAAAATAAAATAAAAACTAGAATCTTCTTCAGAAAGTTTTTTTAGTTACGTTTTCACGGGCTTGTTGATTGAATGGCAGCAATTTGGCTAAAAACAACGGGCTATGGATTCGACTCCAACTAAGATACATGTTTATTAAATTACTTAATATGTTTTTTCTGAAAACTATTAGACTTCGTCTTGAAAATCTGAATATTAAATGTCAAAATCTGTGAAAATCTGTGAAAATCTGTTTTTAGAGTGGTTAAACGTATTGCCTAGCATTGCGTTTCGCGCGAGAGGTCCTGGGTTCGAATCGCAGGGGAACAAAAAAAAGATGTTAAAGTCGGGTAGGGCACAGAAGTCTGATCAACTACTTGCCTGTTCAAAATAGCGGATGAGTGAAACGGACACAGAAATATGTTCGCCCCACGCCCCACAAGAGGGAAGGGATTTCACTTTTAAGACCTATAAAATAGGTCGAAAGTGCAACCTACTTAGATGTGGTATAGCTGGGATATATCACTTCTACCAAAATTAACACCGTGCTTATCCTCCGTCAGTAAAAAAAAAAACATTTTAAGATAAATATTTTACAGATAAAATAAAAAATGTAAATTATAACTATACCCCGTCATCCAAACTTTTGTTTATACACAGGTAGACAGTTAATTGTAACTTATTTTATTTTTATCGTTATTACGACCTAAAACCCAAAAAATAATATAGATTGTTTTAATACTTAATATTATTTAATTTCGTACTTATTTTTATTTCAGACACAGTTGAAAGCATTGAACATCGGTAAGACACCGAGAGGCAAAAAGAATGACGCGCCGCCATCGCAGAGATCAAAGAGCGACAAGGAAACCGAAAATCCTCAAGATGAGATGCCACCCATGGAAGACGGTAACTGCCTGTAACGGCCTAACCGCGATGATAGAATTATTTGTTACTAGTACTGCTTCAATTCTATAAATTTCAAGGTCCTTAATCTGCTACACAAAAAGGGCAGATATTTTCTACAGTCCATTTTGAGTTAGGAAATGTAGTATGTACCTATATATTATATGTGTACATGTAATGGTTACATTTTGTCTTATTTATAATACTAGAATTATATCTTTAACACTTTGCTATTATAAATAATATAAGAGAAAGAAAAGAAAGGGGGTCAAGTTACCTAATGGTAGGTGAAATGCGTCTAGCATCTAAACAGTTGCGCTGTCGACCTATTGTGGCTTTGGACATGTTGAAATCGACAGACTGTAACCGAAACGTGATTAAACGGGGTTTTTTCATCTATTCGTGACTCGGATGGAATTTCGATACTCCTACCACCCATTAAATATTAGTTGGTTAAGGTGGTATAAACTGTAGGTACTGTACTGTCTTATTGGATTTCGTCTGTTTAATGTCTGTGGTAAATATATAAATAAATGATAACAGGTGGATTGGAAATGCGCAGGCGAGGTAAAAGGCGTCGTAAGGGCCGGGCCAGCGATCGCTTGACATCGGCCGGACTCGCTGCGCACACGCAACAAGATCCTGAAACACAAGTTAGTCATTCTATATTTATCACCGTAATATTACAAGACTGAAGTAGGAAAGTAGTAGATTTTACTGCTTTGTGCTCGAATGGCTGGCATAAATGCAATACATGAATAGGAGGCGTCACGTGAATTCATATAATTTTTATTCTCATAAAGGTGCGCCGGCGCAGCTCGAGGTTTTATATTTCAAATGATGATTTATAAACCACAAGACTAAAAACAACACTAAAGAAGTTGTTAATTAAAATTGTGACACATTTATATTAATTGCAACTGCCATTATAAATTGATTTCGATTTAGGTTCGATTTGATTTTAATTGCGTCTTCATGGAAGAAATAATTAAAAAAAAATAAGTTAAAGTGATCGAAAAAACTATTATGTAATTATAAAAAAATTTAAGACCTAATATTATCTAATTACTGAGATTTTTATTGAAATTATGATTAGTATTAATAAACCCAAAATATTTTTGACATATTATAATATTCTACATATTTTTGACGTTTTTTAATACGGCCGACGTAACTTGACAAGTCTGAACATATTTATTTAACAATAAACAATCACCTTTCTAACGGACTACGCTCAGGACAGAGATAACGAAATAAACGCCAAGGAATGACCGAGATAGACTACTGTTTACCGAACATTACCGATATGTACGAAACTTTACGAAATAACCCAATAGAGATGTTCATAATCCTTCTTTGAGAGAGTCGTTTAATCGATTCCTATTGAAATAGACAAAATTAGATTGTAGAATTAGATTTGTATAAAAAGATTTAAAGATGGTAATAGTATGTATGAAAAGTAATTATATAAATAAGACCTCAAAATAACTAAATCAATTTGTTCAATAAAGAAAAACAAGTTTTTAATGACTTTATTTTCCTTTAAAAGTTATCGTTTACTAACAACACCATTCACTCTCTCATAAATCCATTTACTACAATATCCCATACTATTAAAAATACATAGTCTAAATCGATTACGAAATTTGATAGAATAAACGGTCGATTATGGTGACATTGAGTCAATCTCTAGCCCAGATCTTTTTCCCGCGCACGTCGCTCTTTCCACCGTTAACATTTTAAGGAACACTTCTGCGCAGCGTTTCGCGCTAAGTTCAGACTTACCTAGTTACGTCGGCCGTATTATACTGAAAATTCAACAAAAAAGGTATTGTTTTGGTTTTTTTATAATTCGAACTCCTCTCCTCATAACCTCATTTTAATTTAAATTATACAGTGCCATCATGCGCAATAACATTTGAAAAATATTGAACTTTGTATATTATGTACTGCTTTTCCCACCGACCGACAGACATAGCTTCAATTTATTTCACACTTATACCAGGCCTATGTGGTGCTAAATTTGTGGAAGAAAATATATTAAAATATGTCTGTAGATTGCAGGCATTGGAACAGACTCCCACAACCCCAGTTCCCGAGGATCCGTTGCTCCCGATCTTGATGACGATATAGTTTTACCTGCTATCGTTAAGACGGGTATTACTCATAAGACGGACTCCTTCCTTGATGATCAAATATTGAAATATCTGCACAGGGAGGTCGATGAAGAGGCCATTGAGACTGAGTTTGACACTAAGGTATAGTAACAGTTGTAGAACATAAGTACACATCTTTGAAGTAGCTAATCTCGAAAACTACTAGACAGAAGAAAAAAATAAGAATATATTTACCTGGAAGGGTTATATTAGATTTCGCTGTCATTAACAATACCGTTACGTGTTCCGAGATAAATAGCTGAACAGTATCATATTATGAAGCACATGGTAAATTTAAAATGGATTAATATTGACAAAACATTTAAGACACGCAGCGTTCCGTGCTGTTGCTCTAACTAATTTTTAATTTAAATAATGCCATCATGCAATAACATGTGGAAAATATTAAAATGTTCAAAAGTAAACAGTAACTCTTTTTATATACCCCTTCTCGGTGCTGATAATATTTAGAATGATACTGTCTATAGTTTACGCGAGTAGTACACATTTAAATAAAACACTTTGACGGTTTAAAACGCGATATATTAGTTAAACTTTTTTGAAAATGATTTTTAACTTCGGCCCGACGTTTCGGATGCTTTGCAGCAGCCGTGGTCACGGGGAGACCTCTCGGGGGGTCTTCCCCCCGCGTTTTAAACCGTTAAAGTGTTTTATTTGAATTTAGAATGATACTAATCATTAGCCAATATAAAATGCTCTCAAACTTCTCTCCCAATACCTTCAAATATTTTTGAAGCTATTAAATTTTCACCTTCAGAACTAATTTCAGCGCCGATACGTTTTACAAGAAGCATTGCGCACACGACCCGAACGCCCCTATGGCCAAGAAATGCAAAGCCTGATGAAGGAGCTACGTGTACCAGCAGTCAGTCTAGGCGACTGGCTCCACATACCCAGAGTTTTCTCTAGGCAAAATGCGCACTTTCAACTACCCATAGACACAAATGATCTTGAAGGTATGTATTATATCTTTGTCATCTGAGAGTAGTTTAAGAGTTACATAAAATTCTGATGTCTTCGGTTCTAATAAGTGAGTAGTTTCCCAGTACTGTTATATGGCACTAGTAAAATATGTGTTTTGATAACAATGCAGTTACTTTCAATGTTGCCTGTTTAACTAAAATTAAAAATATAATACAGGTTGCTTGTATTTAAAGTTGGAAATTCACTATTTAACATATTAAAATAGATATATATTTTATTTCAGCGTTAACACCAATGCAGTACGCAGCCAGATTTGTAACCATACAGAAATCTAAGCAGCTACTCTATCTAACTGTGTTAAGAAAATTCAAACCTAACGGTTACAGAATGACTATTACAGTAGGTGTATATATTATAGGAATTGATATCACACACAATACTCACACGATTATAAAAAAAACACATTTTACAATGTACATGCAATTTATTAATTTATTGTTTATTTGGTATTCCTACAGCTACGAACGACGTAAACTTCTTGAAGACGAAGATTGCATATACATTCTGAAATGCTACTGAAAATTAAAAATCACTTCATAAAAACATAGCTATAGTGAATAATGTAAAATAATAGGTATAAAATTAGTTTAGTAATTCATTTGTTTTAGGATATTCCAGAAGGCCTTACTCTGATGATGGGGGGAGTTCTCACAACAGACCAAGTGAACCACTTTCGAACAACCATGGAATGGGATCATTATACAGAGGAAGAGAATTTTTCAGATGATATCAAATTGACTCTTCTGGATACAGGATACCGAAGACAAAGTGGAGATGGCGATGGCGGAGAAGTGAGCAATTTTTGTAATATAATGTTGCTATCGTAAATAGCAACCATTATACGTCTTTTTTACTTATTTTATAACATTTTTTCTAGAATGAGTCGAACACCATAAAATATAGAACATGGTGTGGCTTATGTGCCGTCTGTGAACGGATGTACGGACGATTCCCGCCAAGAGACAAAGATTCGCCGGACGGGGTACGTTTTTAAATGATTACATTTGCAGCCAGATAAACTAATTATTATCTTATATATATTTATTTTACAGATGGAGCTAAGCGATTTTTCTATGGTGGAAACGAAGCTCGTCACATTAAAAGTTCACCCTGGATTAGCTGAAATTCTCAATGCAATATGTAGCCGATGAATTATATTATTGATTTTAAGAATTTTTGTAATTTGTTGTACATAGGTTTTGTAATTAAATTAATTTTGTTGCTAACTGATTATTATTTTGATATAAACTAAAGCGAAGTGTGATTAAAAGAACTATTCAGTCTAAAGAAATAAATCAACTTTTGCAGTTTTAGTATAACAGATAAAAAATACTAATAGCGTGCTGATAAAATCGCATATATTCTATAAAAAAAGTTGATTTGCAATCGAATCGAATCTATGTCAACTGTCAAACTTCATAGTAATTTAAAATATAAACATTCTCGCAGATGACCGTTTTATTTTTCATAAATCTATTTTTGCACGCCGCTGTAACGAATTTAATGATTATTTTGATAAACAAACAACGTAGATCGTTAAGAGATATAACGATCGTTTTAACAGTGATCCAGTGAGTTTGGATACGTAACTCGGGACAAAAATGAGCATCGAAGGAGATGGAAATCCTGACGGTGTGTTGAATTAACGAACTTATTAATAAACCGATGCGTTGGTATGTTTCCTGGTTAACCTATTTATGTTATTTACTATATTTTTAGAGTACGTTGTCACCGCTCTACAGATATTTGAGTATTGCGGCGCCGATAGTTCGAGTACGTTACGAGTGGATTCACTTATGGATAAGTTCGCGCCTTTTGTGAAAACCAAAAAGTGAGTAATACATTCAACGATGATATTTAACTCCTTAAAATTACGTAAATTCCATGTTTTATTGTGTCAAGACTATTCTAACGTTTATGTGTCTCTATTAAGGGAATGTGTAATTTTTTTTCTTACTTACTACTAGTGTGAAGAAAGCTGGTATAATGCTTTTTATTTTCAGGGCTGAATATAGCTACCTAAAATCTCTCCTTGACCCAGAGCGAACCAATCCAGAAATAACAGTCACTAAACTAGCAGAAACATTGAACGAGTATAGTGAGAATCAAAAAATAAAAGTGGATCTCGAAGAAAGGTTAGTACAATTCCATGTTATAAGTTGCTTTATTTCTTATATTTAAAGAGAACATTAATTTTTTATCACACACTCAGAATGGTATTATATAATTGCATCCAAAGTGTGCTGTAGCAGCAAGGTAGCTCTAGAGCTTCATCCAGATTCCAGTTCACATCCAGCCTATATTATGAATATTTACAATCTAATTTTTCTCTATTTACAAAAAAGAAAACTTGTATTCTTACTTTCTCACCAAATTTTGACAATTAAATTAACAGAACGGAACTCTTAGGTAATTTTGTCTTAAATGTTTTATAATTGAATAAATGAAATATTAGTAATGAAAAATATATTAATTTTATATTTTGCAGTTTCAATTTAAAAAGTGGACCGGCTCCACATGACTCAGATTCTGGTATCTCTACTGATGGTAAGTTACAAAATGCATACATTTTAAATAAAAAAAAATTATTTACTACCAACGTAATAAAAGATATTACATTTTTTATGGGAGTAAAATTATCTAAATAAATGTTATGTCCCAAATACACCATATAGGGCATGCGGCAGACATATTACTGTATCATTCACCGATTGATTTTATTTTTAGGCAAGTAGGTGCTTACATGCCTTTTACATTTTCTATGTTATCCAGAATTGGAACCCGTAACCCTAAACCCAGTTAACACTTATAACTAGGGCTATAGTTCATACCAGCTGTAAAAGCATGTACAAGTATATTTGATAATAATACCATTTGCAAATTTAGAACATTCATATTTGTTCAACTGTATGTTATCAATGTACAAACATTAATGTTATTTTGTAATAAGTCTCTGTAGTTGTTAGTGCGTTTTTGTGGACAAAATGGATGCAGTTTTTAACATGTTCGTGTTTAACTTTGTCTTGTGGAATGCTGTTTGTAATTATATTAATTTGAGCGATGTATTGCTAAATTATGGTATGTCACACGTTTGTTACTAAAACCTCATTAATTACCTTAGATGCAATTGATCAATGCTTAAAGATTTATTTTATCTATTAGTTTAAAATTCAAGTGGTACATAGTATAATGATAGTCTCATTGAAATTGTAAGGAGTAGACTGGATAGAATTTTGATTCCAGTTTCTCCTACTAGCTGTGTCAGCGGCTTTGTCCGTGTACAATAGTTATTTTGGGCATCCAATTTTGTTTTTGCAAACCCATCTTTATAAATTGAAGCATATAGTGTCGCGGATTTTTTTTTAGATCATTTACATAAGAATCATCCTCGATTGCTCGAAAAATCGATTCATTCAATCGAGGGATTAACATCTCCTGATGATGCCGTTCACACGTAATGGGAAACGTCGAAAAACTCTTCTCGCTCACGTTGGCCGAACAACCCGAAAGACAATGATATGCTGAACGGTGGCCGTTAAAGCCTTACACAATTTATTAGGAATCATTCTTTCGTACATATGTTTGGGTGTCTTGAACCGTTATCGCAGCGTACGCACCTGAAACCCACAGGGAGCTTCGCTTCTATTAGTAAAAGGGCAATGTTTTATAGCTTATAGCCTGCATCGAAAAAAATCCTTCAGCTTTATATATTAGTATAGATTTCCTCTTGATTTTATGCAAGGTATAACTGTAACATGAAAACAAGGCAATTAATTTGTCCAAAACTAATTTTCCATTACAGGTTTTCAACTCCTTGAAGAGCTACATTGTGAGTTAAAAGAGAAGTCTCACCTGGCGCAACAACTCCGCAGTCAGCTGGATTTCAGTGACCGACAGCATGAGGAAGCATTGGCTTCGCTCACTGCTGAACGGGACTCCTTGCGGTCACACCTTAATATGTAAGAACTACATATATACATATAAATCATCCAATTACAACCTTTTTAGTGAATCCTACCTCGGTTTAGACTCACCAGATGTTAGTTGGTGAGGTTTAATGACTACTTACATGAATTTTGTCATGTTAGCTGGCTCTAAAATACATTTCACTTGATCCTCGGTATACAATCGTGTGCATTAAGTATTTGACTAAAAATACAAGTTCTTTATTTTCTATTAAGTATTGTTTACATTTTATCTTAGGGTACTAGACCTCAAACAAGGAATCCCCGTGTTCTGGGTGCTGCTAGTCTTCCAGTGCATTAACCGTTAACATTGAACAACTACATACTTAGGTCTTACATGCTAAGATACAGATGCATAGATACATAGAAAGGATTATATACAATCATATAGTAAAGAAAATTAAATAAGCGAGTAGTGTGCAATAAATGTATAAGGCGTTCGCGGCCATTTTGCAAAACTATTTTATTCTCAAATTAAAAATAGTTTTTGACATTTCACCATCACAATGAAATGGCTCATCTAAGTATAGATTCATTTCTCTGGCTTTTATTGTTTTTTTAGCCTATTCTAGGGAATTTACATTTTCTGGGGACGGTTGTTATATTCCTACCATCCATCCATTTAATATTTTATACTAATTCTATATTACAAATATTTCAGGTTGCGAGAAGAGAACATGACTCTGACGCACGTTCGTCGCGATTATGAGGATGTCTGTGAGAGGCTTTGTCTGAGCGAGAAAGCTTTGGACGAGACGAGGCGAGAGTTGGAGTGCAATAAGAAGAGGCTACGGGTGCTTACGGAACAAGTTTGCACATTAGAGACCGAAGTAAATCCACCTTTTGTTGTTTATTTTTTTACTCACGTGTGTTTATTCGGATCGATATGAAGTAGAGGGTGATTTTGCTTAAATGTATGGCTGGGAAATTTCACCTTCCATCAAGCACACTTGCCCGACGTGGGCGTGCATTAGGCATTCACACCATCAGTAAAAAAAAAAGGTGTGAAATCCTGTTTTCATTGTTTGGTTTATTTTAGAAAAGTTGATCATAGGTCTATATCCGAAAAAAGGTATTCCTTCCCCGGGATTGGAATCCACGACCTCTAGCGTTAAACGCAATGCTATCGTAACCAATCATAATATTTTCAATATTATAATTCCAGAAACTTACTCTTACTGACCTGCTCGAGAAATCGAAAGCGGAATGTCACCACATCAACGAGATGTACGCGAGCCGCCAGAGTGCGCTGCTCGAGCAAAACGAGCGCTTGCGCAGCGAACACGCGAACCTCAGCGTGCGGTTACAGGACCACGAGGAGTTTATGCACACCGTTGTCAAGGAGAAAGTAAGAATAATTTAAAATCGGTTTTAGATTGAAAATTTTTACGACACATTCCACCACGCTACTGGGCGCATTTCTACTTCCATTATGCTTCTCTGTTCTCTTCTATCATAAATAGTAGCATGACATGCATTTTATTAACAAAAAAATAATAATTGCAGGTCACAATAGAAATGGAGCTAAAAGAGTTATTGAACAAAACGAATCAGACACATCATAAGATGGATCGGTCCATTGATGTAAGCTACACAGATGACCAGATGTTGTCTGCCCTTGACAGCCTGAATGTTGATAGCCGGTTTCATAATGGTAAGTTTTAAAGAATTATTAAAAGAGTTCAATTAAACAAAAAATCAACAAACTATACCTAGTAAGAGTTTTTTCAATAATAACGTAGACAGCATATGCACTGTTAAGTTTCTATTAACCAATCATGAACAATTCATATTAATTGGGTTCTGTTATGCAATCCAATTTGTTAGTCTGTTTCACATCAAAGTTCGGTTGAGATTTTTGCTTGTTGTCGGTTTGTTGAAGGTTTTTTTGAATAAGACATTCCCTTTTTCCTCAAAAGTTGTTTTTTCTAACTTTCACCTGAATCTCATGAAGTTAACTTTCACTTTTATTGTCGCATAACATGCCATTTTAATTGCTTTTACCTTAATTGGCTAAAATATTCTAAGCAAGCTTTTAACTAACTTTTTCATATAGATCACAGCATCCTAGACGAATCGTTATCGACATTTAAAGAAGACAACGGCCGCTTGACTAATATATCTCTCTTCGATGAGATACGACTTAGCTTCTGTAATATGTCAAAGCATAATATTACTGGAGTTAGTTTTGCCGACAAAACCTTGGATATAGCTACACAGACAAACGACAATATAGTAGGAGATAGTTCGATTGATAAAGAATTTGCAAATAGCGAAGTTCAAACTAACTTAGACGATAGTATTTCGCATGTCGATAAACGAGATAAATTTAACGTTTATGAACCTAAAAAGGAACGAGCAGATGCTGAAATACAGACAGACATACAAAACGAATTAATTAATAGTGTAAAAAGCGTTGAAATACAGACAGTAAATCATGCGAATCCTACTAAAGAATTTAAGAACGTTGAAGTGCAAACTCAAAGACATATAAATATAGAGATGACAGAAATGTATGAGGTTAGTGTTGAAAATAGAGAAATACAAACAAATTTCGGTCAGGATAATCTTAATATAGAACTGAAAAATGATGATATACAATTGGATAAGAAAATTAAAACTATGCAACTAATAGATAATAATAATGATAGAGGTACCGAATTGCAAATTAAAGACCCAGTCAATAATGAAAAACCAAAAACGAATGAAGAAGTTGGAGTCAATCAAATATTTAAGAAAAAATTACAAGATGTTGCAATACAAAATGACCTAATAAGACACGAAATAAAAGATTTAAAACACTTTCAAATGCAAACAGAAACTGAAGGAATAACAACGAGCACTCAAACTATAATGCCAGTGAAATTACTAGTTCGCAAACGTTTCAGCAAATTTAGAAATATTAGACGAAAAAAAGCCGATACAGAGACACAAACAGACATTATTGAAGCTAATAATAACAACGATTGCAACAAATGTCTAGAATTCGAAAAAATTGATACAGAATTAGAACATTCGCATAACACATTGGTAACAGTTAAAAACGTAATAGATAAATATGAGGAAAATCTACACATTCTTAAAAACTTAGTAGATGAAGGAAACGAGAAAAATACGTTTTTAGAAACAGTAGTGGACGATTTAAAAACTAAACTAGCGTATTTAAACGACGCTTGCGCAATTCAAGACGCGGAGATCAAGAAGTTGTTAAGTTCGTCGATCGTACACGACAAAAGCGGTAACTTGTAGATTTTTGTGGGTAGTTAGATATTGAGACGGTGTAGACATCATAATGAGGGTAGATTGAAAATAGATTTTTTAGTAAAGAGTAGTTAATGTAATCGTCGTGTGTTTTTCGTGTTGTGACGTCCTGTAGCTAGCGAGGTTTAGATTTTACCAGCGCACTCACATATAGTAATAAAAGTAAAGTATATATCATGTGGTTGTGTGTGTTTAAAATGTATTGGTAAAATTTTAAACAATTCGTTTTAGGAAACCTAACTGCTGAAATCAAAATTATTAGCAATCAACTTATTTGAAAATTATTTTAACTACGACCCCACGTTGTGCATGCTCTGCCCACGGCTGCCGTAAAATAATTCTCAAATAAGTGTAATTAATATGGCGTTTTAAACCGTTAAAATGTTTTATTTAAATCATCAAGTTAATCAGATTGCCTTTGAAGACCTTCGATGTCTTTCTTAACCATTTACTCATGAAGCAAGTCACATTCATTTGCTTGACAGACTGACGTTTCTTAGAAATCTTAGTTTTTGGCCCTGAAGATGGCACTTTTTGTTCTTATTTCAATTTCAATATGTATATGGCTTGTACCGTGTTTTAAACCTATAATCTTGCTTACTAACTGACTTTGCACCCTCCTAAGCATGTTTATATTATATCGTAGCGAATGACGTAACAAGGTATTTTATAAAAAATAAAAAAATAACGAAAAAGGCAAATCGTGATATACTTCATCATTACAAATTAATTACAATCCAGCTTTATTGCCTTGCAGAACAAGTATCAACACCATCACAGACAGACCTGCCATGCTCTGAGTGCGTAAAACGGAACGGTTCTCATGGTCTCAGAAGATATTTATGGTGAGATGATATTAAGTGAAATATGGTGACATTGCTTTTAAAACATAATATTTTAATTATTTACAAGAGTAATTACAAACATATATTTCCTCTATATAAAAGTGTGTTCTTGTATCACAGTCACAGAAATATCTTTTCCACTTATACTGTAAAGAGCAACTTTCTAAATAAATTTTACTCACTGATACTTTTACCCTGCCCAACGGAAAAAGGAACGTACAATCTTTTTTGTTATCCACATTTAATAAGTATTAAAAGGTAATATGTTACACAAATAAATAGTGAGGGAGATAAATAAAGGTTCGTCCTCACCCAATCCTTTCAAATCAATAATAATAAATGTCCACAAATAGTTACACAAAAAAACATGCAGTTAAGTCCAAATGACTCTCAGGGGCGTCGAACAGTCGAGAAGAAATGGCAAGAGACTCGCCGACACTCTTTTTTTTTAATAGAGGAGGACAAACAAGCAAGAAGTTCACTTGATGGTAGGCGGAATACCCCAGCCTTTAGCATCTAAACGAGATAAGCTGTCTTATACGCCTGAAACCTAAACGCTCAAGATTTTTTATCTATAGACGATGGGTCGTGACCCGGACGGAATTTCGATATTCTTAACACCCATTTCATATCCAGTTTTCGAGACGAAGAACATTTTTCAGAAAAAATATAGATCGATTAAAAAAATGTTGGACCCGGTAGGGATAGAACCCAACACCCGTTGATTGCTAGCCGTACTTTGCTACCATTACACCGACGAGCCCGTCAGAATCTCCTTTTATCGCCAAGTATTGTTTATTAATCTGATCTCTTATCGTTAGGTAGGGCTACATTTACACCATCTCTCACTCAGCCTCTTTTCAGGGAACCCCTGAAATGCCTGTTCCAATTATTCGCGGTCGTGTGCTTCATGTTCGCCATCACAGCTCTGTACGGGGTGACCAGACGATGGCAATCGCCCTGTATCCCCCAGACACCCTGGAGCTGGTTACAGCTAAACGATCTGATGGATTTCTTCATCCGTATTGAGTATATATCTGATGTGCCTATGTAGACTTGGCTTTAGTGCTAGAAGAGCTTCCAGGAGGAATTAATAATATTTAAATTTTGATATAAAACACTGTAACGGTTTAAAACGCGATATATTTTTGACAAATAACTAATATATACCGCGTTTAAAATTGTTAAAGTGTTTTAATTTAATTTTCCTTTGTTTAGAGTTTGTATTTGTGTTGGATTTTTTTTGTTTTACCGTTCCATTTAATATTATCTCCTTGATTTTCGATATGCTCATGGTTAAAGAACAAAACAAGTTTTCTTCATAATGATAATATGTAAAGCAATGGTCAACAAGTAAAAAAATATGTTTAGGGTGATCATCCATATTGAGCAATATTTATTTTCATAAACCGTACGTTATTCAGTACATATTAAAAGCTGACCAATTTTATTATAATAATTTTGATAATTTCATATTATATCTATCTCTTTCGTTACTACGGATACCTAAAGAAATAGAAAAAATTTCTTCAGTTATAGCAGCTTTGGTCTATGCCAAAATATGCTGAAAAATGTAAGAAGAACGATGTTTTAACTGTATTTTAAATTTAAGTTGATTCATTAAACACATTTTTTTTTAAATTAATGTTTAGATGAAAAAAAGATGTCGACATAAATAAATTCTCTTTTTTGCATTTTATAAAGCCTCTTGGGTTTTTGACTCATTCAGTAGACGTTTCTCAGTTACGACTTCTCAAAAAGCTAAGAAGCTTTGCAAAGTGGCCGCAAAGCCAAATTTAAACAATATTTGCATTTATTGGTAAGCATTTATATGACAAGTTGTACGCACAAAAGATGTCTGTAGTTATAATGTGTCAGAATATAATTCTGTGATAAACCAGTGCCAGTTCTAGCTACTAAGTTATTTTTAAGTGCCAATGTCAAGTTAGAGTTTTGACATTTGATATAATGACATCTTGACTAATCATATGCCAAACGGAGAAAGTTTTTTAATTATTTTCCAGTATAAAAGAGGGAAAAACTAAGAATTTTAATGGTATTTTCCCCAATTTTTAATTTAATTTTAAACACTTGATTTTAAATGACCTTAAAAATTTGAGTAGGATAAAAAATACCGATTGTTTTTGCCTTTTTTGTTTGTCTCTCAAAAGCCGGCGGAATAAATACAAAATAAAAAAATTAAAAACTTAAATAATTTTATTTAAACTTGAAATGTTTTAATTGATTGATAATTAATCTATTTTAAAATAAGGTAATTTTAGGTGCATTAAACCAAAAATTGATTAAATAAATATATTAAATGTGAAATTTTTATTTATATTTCTTTCTCTCTACTATAAATTAACAAAATTAACACTTTCTTTTACAATATGTTTGCCATACTTTGTATCTTAACAAAATTTTAAACTTACAGGTCTTCACAATCTTACTATAGTTGTCTCTTTCAAGCACAATTTTCTTGTATATGGGGAAAAGGACAAAACATAAAGTATTTGTCTAAGGCAATTAGAAATAAAAAATACCTTTGATGTCTTATCTACTTCGGTAATGGATAAACAAATTTTGAATTTGACTAAGATTAAAATTACCTTAATATATATTAAAGGAGATTTATTACACTTTTAGTTGTAATTATTATAACTAAATAACATTATTTCTTGTCATTAAATTAAATAAAACTTTCAAATGGAACCTAAGGTATACGTCTTTGTTACCACCTCTTTAGTTTAATGGTTAAACCTGCTGCCTAGTTTTGCGATAAGCGTGAAAAGGAAAATAGAGACACAGAAATTTGTTGGCCCCATGCTCCACGAGGGTAAATGGGAATTCACTTGTTTTTACGTTTTTGAGTGGTAGGTAGAAAACGTTCCTGATTTCAGGCTGGTTCTATTTAATTCTAAAACATCCACACATAAAGACATATAATTGTAAAAATTAAAAAGCAATAATCATCGAAAGTGAACCAAAATACACTAACAGTAGATGTTGTCTCTCTCACGCCAGTCTAATGTGTAATGTAAATGAAAGCGATAAAACATGCTATGTTTTGTAAAGGCGATGGTTATTTTAATTTTGTTTTATGTCAAATGTAAATTTTTATCTTACTGTTAATTGTAAGTTGTGAAGCGCATTTATTCATTTAAATAAATATTATCTTTAATATGTGTTTTATTCCATTCCTCATGGATCTTTTATAAAGTGTGCGTAACTTTCAGCGATGTTGGTGCGACTTATCTAGCTTTTGGATTTAGGAATAATATAAATTTAATTGATTCGGTGTATGTTAAAAATAACACTTACCCGTTTAAAACGCGAATTATATACGGTCTAACGTATAATGATAACTTTGCACCGGTTGCGGTCACGGAGGGGAACCCGTAATTGCACTAATTTAAGTAGCGTTTTAAACTGCTGAAAATGTTTCACTAAAAGCGTTGCTCTTGCCGGCCTTTTTTTAATAATTTATTTACCATAAAAAGATACATTTGTATCAAAATCGCCAAACTGCTGGACAGTTTGTTGGCGATAGTGGCGCTCTTATTCTAACAATAAATTTTATATAGTATATAATTATGCTTATCATAATGAAAACATAGACATATTATATAATAGAATTCATCCGAAAGTAAGTTTTAACGCCGTGGGTCGAAGATCGATTATTTGGTCTTCAGACTGACCGTAAAAAATCTTTTAACAAAGGCTGACTCGAAAGGGGAACACAAAGCGAGTCAAGGTGCTCCTTCACAAAGGAACTGAGAAAATATTGGGCGATTGCTTCCCACAAGATTGCTGATTTTTTTTGAACAATCTGTGGTCCACTACAAACAGGATTAGCGTTATACTCGACAGGATTACGAGAGTCTATTACAAATAAATGGTCTATTTAAAACCAATTTTATCATAAGGTAGGTTAAAATAATTCATTCAGTCAATGTTGGTTTAAATAGTAAAGGCGAAGAACACATTTTTAGGTAATTCATACCTACCACTTTCTATCATTTTTTTTAACAGAGTACCTACAGTTCGTACATTAACTTATGCTGACGTAAGACCCTTTTGGCATCATTTTAAACAAAATTTAATTTAATCTTGTCGTAGTATTTTACTTTTATTATTATTATTGTAATTACATTTATTTTTATTACGTCTTATTATTGTACAAAATGAATGCTAAATAAAGAGATTTATTATTATATCAGAAAAGCACGGTTCACTTGAAGTAAGGTGAAACACCCAGGCATATAATATCTTAACAAGATTCGCTATCGATTTCAGTCTGTGGATTTCCGCAAATCCACAGACTGAAATCGAGACGCGATTTCATTTTACGACTTTATCATCAAATTTCGATGTTTCATGTTAACATTCTTCATATTATAATGCTATCTATCATTATTATTCTTTTATCGGTTAGTTATTATCCCTGAACTATGTCATATAACTATATCATAAAAATAAGTCATTTTAATGTTTATTTTGTTTCCATACAAAAATAATACACGTTTTATATGAGTAAGTACCTTAAGTAGTGTTGAGAGAATAAAATTAAGTATTATGTGATTAATAAAATGGAAGCTCTATGTTTATCCTGTTTTTTTTCTGCCTACGTAACAAAAATACTAATAATGTAAAATAATGTTTGCAGTAGTGACTTAAATATAGCCTTTTAAATAGTAATCTGTTTTATATATTTTATGTAATAATTACTCAGCTCTAACAAAGGTCGTTAACTGAAATGCGACCGTCGCAAAAATTCACACGGCCCTATTAAAATAAAACTATCGAAATGCAAAGAGGTCATTCCTTCACGCAATGTCGTTTTGTTTCTTGTAACGCTTATGTCATGGGAATAGGGTGCATTTTAGTGTGACATCGTGTATTTCTGCACACCTGTCGCCCTACCGTGAGAATATAGGGCCCAATAGAGAGGAAGGAGTCGTTTGATTTAATAAATGTATGACGTAGGACTTAACGGGAAACTACTTATTAGTGTCAATGGAACTAAGTAAAATGGTAAGCACGTTAAGTATAAATTAAAAATCGAAAAAAAAAAAAAAAAAAAATTAAGACTTGGGCACGACTTGAACCGGCATCATCAGCGTTCGGCGCTGTTGCTCTAACCGATGGAGCTACTGTCTCCTACATCAGCGTTAAAGTTTTCAAAAGCTTTTGTTTCATTTGAGGAAAGGTCAAGTGTCCAAGCCCACTAAGATGCCTTATCAACCGACTTATTCTGGCTTTGGACAGACCGATGTCCAGACGCCCAACTATGGACAGTGATTCGTAAATCGGACGACGGCATTTCTATAATAATTTTGCCCAAATATGATGGAGGATCTATTTTTCTATGCTATAATGAAATACTTATATATATTATATTATATTTTACAATTGAATTATATATCCATTTAATAATATTTTACAATAAAAAAAATAACATATCTATTTTTGAAAGTGATAAGATTATCGACATTCCGCCAAGGTCACGAACCACAGTCCACAGACGAGATAGATCGAGAGTGCAATATTGCTGGAGTATTTAACCCTACTTAATGTGAACCTTGTCTAATAATAATACATTGTGTAAGGCTTTCACGGCCATTGTCTTTCGGGCGATGTGAGTGAGAAGAGCTCGATTGCTCGAAGAATTTCAGAGTTAACACCTCCTGATGATGCCGTCCACACGTGATGGCGAAACGTCGAGAACCTTATCTGTCATCCTTTGACACAAACGATCGAATGACTTGTTTTACGACAATACAATAGAATAGGTACATGTAAAGTTTTACCTTAAGACTGAATGACACAAAAAGTTTTCCCACCAAATCTCGCATCTTCAAAATTTGATTACTTTCCTTCATCTGGCCATTTTTTGTGATTCCCATACAGTTCCCACAGGAACAGGTGCTTAGAAAAACTAACGCCCTTGTCTAGTAACTCGTTTTTATAGCAAAAACCTACATCCGTTGCGGGGACGGCTTCCGGATAGTTGAACATTGTTCAATATTTAACTTAAAACATGATAACGTCTATTGATAGATGTTCTAGTTTGGATAGCCTTGGATTTAGTAATGCAGGATTTAAATATTACGATTCCCACGCGGGATATGGGTCAATGTTTTTCAGGTTCTCTGTGTTTTACAAAGGCAAGAATTACTAATACATAGAATTTTGAAAGTAGTAATACTTATAGTAAATATAAATTGGTTTAGTCTTTAGCCTTTGACAATTTTTTTGGCAAGGGTATAAACAAGATATAGATCTATTTTAGCATAACAAAGTAAGTATATATTTTTTTAAATATAAATAAAACACTTTAACGGTTTAAAACGCGATATATTAGTTAAACTTATTTGAAAATTATTTTTAACTTCGGCCCGACGTTTCGGATGCTTTGCAACAGCCGTGGTGACGGGGAGACTTCAGCATCCGAAACGTCGAAATTTTCAAATAAGTTTAACTAATATATCGCGTTTAAACCGTTAAAGTGTTTTATTTAAATGTGTACTACTCGTAAACTACAGACAGTATTTAAGTATATATTTTCTTTGTTTATGTTTTTTTACGATTGAAGAGAACGGACATGTATGAGTTTACTTGATGGTAGGCGAAATACCCCCCCCCCCCCGCAGCCACATGATAACAAGATGCGCTGTCGGCCTATTAAGGCTTTGGATATTCCTTACGAACATTAACTCAAATGCGCGTATCTTTTGTTTGCTCTATTAATCCCTCTTAATCCCTCTTTTGATGAGAAAAACACTCGTGATGACCTTCCACATCCGAAGGGATACGCACTTCTATTTCTTGACTAGAGTGGCCATGCTTTTATAAAAAACGTAAAAAGTTATTCATTGAGATTTTTTACATGTATCTCCTGTGAGTGTTTGTCGATGTTTCCCTAACGCCCGAACGGCTATACTGACTTTGATAACTCTTCCCAAAATGTGAATATTAATATGGATGGTAGAAATATTGAAATTCCGTCCGGATCGCGAACCAACGTCCACTGAGGTGAAGTTAAATTAAATTGCGTTTTCCGTTTCAGTCTGTGGATTTTCCAATAATCAAAATACATAGATCACGCAACGCATCTTGTTTTGATATTATATCGCTAAAGTTAGACCGTCAAAACAGATCCCGAAAGATGAAACAATATAGTCACCCTATCGGTCCGGAAGAAACAGGACGAGATTAGTTCGATCTGTCCGGTTCACACGACCCTCGTAAGATATATTGTGAGAAATTGTTTTTATAACTTGCATTTTCGTTTATGGCTTTTTATCTTTGTTTTTGTGTCTGTCTCTTTAGAGATTATGTTCGAGTAGACCCTCGAGATAATATGGTGACTATAAAATTAGGGATCTTTCTTTCTGATTGATGAGTTTTGTATCAGTAGATGTTGTGATAACGGACGCAATTTTTTTTCAGGAGTCAAAAGCTATTACGATACGGTTTTTGTAATAGTTTTTAACAGTTACACATTGTATGTAAAAGGCACTTGCATCGATAAAAATCGCACGAGAAGTATACACAATTAATATAATAATTATTAATTGTATAATCTTGTAGTATAAGGGCTTCATTTCGTGTTCATAGTAAACGCACAATTTGAGATAATACTCCCTAAATCAACACTAATGAAACAAGAATTGTATATACGTTCGCAGCTACCTTAGATTGTGTTTTTTTTAATTAGAAACTGATTTTAACGGTTTTAAATGCGAAATATATTTATTAACTTATCTACAATTTAACTACAGGGACTCGTTTCCCCGTGACCACAACGGAAAGATAAAATACATTGACTTTCACACCTATTTTGAAAAACTGCTTGGTTTTTCGAGCTGTACAAGCTATACCTTAATTAGCTATACATGTTATTTGTCAATAAATATACGTTTTATCCTAGCCCATCCCTCGTTCTGTCTAATTTTAATTAAAAACAATGTATAACATCATTTTAACAAACTACCCCTAATATACTATTATCTCATAATTCAATTCCAAATATTCCCATGCCATTAACACATCAGCGACATATGACAGTTCGTTAACCTTTTCGCACACCCATCACGCGATCGCGTGAGGACAAGTCGCTTCACCTCAATGAACGATCCTATTCAAAAGTTTGAACTGAAAAATATTAAATTACATTATTTACTGTGTTATATTGAACTCTATCACTTGGTAATAAAGATCATTGTATTTTACGTAAAACGGCAATAATTTGGTCAATAAACGATATGTTTCTTTAAAGAAATCGACTTTATTAGTAGGGAATAGAGTTGATTTTTGTATATTTTTGTAGTGCATTGAAAATTTGATAAAAGGGATACCGTGGGAGAATTGTAAATTGAATATTAATGTGGGCATGTTTCGGTATGCAGGGAGTGAGCATAGATGACCACCTGGTACAGGTAAGGGGGGGTTATGATAATTAGATAGGTCATTGCTGATATGGCTAACCAACTGCTTAGAGTTTAATAATGTTAGGAGTAAAATATGCCCTAACGGAATTTTTTTATAACTGATAACAAAATGTATAAATCATGTCGATATAACATGTAATTCGTATTACAGCTGTTTATTTCAGATTAATCAGGAATTTACTAAGGAACCAAAATTTAGTATTGTCTGTAGCTTACGTTATTCGAAAATATTAAATAATATGCTTAAACGGCTTAAAACGTGAATATTAATATACGTAACGTATGAGTATTGAATACTATATTTCGCGTGTAAATTGTTCTTATAATCTTTGTATATTGACATTTTATTGTAACAAAGATGTAACTCAAATTAAAAAAAAATATCCAGAAACCCCCTCTGTACCTAAATGGTCAAACTTTTTGTCTAGCAAAACATTAGACGTCCTGGGTTTGAATCCTGTGAAAACAATAGATTGTTTTGATCGGGCAGGGTACACAATTCTAATCAACTAGTCTGTATATAAAACCAACAGTAAAACGGACACAGAAATATGTTCGCCCCAGGCCCCACGGGGGGACACGGGATTGAATTTTTATAAATTGAATCTGTCATAATTGTCTTTAATTAATGATATTTGCAACTCGATATCAATAAATATAATACTCGATGCATCGTACCGTAAAGGTACTTACGGGTTATTTTTTACGCGTGTCATTTATGGGGTGGCTTTCTCACGCTGTGTGGGAATTTTACAAGGTGTAAGGGGTAGTATTGTAATTGTTTGTTCGCTCAATGCACCTATGATCATTTTGTGTACAGTTATTTCTATGTTCATTACTGTTTTATATTTAAACTACGTTTTAGAGACTGTTTATGTCCAATTTTTTCTTCTGATTATTGCTTAAACATAATGCAATAAAAATGCGGTAATGTTAGGATGATTGGATAGTCAATTAAAAATTATTGTGTAAAATATAACAGGTAAATCCAATTATAATATACGTGTCTTTTACAACATTTGAATGTTGTTACTCGTAAATATTTTTTCATAAAGCTGTTTTTTTAAAAAATACATACTGATACGACATGATATACGAGAGTAGTACACATTTAAATGAAACACTTTCAGCGGTTTTGAACGCGAAAAAACCAATGCTTAGCAGCAATCGTGATCGCGGGAAGACGTGTCCCCGTAGTTAAAAAATTATGTACGTAAGTTAACTAATGTATTTCGCATTTTAAACCGTTAAAGGGGTTTTATTTTAACCATTATTACGTGAGCCATCTAGCTATATACTTTTAAGTTTATACAAAGCCGTTTAAACATATTATTTAATATTTTCTAATAACGTAAGCTACAGACAATACTAAATTTTAGTTCCTTAGTAAATTCCTATTAACTATTTCGATTAATCTGAACTAAACAGCTGTAATACGAATTACATGTTATATCGACATGATAATATTTCATTAGTTTTTTTTTTATTAAATCGTTTTAAAGTCGATTATATTTTTTTTTAATTTATATTTTTTGCTCAATAGCTTTAACCCATTAATAACCAAACATACACGTCCATTCATTCTACAGGTTCGCGCCAGACAGAGACAGCACCAAAACAAAACATTCCGATACATTTCCCATCGCCTAACAGTGCGCGTTAGAGCGAGATGGCATTATTTTGTCAATATCACTTGAAAACAGGACGAGCAAGGATATGGGGTCACTTCGGGGTCTGGTCCTGGATCGCGGACCCCCAAAAAACCCGGGGGAAGGGGCCGCGAAACCCCCTCCCCGTTTCCGACGACAATTTAACGAAAGCCGTCGACGTACTTACCGCTATGGATGCTAACCGGTGCCGATCGCCCGCAAAACCGCCTAGGGGGGCGAGGTCTTCGCTACGCGTACCGCTACCCGGGTGAGCTTCCGTTCATCCTTAAGTCCCCCCGCCCCGCGGGGCCCACCCCCCGCCCGGGCCCCCCCGCGGGGCCCCCGCCCGCCCCCCACCCGCGCCGGGCGCGCGCGCGCCGCCCCCAGCCCCCAGGGGCCCCCAAAAAAAAAAGGATCGCGGGGTCGTGGTCACGGTTGGTACGTGGTTGTGGAAGGACGCATATTGTGTTGTGATAAAATGCCGTACAGTGAAGATGACGACTCTCAAAACGGTTTCTCTGAACCCACTCAGGGATTGTCTAAAGCGGAATTGAGAAAGGTGTGTTTTAATCATACGTGAGAAAATCAGTGCGAAATAATTCCGATTTTTTTATTTAGTGAAACACTCAATATAAAAATTATTCAAACGCCAGAAAATGTTATTTAATAAGTGAATTGTGATTGTCTGAAGTGTTTTAATTTATTTCAAATGTTAATTCTGTGTTCTTAGTAGCTAATTACGATTAATTTATAAAGATTGTTATGTTTTTTTTAATTTTCAATATAAAACTTTCGTGAAAATTTACGTATATTGCAATTATTTATATTTTATAAACTATACGCGTTTATATTTATATTAATATAATGCGCTTATTTTTTTAGACTAATAAACCAATAATGGAGAAAAAACGACGCGCACGCATCAATAATTGTTTGAATGAATTAAAAGATCTACTCATGGACTCTATGGACAAAGACGTATGTATTAAAAACTAATGTATACTAAATACATACTAAGAAAAATGTAGCTAATATTAAAAGTTACTTGTTTTTTTCCAGCCAGCACGCCATTCGAAATTAGAAAAAGCAGACATCCTAGAAATGACAGTGAAACATCTGCAAACGCTACAACGGCAGCAGCTGGCTGCAGCAATTGCTGCTGATCCAGCTGTGCTCAACCGCTTCAAGGCTGGCTTCGGCGACTGCGCTGTCGAAGTCCGAAGATATCTCTCACGTTTGGCCAGCGTACCAACGGGTTTACGCTACCGCCTAGGCAACCATCTTAACTCTTGTATATCTGGAATCGAGCGCCTGCATCCTGCCGATTACCCACCCCTGGTACCAGATCCCCTTAGGCTTGACGACGAACGCCCAAGCGCATTCCACTTCGTCAAATCCACCAAACCAACGAGTCCACCTCTAAGCCCTCTATCTTGTGACTCAGCCTGCGATTCATCGACGGAACTAGAAACACCACCACGGCCTATCCAAATACCCAAATACCCCTTCCCTACGCCACCCAGCCATTCAGCATCTGACCAAGACTCGAGTCCAGAACAAAAACCAACCGTTTCGTCAACAACGATATCCCCAGAAACGTTAAAACAGGAGGCATTAAGGAATAAGAAACTAATGGAACCTCTATCCATCGTAATAGATGTTGAGAACTACAAAATTGGTATAGATGCGTCACCGAAGCGCGCTGTGGATTATTCTATGAGGCATAAGTACAAACGCCACGCTGATATTATGGGGCCGCCGACAAAAGTTTTACGGTTAGATGAGAAGACAGTCACTATACCAGAGAGGACGGTAAGAAACGAAGCTAAGGAGTCGGCCTTCAAGAGAGTACCAGAGCGATCATCGTACCCAGAGAAGAAAATTTTAATTCCTCCAAGTATACCATCTGCCATGGAAATTCCAAAAGATGTAAGGCAATCACGATCTGTGATAAGTCATACTGCTGCGTCCCTAGCACAGTCTAGCGCGTCCGTTAAAGAAGAGGAGAAAAGAGAACCAGATACGAGTTCACGATCTCCCGCGCAGGGTACCAGTACTGAGATGTGGCGGCCTTGGTGAATTAGAATTCGAAAATTAAAACATGACCGTTCCAACTAGAGTCTAATTGGAAATAAGTAAAACACTGTTAAAGGTTTAAAACGAGATATTGTTAACTTATTTACGATATATTTTTACCACAATAATCGTAAAGAAGTAAGTATATACTTCGCGTTTTAAACCGTTATAATTGCTTTAAACTCTCTAGAGACTTCCATATTTATGATGATGTTAATATAGTGGATGTTAAAATACTGTTATTTGAAAATTGTTGTTACGATAAAAGGTGCTAGAGATGTTATACCATTTAATTGTAACGCAATATAGCTTTAAGTTATTTTTATACAAAGATTATGGCTTTAAGAATGTACCTGTGTGGTATTCTTTTTTAGTATTAGAAAAGTTATTTTTAAATTGTTTTTTGTATATTTTTAATTGCTTTACCTAATATAGGTATTTTTATAAAAAGTTGTTTTTTCTATGAAGGTACTTAATAATACACACGAATAATATGGGAACGTTTATTGAAACAAATAACACACAACTAAAAATACACACACACTCACACACCAATAAATTAACAATAATATTAACGACTTCGTTGTAAAAATACTTTTTGGACGGAATTATTAAATAATATAATTTAATAAGGAAAGAATTATAATGATATTTTTATGACATCAGAGCACAGTCAAGCATGAAGTTCACTTCATGGAAGGTGAATACTCCAAGCCATACGACATCTAAACTAGATACGCCGTCGACCTATTTTCGCTTTGGATATTCGGAATTTGGATAACATCACAGAGTGAAACCAAAACTTCACGGCTGTAATCTGTGGACGGTGGTAGGACATAATTTAAAAAAAAATGACTACTAATGACACTAATCAATAGATCGATGAGCCTCTTTGTTATTTTGCATGGGACATGTCACCTTCCACCATTTTGTTCTGTGCCTGTGTTGTGTTGTGTCATGAGAACTTAAAATATTCTGTTAACAACGCCTCATTTAGATTTAAGAAAGTCTTTCCTCTGCTGCTGCAGCTTCTGTTCCAGAAGAGTGACTTTCTCTTGGTATTTAGCACTCTCGCGAGTCAACGCCTGTATTGCAGAGTCCTTGCGCGCGACGGCTACTTTTACTCTAGAAAACATGACATTGGCATTAGGAAAGATACCAGAAACGTGTCCTGTGACTATCGTTGAAGTAATGTCTGTAGTTTACGCGAGTAGTACACACGTAAATGGAACACATTTAACGGCTTAAAACGATATATTAGTCAGCCTCTTTATAATTTAACTCCATTAAAGCAATCATAGTTGAAATATATTTTACATAAGTTACTTAATATATTTCGCGTTTTAAATAGTTTAGTGTTTTATCTGAAAGTGTAGGTACTACTTGCGTAAACTACCACGGCGAACCGCGGTATGTGCTTGTGTGTTACGTATCAATTTTGTTTTAACTCTTATTAGTATCCGACAACGGGTATGCGCGTCCCTCTTAACACTTACTTGGCATACAGCTGATGCATCTGCTCCTCGTGTGTCTTCTTCATCTCCTCTATCTCCTTTTGCAGCGTCTCCACTTTGCTCCGCCACGCTTCTTCGCAACTGGATTTAATTTCTTCCGCACGTCCTTCTAGTTGAATATTTTTCTACACAAATATGAAGTATAAGAACTTATTACAATGAAATAAATAACATTTAAACCAAACAGTTATATTACTAAGTGTCATCACATCTACCTTTAGTAATATTTCAAGCTGAGTTTGTATGAACGCGCTAATTTCAGGAATTACTGTTTTTGTGTTGCGTATTCCGATTTATTGAGGAAGGCTTTAGGCTATAAAATATCAGGCAGCGACCTGTAGGAGTGATGTAAGAGTGGAAAATGCGGAAGAGATAGGGAAATTTATTAATCTTTGAAGGAAACGAAAAATATGCATAAAAGTATTGTTCCTCTTTGAACGACCTTCAAAAAACATCCACTACAGTCGATCTTAGGAAAGATCTATGAATTAACGTGTACCTCAGTCAGCACCCTGTTCCTAGTTTCCAGTTGACTTATATTCACTTCGAGTTCAGCACCTTCAAGACAAGAAAACAATATATTTTAAGCAGATTGGGCTATTTATTATAATTTAAACTGCAGTGAAATATAAACTTTAAATTAAAACACTTTATATGTTTTTAAACGGGAAATATCTTAGTGAACTTATTTTTCATTTAATTTTACAACGGCTTTTTTAAAACTCTACATTTATATAAAAAAATTATATTACGTAAACAATGATATGATTTTGTTATTTTTTGAACACACATGTTTGTGTCGGAACTGTTCTCCCCAAAACTTAGCAACTGTAGCACGAATGAAGGATATGTTTGTAAATGAATTATCAAAATAATATCTAAATGCCTTACATCTGTCTTCTTGCTGGCGTATCCTCGCTTGGGCATCTTGATAGCGCTTCAGTGTTGCCTGCTCCGTCTCGGCTAGCTCCTTCAATTCTGTCTCGTAGTGTTCTTTGTTTCTCCTATCATTAACATATGTCAATTGTAAGGAAGCTTAGAATAAGGTATTTTGGATTTAAAAATTCGATGACACGAGCGGGTTTTGAACCGGCTTCAACTGACGTGGTGTAGCTATAACCAATTGAGCTACAGCGTCTCGCTCATTGTGATCGAATTATTCAAACCGTATATATAAAATGTCTCTCGCACTTTAATAGATTTTTAGGCTATTATGTGCAACATCCAAACATTATACAATTTTCAAAAATATAATTAATTACTAAATTAAACAAGAAACAACAATAACAATAAGTTGTACGATCGATGTCCATAAAATCAAACATGTCAAATCAACATTGCGCGAGAGGTGCATGTATCAATAAGTTGAAAAAATTCGACGATGAGGTAGTGTAGGACTCGGTAGCTCAATTAGTAGAGGAACAGCACGGAACACTGTCTATGCCGGTTCAAGTCCTGCCCGAGTCGACAATTTTTTCAATGTATTTTCGATTTTTAAATGTCTAATCAATTTAAAAAAATCTGAATTGTGTTGTATTCGTTTGGAATGTGGTGTTGGTGGTACTTCACCTGCTTGCATCAAGTGCTTGTATGTCCTATGTAAATAATATAAATGTACACCACTTAATAAATTCGCTATATATCCAAAAGGTTGATGAATATAACGGTCGCAATTTCGGAAGGTATAGAATCTTAAGGTATATAGAACCTTGTACCTTAAAGCGTCTTGTAACTCCTTCCTGCCCGCTTGGGCTTCAGCTTCCAAGCTCTCTATAGCCTTTTCAATCTCCCTATCTCTATCCAACTTGTGCTGCGCAGATAGCTCCGTCACTTTCTTCTTGAACAGCACCTGTTGATCCGCTTCGTACTCGCGTTTGTATACTTCGAATTCCGCTTCGAGTTGGAGGCGTTTTTCGTTGATTTGCTCCTGTAAAATTAAAAACGGATCTTATATGGATAAATTTATATCTTCAAATGATAGCCTTCCATTGTTTGGGTTTGCTTTTCTAGAACCCGATCTTTAAAAGAGATAAGCATAGACAAAATGATTTTTAACGTTTTAAATGAATTATTGTTTTCTGGAGATTTTGGAAGCTGATATAATCAAGCTACTCGAAAAGAGGGGAAGAGAGCCCGATTTGCGCATTGTAATTAAATAAGATTACAGTTTACAATTACCTCCAATTTTTCTTTTTCTCTCATTATCTCGCGTTCAATATTCTGTCTTTTCTCTCCCAATAAGCGTTCTTGTTCTTCGCGCCATTTTTCTATACAGAAAACCGTGTATAATTAACATATTATATATTGGAAACATTATTGTTTTTTACATATTATTGCACTATATAATTTATAAGAGCAAAAGCACGGAACGCTGACGATGTCGGTTCAAGTCTTGCCCGAGTCGAATTTATTTTCGATTTTTAAATTTTATTATAAATTCTTACGACAGTATATGTCTATTAACAACTTTGTTATTAGTCCGTAGTTTACATGATTAGTAAGTTTTGAAATAAAATATTTTTAATTATTTAAAAGGGGAAATATATTTTTAACTTATGATGTCATGCATGTCATGCCCATAGTTAAAGTAAATGTAAACACAAGTTACTTATATATTATACGAATACAACCGTTAATAGCGTTTTATTATGAATATGGTTTCGACGTACAGACAAAAATATCACACGTCCGTGTGACACGTGGTATAAAAGACAGGAGTCTTTAAAAAATCAAAATGGTCCTACGTTTTAATATACAATGTAGAAAAAAACAATCTCACCATACTCTTCTCTCTGCAGTCTGTCTCGCTCGTTCAATTCGTTCGCAACGCGTTCGTTCTCAGCTCGCAGTTCGGCGACTAAACGCGTCCGCTGCTCTTGGTAGGTCACTTCCAGTTCTAGTATTTGCTTTTCCAATCTGAAGTAATACGCATTTCAATAACTTAATAATTTATTCTGATATAAAGCTCAAAAAAGTCTGTTTCGAAAAAAAATCTCTAAAGTCTAAGAAATATCGGCTAATTGCCAGACGTAAATTACTAGAAACATTTTAATATAAGAAGTATAGCTTTAAAATATTAACTTTAATCGTTGAAAACGCGATGTATAAGTGTTTTATTTGAATGTGTACTACTCGCATAAACTACATGCAGTATATACAAAATTACAATCAAAGTTTGACGGGCTTCCTGGTCTAATGGCATAGCTATCTATGGCTAATAACCGATGGATCGTGGGTTTGATCCTCACCGAGATCTCATGTATCCAATCAATTTATAATTTTTCTTCGTCATGTATGATATCGACAATTCGACAAATAACTGACCACAGATGAAAAAAACGTGAAATTTAATCGCGTTTCGGTTGTAATTTGTGGATTTGTGACAACGAAAGAAATATTGTTTAGATGTTATATGGCTGAGGTATTTCTACCAACCATTGAGTGTACCCCACATTTGCCTGTCCTCTTCACATACAAAATAAACGGCTACTAAGTAGTCAAATTGATTTTGACCGCCTCTGTAGCCAAGTGGTTAAATGGTGGTCCTGGGTACGAATCCCAAGGAAACAAAAAATTGTTTCGGTCAGACAGGGCATAAAATCTGATCAACTACTTGCCAGTTAAAAGAACGTATGAGTAAAACGGACACAGAAATGTGTTCGCCCCATGCCCCGCGAGGGGGGAAACGGGCTCTCACATTTTAAGTAGTCAAATTAATTGATAAAGTAAAATACGAACTTCTGAAAACCTGTTCAGATATCACAGGATATTTAAAAAAAAGGTTTTTATACCTAGAACTAGCCAACTGCCTCTCTTTGATCAACGCTTCTTCCTTCTCTTTCTCCAGCGTGCGCCGCAGCTCTTCTACCTCGCTCGCACGTTGCGCGTTCAATTTCCCGATCTGCTCTGCGTGAAACATCTTCAAATCTGAAACCTCCTTTTGTTGTCTCTCAGCCATTTCGCGAAGTTCACCTTCGAGACCTTTCACTGTCAACTCCTGGAAAGCAAAAAATGCTGATGAGGAAGAATACTAAAAAAGGGGACATTGTTTTTGTTATGGAAGTTATGTAAGCCATCTTAGTGAGGGCCGGAGTCGATGACACGGGTGTGACTTGAACTGGCAGCATGGAACGCTATGAATACCGGTTCAGCTCTCGCCCGTGTCATCAAATTTAAATCTAAAATAGGTTTTTAATTTGAGATATAATATTGTGAATTCTTTGTGATAGTGGAAGAGGTAGAAATATCCGAGCTATATAACATATGAACAAGACGCCTTGTCGACCTATTTACGTTTCGGATATTCGATAATTAACTAACACCTTGTTTAAAATACATAGTATGTTTACCTTGATTTTTTCTGCTTTCTGTCGTACCCATCGTTGTCTAGCAACCTGAAATAACAAAAGTAACCAACATAATATCTACTGAAACTCTCACTACAAAATTGTTCAGGTTGAAATAGCTTTGCGCGAGAGGTGGATGTATCAATGCACTGAAAAAATTCGGTGATGACGTGTAGCTCCATCGGTTAGAGGAGCAGCACGGAACTTCGCGGATGCTGGTTCAAATCCCATGCGTAGCGTCAATTTTTTCAATCAAAAGTATTTTATTTTATTTTATATAACAGTATTTCATTAGTTGTATTGTTACTTATATGAAACGATGCATACTTGTTGGGCCGCAGCCATTTTGTCGTGTTGATTTCTCAGCTCCAGCTTGTATCTTTCTTCAAGCGCTTGCGCAGATCGTTTCCATCTTTCCTCTAGGGACCTTCGCTCGTCCACTAGTTCTTCTATACGATGGTTCAGCGTTTTCTTATCGTTTATTAACTGAAAACCCGCAATTAGTATTATATGTGGGTAGATCGATAAATTTTTAAAATCTATAAATTTATACCTGATCAATAAAACTCTGATGTCTTTTGATTGTTTCTTCGCATTCTTGTTTCACTTTTGCTATGTTACGGTGCGACTGCTTTTCAAGATTACTTATTTTACTTATCATCTGAAATTTCAAATACTATAATTAATAATAATTAATGAATATTTCAGTATAGTCATATATATGTGTCAGTCATATAATTGACTTCTTACTATAGTCACACTCATAGTATGTTTATTTATACTCATAAATGAAACATTTTTAACGGTACAAAACGTGAAGTATATTTCTCAGTTTACATTTAGCTTATATTTATTTCAACTGTGGCCTGTTTCGGATACTTAGCAACAGTCGTGGTCACGGGAGTACTACGGTATTTCTATGAAAATAATGTTTATAGTTTTTCTCTTAAATATTAAAATTACAGCTTGTTTTGAGGTAGTTTTAGTAAGTTATGACTAAATATCTATTATAACCTAACACAATAAAATTCTAAGAATACTTAGAAAGCATCCGGATTCCTATTAATGTAGAATGTGCCCTTTCACTGAGTTGACAGACTTACCTGTTCCTTATGATTAGCAAGACTCTCTTGCAATAGAACTATACAACAAGACCTCTCCTCCAACTGCAGTGAAGCAGTTACTAAACGCTGGGCCAATTCAGTTTGAGGTAACTTAAGCAGACTTTCTAATCTGAAATACATATTAAAAGTATTACGGACTTCAATTAACGCAATTAAACTTATCTTTCTATAGAAAGGGATTTTCTCGATGTAAGCTATAGCTTACATCGAGAAAATCCCATGCTGTATGGTTTCATGTCATAAAAAAAACTTATTAGAATGCTTACTTCGGAATAGTTTGAGGCGTTGTGCTCGTTACAACAGAAAGTGCGTCGTTAGCGCTCTGTTCAACTTTTTCTAGAAATTGAAATATTTCCCTGAAAACACATACCTTTTAAATATAATGCACACCTTAAATACTGTATATAGTTTACGCGAGTAGTACACATTTAAATAAAACACTTTAACGGTTTAAAACGCGATATATTAGTTAAACTTATTTGAAAATTATTTTTAACTATCCCCGTCTCCCCGTGACCACGGCTGCTGCGAAGCATTCGAAACGTCTGGCCGAAGTTAAAAATCATTTTCAAATAAGTTTAACTAATATATCGCGTTTTAAATCGTTAAAGTGTTTTATTTAGATAATGCACATCTTTTTCTTTGAAAAACTATTATTAGTATTAAATTAACATGATATTTTAAAAACTCACATAAAATTATCTTTTGGCGTAGCACTCCCATCTTCTTTAACCTCCGATTGTGTTTTCGTTTCAGCTACAGAAGTCACCGGATTATCACCATAACTCTCTATTTCTTTTAACATTGAATAAATGTCTAATACTGTGGAATTAGCAGTCAATTCTTTTGACTTCTGTATTTCTGTAGTAGCGCTTGGAGCTTCTTTCAATTCAGAACCAACTTTCTCTGGTTCTCTATCTTTTTTGGGACTTAAGTCATCTTGGTTAATTTCTCTAGTAGTTTCAGAGGGACTTGGTATATCGGCTGGTTCTTTGTCTAGTTCGAGAATTCTTGGAGAGGGGGCAGATAAAGACATCCAAGATTCTATATCTTTGTCGGTCTGAACGCTCTCAATTCTTGCACTTAGTGGCGTTCTCATGGTAAACACATTTCTCTGATTAACAGGCTCATTTTTCTCCGTGTTCTTGGCGTTTCTGTTATTCCAGAATTTCTTGTATCCGGAGTTTTCTTCGTTCTTAGACTGGATATTGTTGAATTTCTTATCAAACTTTTTTGTATTCTTCGCTGCATTATCTGGTTTATAATCACTTTTGACTTTGAGATAATTCTGTATTAATTCTTTTGTAGTGACTTTGGATATGTCATTCTTGTTTCCATCATAGGAATTTTTGTCTTTTGCCTGGGATTCGCTATTTGAAGTGGAATTTTCACGAGTATCAGGCGCACTAGAATATGGTTCAAACATTTCAATAATATTCAGTGGTATAGGCGAAGTGCCATCGGTTTTAATATCTTTTAAAGTCAATTCGTGCAAAGTATTTATAGCAGTGATTTCTTTTTTATAATCTTCAATAACTTTCGATGTATACGCTTTTGTAGAGCTGTTTAGAAGGTATGATGGATATTCGAGATTACTATTTTCATCCTCCACTTTGGAGCTTGAAGAATCAATGCTGGTAGTGGATGCGTCATTCTTCGGTGTATTTTGTGGAGGCAGCGCTAAATGTCCTTCTTTCTTCAGAAAGAAATCTTTATATAGTAATCTGCTGTGATTCAAAGGTTCAGCCCATTTTCCAGGGAAATCTTTATTGGTGGATGTGCTGTCCAAACTTTTCGGTTGATCGTTGTCAAGTTCGTGAACATTTCGTTGAAAAGAGGTTGACGGTAGAGAATAATTTTGTAAATACAGTTTATCGTCTTTATTTGTGCTTTCTGGGTAACCAGAGTCTTTAGACGACGTATCTGTTTGAACAACAGTTGTACTTGACATTTTCGATTTGTCCATTATATTAAAGTCGTTGTAGAACGCTCGATATGTTTGCGGACCGTTTCCGTAATCAACATTATAGTCTTTATCACTGTTATTTAAATAGTTTGTTGTAAAATTAACATTTACGTTATTCTCCTTAATGGTCCGCGAATCAGATGCTAGACTAAGCAAATTTTGCGAGACGTTGCTGTCTAAATCCTGCGTCGATTCTTCCTCTACTAATGATAGCTGTTGTTTAGTTTGCATTAAGCGACGAGAAAACATTTGTTCATTTGAGAGAGTTTGTTCATTTAATAAACCACAATTATTATGAGATTCGTTGTTTGCGTCATCGAGTGTCAGGAAGTATGACTCATATTGTCTATTTTTTAAGGGGGGAGAAAATGACCTTCTTTGGAATATATCACGGTTTCTTGTCGGGGAGGTAGATCTTGGTCGCTCTGTTATAGCAATTTCTATACCGTAATTGTCCTTATTATAATCATTTGACATATTATCTACCAATCGCTTATTCTTTTTAGGTATATTTCTATACTTTAAAGCATTTCTTGGATTTGGATTCCTGTTCTTTGATCCGGACTGAGCTTTAGCTTTTATTTTAGTCCCCAAGCTAATAAATGTGTCTTCAGAGCCTATGTCTGAGGTGTTGCAAATTTCTTTTGCTTTGTTTGAATGGTTATTATAAACCTTGGAACTACCCAGTAGCTGTTCTGTAGGTGGCAAAACTTTAACAGTCAGTGGAGAATCTGAAAAGACAAATATTTTATAACAAATTTTTTTTTCAACACCAAAAATGTACGGGAAAATCAAAACTTCTTATTAGTTATTGGTATTAAGAAAGCATAAATACAGAAAACATTTATTTCATATATAAAGCTCTATATATAAATGTTCTATGTATTATTTCTTAAGTTACCATTGGAAAATATTGAGATTTATATTATTTTAGTTTTACAATAAACATAGATGAATTAAGCTGTTAATTACAAATTGAAATAGTTTATTCCACACCAAAGAATATTAGAATAATACAGAAATTATACAATTAATATGTGCACTAACTTTACTGTGGAACAACTTTGCTTCAGGAATACCAATTTGTAATAATAGCAAATGAGCTTTTTTTACTAAACCTAACACTGCATTTAAGTAGTTGATACAAATACATATCAAGAATAGTAAGAGCTAAAAAAATATGATCCAACAAAAACAATCCAAAAGTTGTTAGCAAAATTCAAATGTATGCATGTTAGAATGTTGGGTTAATATTATACTCACTGTTATATGATTGGAGAAGCTCTGCACTAAAAGTCTTGAAGAAAGATCTGGTACTCGGTGCTCTATCTTTTGTATCAGCCGAAAATGGCCTCTTAAATTTCTCTTGATTGTCCTGTAATTTTAATCAAATACTGAATTTACTAGGCAAAATATGAAGAACTATAAGCTTATATATTTTTATTTTACTATTTTAAAAGTTTAATTTCGTTAATAAATGAATATAAATATTTTTTACCGGAACGCAGGAGTTTTGCAGTGCGGATCTTGGTCGATTTCTGTTATTTCTCTTATCCTCTCTCTTCTTATTTCTATAAGACAGGTTGACAGGCGAGCCCAGCAATCTCAAATTATTGTTTTCCTTCGACATCACTATTTTTTATTGAAACAACATCGACAAATGCTTAAGTATATCATTATTTTCAGCACGTTTCAGCACATTTGTTTGATCTTTAGTGTTTGTTATGAGAGGTTGCTAGGCAACCGAATTGTCAAGTTACGTCATCTTTGACAGATGGTCAAATATGAACGTTCTATTACACGACTAATGCATTTGTAATAACATTATTTATTTCCACTAATAATTAAAATGTTACAATTCGTGAAACTAATTTTTAAGTTATAAATAAATAAAGCTTTTAAATAGTAGAACATAAAGCACTGTTATTTTAATAGTATTGATACAGAGAGGAAACGAAACGCATTCCTACTACAGCGATGACGTCAGAGATAAAAATAACTGGAATTGATCATCCTGGTAGTTGTTCGACGGCCGGCTCTTTTTCGACTCGCTATTCGAATGGTTATCGAATTCCATACTTTTTGAAGGTTGCGTATTTTATTTCGGTGTATATTGAACTGCGTAAAAGCGCAACAGATTGCGTTATATTAAGTGAATCCCTGTAAAAGTGTTTAATTCATTTGTGTTTCATTGCGCAGGCTCTATTTTCACTGGAAAAATGTTCAGCGGTATCGCAGGTAAAACTTTAAAAATATTTTTCTTTCCATAATATTAATCTTACGTTATTAGGAATTATTTACTGGTAGTTCGTTGTTTGCATGCAAACTTACAAGCGCGATTACCACAAACATTATTAGTCAACATTTCTTAATGCGCAATTAATTATTTATTCTTTATTGTAAAAATGCATGGTATGTAATTAAGAACATAGATACATTTTAACATTTGTGTGTCATTGAATAGAATTGTAATACTGGTGAAATCATCGACATTAAAACCGTTTGAGTCAGGCCAAATATTAGTATTTGCGTATTATATTTTGATGTTGCATGTAAACATTGTATTTTGTACCTGCTCCTACGGTGAACTTTTGCGTATCTGTGTAATTATTACGTTTTTGCTTTCCTAATAAACTACTAAGTACCCTAACTATGTTGTTTTGCTGTAGCATTATAAGTTACTCGTCGATAGTAATACCGATGTTAATTCTAACATTAAAAATATTAATTTATAACACTAAAGTTAAAATTGCCTAAATAATATTTAAAACAGTTTTTTAACTGTCACGCCTTAGCGATACCATTATAATTTATTTTAATCAGGTAATTTAATAAGTACTTATCTCATAATAATTGCTTTTAACAGCAAAACAAAACTCGTTTTATTCCAATTAGAGAGATAAAGTTTTGGATACATCTGTTATTATAAATTAATTCTTTTGCTTATTCTAGGAATGAGTATTTTTATCATCGTGAATAGGTCATCTACGTTAGTTTTCGTTCACAGTGCAACAATGTTTTAAGTTAAACAAAACGGCATTATGAAAATGAAATAGGTATCAAATATATTTTTACGTAAATGAAACGTCGTGTTTAGAAATAAAAGGAAAGCGTACGAAAATGTTTTTAAAGGTCGTCATTTTGGGTCATCTGTCAATCCTTAAACAGATAACATTTTTGTTTTTGCACATTTTTTTAATTTTAAATAAAATAAAGTTCAAATAACGATTTAGAAAATAAATAAATAAAGATTTTTTTTAATAATAATTAATATTCACGAGTAATCTATTATCGTAAGTATAGCGTAGCTTTAGCTCTATGTAACAGTTGTTTTTTGGCACAGGGCTTATAAAGAAATACTAATTAGTTAAATACTTATTTATAAACATAATTAGAATATTTTCAAGTGAAATAATAATATCCTTCGCTCGATTACTTACTATAGAAAAACATACATATAAACAAAACGCTACATACACATAACAGAGGAATTTAGAGTTGATTCATCGAAATGGTCTTGCGCCGTTAATTTCAAGGTTAGCAAGTAGGAACCGAGCGAATTTTCTATCCCTTTTCCTCCACAACGTGCAAAGAAGAGATAAAAAGAGCGAAAGGCAGTGTGCAGTATGAATAGACTAACGTACACATTGCGTGGCAGACGGTTTTGTTAATTAGGAATGCGGGTAACTGGCCCTTTGGCCTTAAGATTATGTAAGGTCAGTGAGGGTCTTCATCAACACATCGAAAACGTGATTGTAGTAGTTGTCCTTTATCCGGTAGGAATATACTCGTTTTGATATTTACTCTCACAGTTTACTGAGATGCAAAATTAGTCGACACAATAATACTATTAAAATCATTATTTTAATTATATGTATACACTTAATACTAATTACGCATAAAGTTGTGTATAGCTAGTTAAACTCTAACGGTAAGATGATTTTAATAATATGTTAAGTTGCAGATACGCAAATAAGCAAAGATAAAAAACAATCTAAATATTGAATTTGATTGTATCAAAAATAATAACTATACTACAAATAATACATTATATTATTGTCTGTATTGTACAGACAATAGTATAATATACCTATAGACCTATATACGCTTAGTTATATTTGCATTATGTAGCGATATTTTTGTTATGAGAACTTTTAAGTAACCTATTGTTGTTTTTATTAATGGTTCTTAATGTTTGAGGCTAATGGTGCGCTGACACATCTAACTAATGACTACTTGATGATAGTTCAGCAAAGTGTATTTTTATTGTTTTATTAATCACCAAAATTTATCTCGCATATTCTACTTACCAATAACTGACTGACCGTTACAGAACTTTATATGTATATTTATTTTCTGTTCTTATTACGAATCTATGTTTGTTGTTACTATAATCTGGTCCTCTATCAATAAACAAAAATCAATATTTTAAGCCTTGAAAAGACAACACTGTTGCGTTTACGAAAACTGCTAAAGTTTTGGTCGGAAAGGACAGAAATACGTATGACCTTAACCCTTTATTTCCTGAAATAGACACAGAAATGTGTCCGTATCGTGTGCTTTAAATGCGAATATAACAAATCTTCGTGGAGGCGTCAGATTATCTACACGATAAGTATAACAATGAATGACCATAAATTAATATTGTGCTTGCTTTGTTTGACTCGTGTGTGAGTACTGAATTCCGGACGTAATTACGGTGACGCCATTTCGATGTAATTTATAGATGTGTTAAAATGGACGTTACTTTGTGTATTAGTACTGGGAGTGCTAGGGCTAATGCTTAGGATTTGGTACTGACGTTAGCGACAATGTATTGAAACGTAAATCGTTACGAGACTATTTTTAAATGTAACTTTAAGAAAAATATGTAATAATCTCTCGCTTCAAACTTTAAGCGAAAAAATAACATGATTTGCTATTATACATTTCGTAATGATCACAATTTTTTTGTTGACCCTATTTTACACTCTATCTTTCTAGACATCACATAATATTAATCAATAATTGAAAAAATAATGTAATGTAATTGTAATTGACTAACTGTTCTTAGAATCTTTTTAGAAACACAATACTTACAGCATTTATGTAAAAGCTCCACGTAGAGGTAATTATAAATAATGGGGGTCGATACTAAGAACTAAGGCCATAAAACTTTTGCGATCAATACCGAACCTACTAGTTGACAAATACGAGACAAGCTGACGACAACAAAGTTGTATTTAGGTCACCTTATTTCGTAATACTCTAAAAGTAACAATACTCAGCATTGTTAGTCTTTTGCATTATTTTTAGTCGATTTGCAAATAAGAAGACAGGATGAAACGCCATAAAGGCGTGTTTCAATTGCGAGTAAATGCATAGAGCAAAGTAGTTAGGTAAACAAACGCTAATACTTACTATTATCAGTCGAACACCTTTTTTCAAAACGATAGTATGCACTATAATAATAATCATGTTTTTATAACAGAGGTCACTCAGTCATTTGATGAAAGGTGAGGTAGCCTAGCTACATAACATTTAAACCAGATACACGGAAGATCTGTTTTTTGATGAAGAATTTTTGATATTTCTTTTAATATACCCAAATAATTCAGAAAACTAATAAGTATATTTTAGAAACATGTCGATCGTGGTGGAAATCGAACCCACTCCCCGTTTAGTATTCTGCGTTGCTGATATAGGACCGACCAGCCCGTTTATAAAATTTATGACCGACTATAAAATACTTCTATAAAATGGAAGATGTTGCTTTTACTGAGCTATTTCTAGTGTTGCCCTGTTGAATAATAATTTATATAATTATAATCTCTACATGTGTTCAAGGTCACTACCCACCTAATGACCATATTACGTGACAAAGTTTATAAACGGTAGTAAGCTTATAATGTAAAGTTCGATCTAGGCTCTAAAAATATTATTGCAATCAATAGAACATTGTAGGTTTAACGGAACGCAGCGTTTTATTAATAAACACGATTGCTTGAGTCATGAGGTAATGAAAACCTAAATTAAACGAACGAAGAATTCAAATAAGTCGTAAACAAAAGGGTGCTTACAAATTGAGTTGGTTTATTGTATTAATAACATAATTTTGTTATACATATATTTACTTATCGTAAAAACTGCCATAATACAAAATGGCGGACCTTAAAATAGGCAGAGAAGTTAACAAGACAACGTGACTTTGTGTAGGCAACTTGATTTGATTTTTGCGCCCTCTATTAAAAAGTATCATGTTTTCTAGGATGCCCAGGACCGCTCTCGCTTTGAGCATTGCTAAATGTGTTACACCATTATAGCACTGAGACGGCAAAGTATGTTCTACGACAATTAACTTAATTTAAATTTAAATTTAAAGAAAAGGTGAAATAATGTTTTAGCGATATTTTACTCGTTCTATATAAAATTCGACATGAATGATTTTATAAGTTTTATTTTTTATTTATAGATTTTATAGGTTGTTTGCCTATCTTATAAGATAGGCAAACAACCTATAAAATCTAAACATAAACAAATGAACTTTCAAATAAAACACTTTAACGGTTTATAACGCGATATACCTATATTGGTTAAACTTATCTGCGTGTTATTGTGTGTCGTTTTGTCAATTATTGTGTCTCCCCGTGACCAGGACTGCTGCAAAGCATCCGAAACAGGATCAGGACGAAGTTTAAAATAATATATATCGCGTTTTAAAACGTTAAAGTGTTTTATTTAAATGTGTACTACTCGCGTTAACTACAGACAGTACTCAATATGAACTTTGTAATTTCAATTAATTTGTTTTCTTTGATTAGCAATATTTATTACGATTAGGTATAACATAGAAATATATAACCTTGAAGAGATTAGAAATTTAATTTTGTTTTTAACTGAGAACAAGGTCAGAACTATGTTGCGGAAAATTATCAGTTACGTGATACGTATATATGATAGATGATCCTGTGGTTACTTGGTGTTGTAAATTTTTCTTAATACTTACTTTTAGTAGATCACTCGTGAAATCTTAACGTACTGAAAAGTATAAATTTGTGCGTAATTTAGTTACAAATTGATTTTTATTAGGATTCCTTTGAGGTAATTTTAGTTTTTTACAACAAAAATGTTTTAATATGATCTCATATCTTCTTGTACAAAATCCTATAAGAAACGTTTGTATTAAGTTATAAAAAAGCTATATATCTATATGAGGTACCTTAAAGGACTTCATCCATTTCTGCAGCTCATGGTTACGTGTTGTATAGTATTGCGTCATATGCGAGATTTGGATTTGAATCCCGGAGAAAACATCAGTGTTTCCCCCGATTGAGACATTTGTTCTAAAGTCTGAAGAACTGGGTCTGTAAATAAAATAAGCTAGAGATTTTATAGATTCAGATTTTTTAAATTATTTATTATACTAGTATTATACTCATTTCCTATGAGCGACAAAATATTCGATCATATGAAATGCAATATTTAAATTCTATTTTAACCTTTAGACTACAGCAATCTAGATCAATGTACCGGTGTGACCGTTGTCTGTAGTTGATATTAACGAGTGCCTAGTTCTGTTAATCTTTGCGTGGGTTAGAGGAAATAATCTTATACCCATGTTATTCCTTATAATGAATTATAAAAGTGTTCTGACTCATAGAAAACGTACTTAGCTGTAAAATAAGTTTTTGTTAACCTCTGTGCCCTGCCCGACCGAAAATTTGCCACGGTCTACCTAGTCCTAAGGCTCATCCCCTCTTTTAGCATAGCTTGAATTAAATTAACCTCCAAAATTATAAATAGCAAAAAACACGTTAAAAAATCATTTTCTTCTACGCTTATATCTTCGTTAAGACATGGTTAAAGGGCCCCTAAGTTCCGGCGCCGGTACACTGCACCACCTGGCTCTACGATATGAATTTACACTACACAAATTAATACCTATTGTTATCCATTGAATGATAAATTAATAGTAATTATATCATGTGTCATAATATTTCTATTGGGTCCAAAGTGTTTAATTTGCACGTTTGTATCGGCATGACTCAAAAACCTGCCTCAGTTTAAAACATCTAGATCACCTTGTACGTAATTATTTTTACGCACTGCAAGAATCGTTAAAATACTATAGGCATGTAACAATCTCTACTTTACAATCTACTACTATACTATATATATATATAATAAAAGGATGTTATTTAGTGTAGTCTAGGTTCGTGCTCCAAAAGACGGTATAATTTAATACCAACCTGGAGTAGAAGTTTTTAGAGTTATCCTACCGTCGCGCCTTAGTAAGCATCTTACATGCATATTTTTTAGTGGTTTATGGTTTAAGATACCTAAAACTTTCATGCATATTTTTTAGGTATCTTAAACCATTTTCGCAGCGTACACAACGGAACCTCTCAAACCTTGAATCATTTTCCTCAATTGTTTCACATTTTCCACCAGTTTCATATGTATTAGCGTGATGTTTTGCTTTTCTCGCTAAATGCTATAACCAACACAAAAACAATTGATCAATTCGAACCTGTAGTTCTTGAGATTAGCTGTCAAATGAATAAACTCTTCAGCTTTATAATATTAGTATAGATTTATTTGTATTAATATTAGTATAGGTTTTTAGGCCCATCAACAATGTCTGTAGCATTTTAGATCTAACCTGTGCCGTGCATTTGATCTAAGACCAACGGTGGGCTCTTTTTCGAGAGAAACGTCTAATAGCTTAGAAATTAGGAAATTAAAAAACCTTACTTATTACGTCATTCTTACAATACTTCATTTTGGTATACTGGTTACTGAATTTCAATAAAACACTGAACGGTTTAAAACGCGAAAACAGGTGGAAGATATCGCCTTGAACTCGGCTGCTGCGAAGCATCCGAAACTTCGTGGCGTAAAATAAATTATTTAACTAAGATGTTTAACGATTTATACCGTTAAAAGTGTTTTTTTTTTTTTTAATTTGTACTACTCGCGTTGACTACAGACAGTATTACTTAAGATCTATTTAATTTAAGACACATTTAGTACAAGACCATGTAGCTCACATGTAAGCCTTCACCAAGTTGAACTGGATTCCATAGACTATAGAAGCATGTAGACTAGAAAACCAGCATGAAATCACCAATTTTCAAATACATATTATTTTTATAAATAACCAATATTTACTATGTTTCAATGCTGGCCGATAGACAAGAACCTTGGTGAGTTCTATTATACATGTTTGTTTATTTTTTACCACCGTTAGCTGTATCGCCGTTGATTTATTGAGACCTTGGCGAAAATTAATGGATATACTACTGTTTAGTTAATGTTTCCCGAAAGAAATATTTTCTTTGAGAGCTTAAGGTACTTATTTAATAAATTACCCAAAGTAGTTCAAATGTAAAGCTAGTGTATTTTTAAGTGAGTGTTTCACTCAAACGTTTTAAAACTCGAAATATATTAGTTATAATTTAACTAATATTTTTTTAAGCGTTTTAATTAAATGTAAACTACAACATACTGTATTATTTCTGTGAGTGAAAATCTCTGCATACTTAACATAAAATGTTGTAAGTCCAGGTGTATATTTTGTTAAATTTTAACTGGTTCGAATGCAGTGATGTTGCAGTATTAGACTAATTCAAGTTCCATTTTTCCTGGCTGTTATCCAAATTTGTAGTGAATCGTTACGTGGAGACATTTGCATTATTCAAATATTTTTTACAAATGATTCTCTCAGTCTCAGTTAATTTAGCATAAGAGTGTAGTAAATATGTTTTATTTTAAAAATAAATCGGCAGTCGAACCCGCGACCAACGTGTCCTTGTTCAGATAAAGATCGAATCTTATTAACCTTTTTATAAATTACTAAAGACAATAAAACAATGGACTACATTAAAATAAAACACTTTAACGGGTTGATTTCCCTGTTCTATAACAAAATTCCAGTAAAACTTTATTTTATGTGGAAATTGGGACCAATTGCAATTAAATCCAGAATACCGGTCTAGGCTTCGACTCCCATCCCTAAAAGATTTCATAAGTTTTTATCGCATTTACGGGGATAAAGCATTTTCCTAATTATTTACTACAGTCTAAATGAAACCCAACACCTGGTACTGTGTTTATATAATCGCTTTGCGGTCACCTTGACCACGCTTGGAAATCGATAGCGTAGTCTGTGAGCTAGTGTCAGGGAGGGTCCTTTAAAATATTGCCACTAGAAAACTTACACGATTAGACAATAAAATCGGGAACAAGACAAGCTAAGACAAATAATGAAATAAGTTATTGAATCCTGAACTTAAATATGGTAGTATTAAAAATCGATTTTAGAAAAAAATTACAGCAGGCATGACTTGAACCGACATCTACAGCTCTCCGTGCTGGTGCTATAACTTGAGCTACTTTCTCCGGGTAGTTTTTTTCACCAAAATATTTTGTAACAGTTTACAACAAAAAAGAGCCATGTTATTCTACTTATGTACTCGTTTAGGTACTACGAATTAGCACAGTACAGTACAGTAGATATAATAAGAAGACCTACATTTTAAAAGGTTTTAAAGAATTGAGAGTTTTTGGAGAACCTTTTACGTTTTCATCATTAAATTAAGATTTTGAAAAATAATTTCAGGTGCTTTCCGAAGCATCGGGGAGAAAACGGCTTCTCTCTTCGAGAGGAAGAAAAAGGACGTTGAACAGCTGGCTCAAGAGAAAGCGACTGAGGCAGCACACGTGGTCGAAGAGCAGGTGAAGAAGACTGGGGAACTTGTGGCCGGCGCTGAGAAGCAAGCTGGAGAGGCTGCTAATTCAGGTTTGTGGCAATATCACGGTTTTAACGACACAGAACAGTAGGTAGTGTTTGAAATCGTTCATTTATAAATAGATATAGGTACCTCTTTGGCAGTACAACTTAAAATGAAATTACGCCATTTTACATAAATGTATTTTTTAATATCGTTAATGGAAAAAAAATGGTAAAAAAGTCGGTGTCTCTTTAACGTTGAAAAGGTATAGCTACAATTATTATGAATGTTAATTATAAATGTTTCAGCTTATGACTCAAAAATTCCTAGCAAAAACAGTAATGTTGGAAAGCAGTGTAATGAAGGAAACTAATATAGTGAAAAACAACCGTCAAGTGCAGTGGAATAATAGTGACATAACCAATGTTTTAGTGAACTGTCAAAAAGTTCGTTTAAATTAAATTTAAGGAAAGAAATATAGATAATTGTTTAGTACTCTAGTGGTTCAGATCGTTATAATCTAAACTATAAAAATTAAGAGCCATAATGATTAAATCGTAACGAACATAACTTCACGACATCAAAACACGTTACATAAAACAATTATGGCTCATAATTTTGTATGATGACTCTGTAAATTTCCAGAATTAATTTAGGTGATGTCGGTGATGGAAAAAACATAATCATAAAATTTACAATTACAATATATAAATACTAATGTTTTCAAAAGTAATACTTAGAGTGAAATGGAAAAAGATTTTGAATATGACAGATCTATTACGATGTTACACATCTCGTTACTTACAAATGTTGCACCTAATTAGACATTAGATATCGGAAATACACAATTGATTTAAATCAAAGAAATAGATTGACATACATTTTAATGTCGTCGTGTTTTTCCACGTTTCGTAACGCCGATTAACGAAATAAGGACAATGACCACAGATAAGGATGACATGAATAATTTTTGACTATAAATAAATTATAGAATAATAATTTTATTTTATAAGCAGGTGAATATGTTTCTTGCTTCAAAGTAGTGTTTAATACATAATATCAATTGAAAAATATTTATACTTTGATACCCTTTTTAATATTTTAAAATAGTCTTAGAATACCTATAACTTATTGAGTTGATTTTATTGCAGAACTTGTGTGTTCATATTCTTGTGTTTCATGTTCTTATAGAAGAGATGGCGATAAATATTCAATTAAAAAAAAAAATATTGTCTAACTAAATCAACGTTATTAGGCTTTTACAAGTTAGTTATAAAAAAGAAAAAGTTAGTTATAAAAATATTCTTCTAGCTGCTGAAATGAAGCAATCTGCCATTGACGCCCTCGACAAGGAGCTATCAAAGGTCACCTTGGCTGCTGGAGAAGCTAAAGACGCAGCTGCCAAAGCCGTAGCCGACGGCAAAAAGGTCGTCGATACTACAAAAGGTAAGTTGGGGCGCGTAGAGCAATGAAACATATAGACGGCGCTCTTCTTCAGCAAGGTAAACTTTATTGTCTTGCAACAGATGGCGCTAAGTTAAACTTTTATTTATGTTCAAGATATTATATTATTTTTAAACGTATTTGCTATTAGTAGATCACTTGTAGTATATTGTATTGCTTTGATTTAAACTTTTAAGTCTTTCGTTAATTATTATTTTTAATGTTGCTATTTTAAATTTTTATTTGTTTTAATTTTTTTCTTAGATACCCTAGCTACAACAGTAGATAATACAAAGAAAGCCGCAGAATCAGCGATAAACACGGCTAAAGGTAAGTGATCAATCTTTAAATCTACAGATTATACAAGGTTGCATAAAAATAGCCAATTTTTTCAGCGTAAATATTTGAACATAGTAGATAGATAATGCAAAAAAAGTACTTACCAAAAAGACTTAAAGCTGGTTATAACACAAAAGTATAGATTCTTTTTTATATTAAGTTTATTAAATTAAGTTCCATTCAACATAATTAAATTAATTAAAACATTTAGGCTCTATTCAAATACGTTTGTTGCTATAAGCCGGCAACGTGACTAGTATGTGTTTGCTCTATCCACACGGAATGGCCCTGAAAATTTTAGCGCATTTTTAATGTAACCTTGTTTACCACATACGAGGTGATTGAAAACAAAGCATGTTTTAGATACTGTCAGTAGCACAGTAGACAGTACTAAGAGCGCAGCGCAATCTGCTTTAGAAACAGGAAAAGGTTACGCTGTTGGGGCTAAAGGTATTTAAACATTTTTCATTGAGATTTATTAAATTTAAAATGGTTAGTCTCATTGTATATAGGTCTATGTTATTCGAATTAGTTGTTTTGAATTCGGAATAGTTCTCAATTTATTTTTTTTTCTTTTTTTAGCTTCTAGTATTAAATAGTCATTAGGACAGTGATCGTATTTTTAGTTAATATTTTTCACATTTCTAAAATGTACTTTTATAAAATAAAAAAAGACTAAATAAAAATTTCATAAATCTCATGCATGTTCTGCTTCTTTCTCTTGAATATCTATATCTCATTTTGCTTTTTAATTTTCTATATCTCATATGAAATAAGCACAGTTTATTTTTTAGTAACGTAATTTTTTAAAGTTTTTTTTTATAATTAAACTTCAATATTGCAATTTCATTGTATACTGTTAGATACTTGAAAATTAAATTAAATATAATTTAACATTAAATTATCAACGAATCTTAGGCATGGTCAAAACTTTATTAGCAACGGAAAAATACTCTAGTACGTGCGAAGGTTATATCGTCCATAAATCTTCAAGGTGAATCAATGTTTAACTTGGTTTCATTATAGAGACAATAGGTGGCGCCGTGCTAAATACAGTAACTATGTCAAACGAAAACAGCGACTCGCTTCTAGATACGACTAAGCAATATGTTGCTGGCGCTAAAGGTAATTTTAAGTTCATTTTTGAAACTTAACTTAGGCGTTACGAACGAATATTCTCAAAAGGATTAGAAAACTAAATGATATACAATTATTACGCAAATCAACTCTCTTACAGTATAGATTCTAGAATCGTTTTACATTTTAGATTCCGTGCAAGCGGTTTTCGAAACGGGCAGACAACGAGTAGGTGGGGTAAAAGGTATAAATGGAAAATTTACATTGTTTTGATACAAAATAAGAAGTGTTAAAGATATCTAACATTAGCTTATGGTTTAACAGTTGAGGCTGAGTCTCCGAAAAGTTACTTAGATAGCGCAAAAGGTATCAAACATGTTTTTAACGTGGCGTTTGATTACTAATATAGTAGTTATAAACGCGTCTATGTATTTTAGATACATTCTCGGGAACGGTAAATGCTGTTCAGTCTACTGCGCAATCGGCGTACGATTCTAGCAAAAGCTATTTGGGCGGTGCTCAAGGTAATAACAACGAAGAAATAACCATTTAATACGATAAATATAAGATAAAACGTGAAAACCATCACTATATAGAGTTTCAATTTTCAGTAGAGAAGAATATCGATGCTAACGAATCGAAAAGTTATTTAGACAGCGCCAAAGGTACGAGATTATGTTTTGAACCTTCCCTTAACAGACATTTTCCAAATCGTTAAAAATATAATTATATTTTAGATTCGATAATAAATACGGCAGAAAACGCACAAAGTGCTGTTGAGGATGTCTTTGAAAAGGGAAGACAGCGAGTAGGAGGGGGGAAAGGTAATAATATACTACATAGAAATAGTAGTTATATCGCGTTATAAGATAGTAATGTTTCCGTTTATTTAACAGTTGCGGCTACCGATGCTCCGAAAAGTTATTTAGAGAGCGCAAAAGGTATCAAGCATTTGTATTGTGGCGTACTTATAACAACAATATATTTTTTTATAGTTTTATACTAATAATGTGTCTGCGATTAAGTCTATAATGTTAAGATTGTTGTCTACGTATTTTAGATACATTATCGGGAACAGTTAATGCTGTACAGTCCACCGCGCAATCAGCTTACGATTCTAGCAAAACCTACTTAGACGGTGCTCAAGGTAAAAGGGAATGAAAGCTTAATTTTGAGAATACATACATTTTACACCTATACTGTATTGCGTATTCTTTTGCAGTAGAGGACAAAAGCAACGATGAATCGAAAACTTATTTTGATAGTGCAAAAGGTAGGACTGTTTGTTGTGGGCGTAAAATCGAAAAGACAAAAAATAATATTCAAAAGTTACCGGTTTATATTTTAGATTCGATAATAAACACAGCCGAAAATGCACAAAGTGCTGTTGAAGATGTTTTTGAGAAGGGAAAACAGCGAGTAGGAGGGGGAAAAGGTACCTAATATAAGAGTTACGAATATTAGAAATGAAGTAATATTTATTGCGTTGTAAGATAGAATTTCATGATCTTTTTATTTAACAGTTGCGGCGAATGACACTCCGAAAAGTTATCTTAATAGCGCGAAAGGTATCTTAAGAATTTAGATCTATTAAATCGTGTTCATATTAAAAGGAACTTTTAATAAAATTGTATTGAATCCCTGATGTTTTAGATACTTTGTCAGGAACAGTTAACACTGTACAATCTACAGCTCAATCGGCTTACAATACGAGCAAAAGTTATTTAGGCGGTGCTAAAGGTAATATTATAACCATATTAGATAAATAATAGTTAAACATAGTTTAAAATTCTCGAGAAATCGTCCATGTATATTAATAATGTAATTGTCTCCTATAGTCGACGAGAGTGACATCGCCGAAGAATCTAAAAGTTACTTAGATAGCGCGAAAGGTAAAAAAGTGGTTCGTATGTGTGTGATATGTTGTCCAACTTATAACATTTACAATAAAAATACTATATCTTTTAGACTCGATTATAAACAAAGCAGAAAATGCCCAAAACGCTGTAGAAGACGTTTTTGAAAAGGGAAAAATACGAGTAGGTGGGGGAAAAGGTAACATACTGTTACGAATTTAAAAATAATATTTTATCGATAACTTTTATATATTATTTGAAATCCTATTTATTTAACAGTTGCGGGAAACGACACCACTAAAAGTTATTTAGATAGCGCAAAAGGTACTTTTTATGTTTTTAAGTACTATTAACGATTCATGAATCTATCTACTAAAAATTAATGACATATATGTATGTATATTTTAGATACTGTGTCAGGAACGGTTAGCGCTGTACAGTCTACAGCTCAATCGGCTTATGACACAAGCAAAAGTTACTTAGGAGGTGCTAAAGGTAATAAAGAAAAGGATAATAATAAATTGTATAAGACTGCGGCTATTTTAGTCAATTAGGTTTTATTTGCAGTAGAGGAGAATGTTGATGAAACAAAAAGTTACTTCGATAGTGCGAAAGGTACAAAGTATTTTATACGTTTTCAAAACCTTTTTTTATGAAAGATTTAATTTTGACCCGTAAATATAACCCATATTATAGATTTAATGATAAACACCGCAGAAAATGCACAAAACGCTGTAGAAGATGTCTTTGAAAAGGGGAAGAAACGAGTGGGAGGAAAAGGTAACATGCTAAGCATGCAATATACAAATCGAAAAATATCGCGTAAAAAAACAACTAACTATTCTCTTATTCAACAGTTGAGGCAAAAGACGCATCCAAAAGTTACTTAGATAGCGCAAAAGGTACGGATAATAACTATAAACACGAAGGTGTCGTTATTAATAAGTTATTGAAAATGTTAATTCTAAAATTTTAGATACCGTATCCGGAACCGTAAATGTTGCACAGACAGCGGCCAAATCCGTTTATGATACCGGTAAAAGTTACTTAGGTGGTTCAAAAGGTAATAGTGACAGTATCATTCAGATTTCAAAATGTAGCAAGAACTTAAAATAATTTATAATTTTATACAGATGAGGAGAATACAAAATCAGATGAGAATAAAAGCTATGTAGATAGTGCGAAAGGTATTGAAATACTCGTGTGTGCTGTGATAACTTTGACAATTTTTTAATCATCTACAATATGTATCGGTTTTTTATGATTCGAATTTTAAATTTTAGATGCAATAATAAACACAGCAGAAAATGCTCAAAACGCCGTAGAGGATATTTTTGAGAAGGGAAAAAAGCGAGTAGGAGGAGGCAAAGGTAAAGAGCTATATAATTTGATATCGCTGCAGCGGATTGTTCTATATGATAGCAACGATTAAAATTCTATTTCTTCATCTTACAGTCGAGGCTAATGATGCTCCTAAAAGTTACTTAGATACCGCAAAAGGTACTGAAAGTCCATGTGTGTGTGTGAAATCTACTTTGACGTGCTAACGTATGTCTTATAAGTGCGGAAAACTAAAATCCTAACTACATGTTGAAAGTTTGTGACCTGAGTTTAATATTTCATCGGCTATATTTTTATTGAAATCAAAGTGTAGCTGTTTATATTCTGTAGATACAGTTGCGAGTACAGTAGACTCGACAAAAAAAGCTGCTCAAGGCACGTTAGACACTGGTCTGTCATACGTGGATTCTGCAAAAGGTAGAAACAATGATAGACACATCCCTTCTTTTATACACTAAGTATTAATTCGAGTATCGTTTCAATATTGTAGATACTATTACGGAAACGTTCCAAAGCTCTGACGATAAAGAAGCCGAGAAATCTGAATCAAAAGAAGACAAATCTTATATAGCATCAGTTAAAGGTATAATAAAGGGACTTTTTACTGATTTCTTTAAGAAGTTATTAACAATTCAAACGATATTCGTTGAAGCTGTTGTTAATATGACACAAACAGCTATCGAAAAGGGGAAATCTTATGCCACTGACTCTAAAGGTAGACTTGGTAATTCACGTTTTAAACCTTATACTGTAGGTGAATAAAATGAACATCATTTGTCATTTTTAGATACACTGTCGAGTACAGTTGATACGGTACAAGATACCGCGCAATCGGTTATAGATAGTGGTAAAAACTTTTTAGGAGCTGGAGGTAATTTCATAAAAAACTAAATTCTTAAATACGGTTTGACGTGATTGATAGTTAAAATTAATATGTCTTTAAGATGAAGCCGAGGAAAAGAAAAGCGATAATGTTGACGAAACAAAAAGTGTTCTAGACAGCGCCAAAGGTATAGACGATTCTGAAATGTCTGTGCCGTTTTGTGTTAATTTTATGTAATGTCTTAGTATAGGTGTACATATGTTGCCAATATTGTGTTGTTCCTTCAGCTGAAAATAAGCTTATTTGCGCAAACAGATTTTTCTAAAAACACATTTTTTTCGATAATTCTGCCATGACAAGTAGTTTACTGAAAGTGCTTATTTTATATAGGTATTTTGTTAAATTTAACATTGGTGAAGGAATATTTTATGAGAAAAGGGTGGTGGTTGATCCTATTATAAAATAATAATGATGTAATCGTTAAGTTCACTAACAATTCATAGTATTTAAATATAAAAAATACAATTTGATAAATAAATGTATACTTTATAGACACCAAACCAAAACCGCTGCTCAGACAGTTGTAGATACCGGAAAATCATACGGCACTAGTGCTAAAGGTATTGTTAAAAAATTGACCAAACTTCCAATTGCTTAAAATTCAGGCAATTTTCGAAATAAAATATGCTGTTATTTTAGATACATTATCGAGTACGGTAGACGCAGCGCATAAAACCGCTCAAACAGCTATCGATACAGGCAAAAGTTATGTAGGCGTCGCTAAAGGTAATAATTATACTGAAAATTTGACACTTCCTATTAAATCTAAAATAACTAATGAATTATTACATTTTGAAGATACCGTTGCGGAGAATAAGAACTTAGGTGTCGAAACGGGCAAAAGTTACATAGATTCAGCTAAAGGTATCGCATTTATAACCCGGCGTTGTTTTAGTGTGTTATTAACACTGTGTATTTCAATGCTTAGTGAGTCAAGATAGACTTTTAAAGCTATTAGACAAAATATTATTGTTATATGTGTTTTCATTCCTCACTCGTTTTTTTTAGCTTCTGTGTTAATTGTTGTTGTGGCTGTGCAAATAGAAATTATATTTTTTATTTTCTTTTTCTATAATGTTTTCTTTTTAAATTTAGAAACTGTAGCGAGTACCGTAGATAGTACAAAGAAAGCCGCACAAAGCACGATGGAAACGGGAAAATCTTACGTCGACTCTGCGAAAGGTAATTTCGTGGCGTAATAATGCTGTAACGCTCGTTGTGCTAAGCTTTAACTCATCAACCATTTGCCCTTATAGAATCAGTCCAAAGCACAATAAAGACCACTGTAGACACAAGTAAAAGCACTGCCGAAAGTGTACTTGAGACCGGAAAGGGTTACATTGATACAGCTAAAGGTAAACTTTTAGATAGTTCGTATGTGACATTATTTAAATGTGTACTACTCGCGTAAACTATAGCAGTGTTTATTTGCTTATTTAATTTTGTATTACTTCTGTAGAAACTGTCACAAATACAGTAGACTCAACGAAAAAAGCCGCAACTTCCGTTGTCGATACTGGAGTTTCATACGTTGGTGCGGCTAAAGGTATAAATAAAAGTTTACAAAAATTATCATCTTTGTAACTCAGTTTTTACAATACTCATATCCATTATAAACAATTTTTAGATACTGTGACTAATACCGTTCAAAGTACATTGGAAGCAACTAAAAGTGTAGCTCAAAGCGCAGTAGAAAAAGGCACATCACTAGTAGGCTCAGCTAAAGGTATATTTCCGTTGGTTTCCGATCGAAGATTCGGCTAGAACGCAGATAAGAAAAATTAGAGCTACCTATTCTTTCTTTATTATCATCGATATAGCTGTCAAATACGCTGTGTAACCCTTTCTTCACATATTAGTTTGCCGCTGTCGAGACAACTTTACTCTAAGATTAGATTGTAACATTTTTTTCAAAATGATCTGTAGCTTCGGCCGGACTCCAACGTTCATGAGCTTATTAATGTTTATTTTATGATTCATTTCAAACATCTTCACGTTCGCTTTTAGAAACTGTTGCAAACGCCGTAGACACATCTAAAAATGTTGCACAAACTACGGTAGATAAAGGCACATCATTGTTAGGCACTGCCAAAGGTATATGTGCTTTTGATGTATGTTTATTATTTTCCTTTATTTTCGAATAATTGATTTATCATCTTTTAAATTGTAGACACAGTAGCAAGCACGGTAGATTCTACCAAAAATGCTGCTACTTCAGCCGCTGACAAAGGCTTAGGCTTGTTTAGCAGTGCTAAAGGTATTATTTTTTTAAGTTTTTCCATGCGTATTATTTGTAATTATATTCCTTAAAAATATTTATTATTGTAGATACTGTAGCCAATTCAGTTAGTTCTACAGTAGATACGACAAAATCAGTTGCGACATCCGCGTATGATAAAGGAACTTCTTATGTTAATACCGCCAAAGGTAAAACAAAAGAAACATCGAATTTTTTTATTATATGTTTTTCTTACTACATATTGTTTATTTCGCTTTTAGATACGGTCGCTAGTACTTTAGATAGCACTAAAAATGCCGCAGCTTCAGCTGTTGATCAAGGAGTGTCTTTAGTAGGCAGTGCTAAAGGTAGATTTCATTTATTTATATTGTTTCCTGTTTTATTTATTAAACTTAATGTTTTCGTTTGTTTTTGTTCACCCTGAAATTGTTTTATTGTGGGCTTGTTTTATTCATTTTATTGTTGTCCATTATAGATTCAGTTACAAACACATTGTCTAGTACAGTAGATGCTAGTAAAAATGTGGCTTCATCTGTTTACGAAAAAGGTTCATCATTAGTAGGAGCTGCTAAAGGTAGTTCATTAGTTCACGCTATATTCGTATTTTATCTTATTGATAGTTTAAACATACCCACCAATAATTTCTTTTTGACGGTATTTTTTAAGCGCATAGATAGAGCCAAATTATAGCCTCTCTATTAAGACTGTAGATAAAATAAATAACATTTTCAAGTTAAAAGTCTCAACGATATATATATTTGTAATCACAATTTTATATTTAAAAAATGTATTATCGAGCTGCAAAGAAATTAATTAGATAGATAATAAGTAGATTTCATAATGCACTTAGCACCAATTTTCACAAACTTCTTTTAGATACAGTAACGAACACAGTGCAAAGCACAGTAGATACCACTAAGAACGTAGCGGGTGCTGTTTACGATAAGAGCGCTTCTTTAGTAACTGGTGCGAAAGGTAACTCTTTTTTTGGTTTATTATTTTCTATTCTTTATTTCTTCATTTGTTTGCATGTGGTAATCTTAAAAATTCTTGTAGATACTATTTCAAATGTGGTGGGAGGATCGGAGAGCAATGCTGGTAATTATAACTTTATCTATTAACAGCTACGGTGGAAGGTAAGATTGGTGTGGTGCTTCTTGCGGTGTTGGTACCTATAAAAATGGTGGCTAAATATCCAATGGACTATTAAGCCTAAGTGTTAACTGTGTGTAAAATTTTCGTCCAATCTTTAGAACGCTATCGTGCATCAGTGTGTTACGACGAAAATGTCGTGTATATTAATGTTTTTATGTTTTGTAACTAAATACCGCAACTAACATTGTCCGATAGATACTATTAACGCAACAGTAGATAACACTAAGAAGGCAGCTGAAGAGGCAAAAGAAAAGGCCAGAGTGGCTGCTGAGGCTGCTAAAGAAGAAGCTAAACGTGCTGCTGAAGCAGCTAAAGAGGAGGCTAAGAGAGCTGCCAGTGAGTATGGAAGTGTGAAGATTTAGAAAAGCTACGAAATATAACGCTTTGCTTATTAAGTGTTTTTTTTGTTGCTACTGTATTGTGAAGCAAGAACTGGGAATTTTAAAGGTTCTGAACTTATGTACCCATCATCATAAACGTGTGGCTGAACATGATGTTATAATTGGTATAATTTTTCATTAAACTTAAGTAACAATTATAGATGAATACTAACTACGACGCGATGGATCGCAATTGGTTAAAAGCGGCCATGACATATTTTTAAACAAGTTTTGCTATTCGCGTGGTGTATTTAAGAATACAAACTACATCTTATTAACTCTGTTTGCTTTTTTAATTTTTTTTTTATTTTAACAGGTCTTTTTCATTGTACATAATAATTATTACCATATTTACACCTTTAACAAAATAGATGCCGCAGTAGAAGAATCTAAGAAAGCAGCCGAAAAGGCAGCGGCCGACGCCTCCAACGCTGTAGACAGCACGCTGAAGAGGGTTGAAAACGCAGCTGATGAAGGCATCAAGAACGCCGGAGAAGTCGTCGACGGAAAGATCAAAGATGCTGACAAGTATCTTAACGAGAAGAGAGAAACTGTAAGTATACTGAATGTTATACTATAACATTGAAAGTTTAAGCTAAGCTACTGAAGCTGCTAGCTTTAATTATATAATATATATTATACTTGCCACTACTAAATGTACTCTTTGCTATAGATTGTATAAAAGTCCATTCAGATTTATAAAAACGTTATTAAAACCTAAATAAATAGTCTGTCTGTGTGAAATCCCGTTCCCCCCTCACGGGGCATGGGGCCAACACATTTCTGTGTCCGTTTCACTGATCCCTTCTTTAACAGGCAAGTTGATCAGACTTCTATGCCCTGCCTGGCCGAAAGAATTTTTTGTTTCCCTGGGATTGGAACCCAGGAGATTTCGCGCTTATCGCAATGGCATTACGTTTAACCATTTGGCTACAGAGGCGGTAAATAAATAGTGATTTTACATAATTTATTATTTGTTTTCAGCTGGTTTCAAACTTGTCATCAAAGGCAAAAGAGGGCGCTGACGGCGCAGCTGGTCTTCTGAGCAAGGGCCTCGGAGGATTCTCTAAGTAGAGCACCATCGAAAACAATACATCCTATTCTTAACCTTTCTGCGATAACCGTTTGGGAAACTAACAAACATTTTGTACATTATTTATAACAATATCCTACTATATTTTTATACATGACGTAAATATATTAACGAAAAAATAAAGTCGAACTAAATACAGAGTTAGGCATGAATAATTTCAAGACAATTATTATACAAAAAATACAATATAAAAATACGTTGGTTTCCCCCTTTGTCTCAATTTATTTTAATTCTTTTCTAGTAATCTCCTAGCTATTATTGTTTTAATTTTAGTCTTAGTTTTTAAGTGAGGATTCGTTCTCCTAACAAAATATATCGTACAAATATTTCACACAATCGAGTCAATTTATGATTTTTAATAATCGCATTTTTAATCGCATTTCTGACAGTTCTCATGCTTGGCTTACATGATACCGTCCAAAATGCCTTTACAGTTTTCAGATTCAGCGTACAAATACTTAATTTTAAGTGACGATTATCAAAGCAATGACTAAGCAGTAAGCTTACATATTATATTATTCTTTCTGCTTTAGCAGTACACTTTTAACTTAAGTTTATTTTATTGTGCTTGGATGTTGCAAGTTTCATTCGCAATTTTATAAAATTATCTGACTTTCGAAAATGTATATTCTATGCTATGTTGCCAGATTTTATGTATTTTATTTCCTGTTAAAATTATACTTGTATGTCACTATAATGACTATAAAAGATTATTTAAGATTTCTTGTTATACGTATACAAATTATTTCAATGTATTTTAGGTATATATTATGTTGTTGAATAAATTCATCATCGCCTATTCCGTTTTATTTACCAATTTTTCGATATTAGTTGCTGATAAATAGGAACGATTGGTATTAAAATAATTAAAACAAATATGAAATTTATGTTATTTAATGTGTGTATTATTTGTTGTGCCCTTATTATTTTTTTATTTTCAATTTCGTGGACGCAGAGAAGAAGAGTGATATCTGTATGTTCTTTATCTTACGACCCAAATTGTAAATAAGGTAATCGACTGTCACCACCAGAAGCATCGAATAACAGTATAAGTAGCGGCACGGATCTTTAGCGCTAAACGAATCTTGCGCAGAAGTAAAAAAAAAAGTATCAAAGTGTGCGCGAGCGTCGATTGGTTCCCCACTAGTGGTGTGTTTTTCGGACCAATACGAAGCTCCGCTTGCTTCTCGAGTGCAGTCACGTTCAGAAAGTTTTGAATTACGTTAATATTGAGTTCTGTTTAAATTGTTAAACCTTGGTTGTTAAGTTTCTTGTTTCTTTTTTGTAAAATTAAAAGTTTAGACAACCCAAAACATTTAGTAATCAATTTGTCCATTCAGCATTATATATGATCATAAAATTACTTTAAGGTCACAATTATAATAACAAATAAATATATAATCGTTTTTGCGCGATCGCACCGATGCGGGTGGGGGGGGGGGGGGGGGGGGGGGGGGGGGGGGGGGGGGGGGGGGGGGGGGGGGGGGGGGGGGGGGGGGGGGGGGGGGGGGGGGGGGGGGGGGGGGGGGGTTTTTTTTTTGGGGGGGGGGGTTTTTGTTTTGGGGGGGGGGGGGGGGGGGGGGGGGGGGGGGGGGGGGGGGGGGGGGGGGGGGGGGGGGGGGGGGGGGGGGGGGGGGGGGGGGGGGGGGGGGGGGGGGGGGGGGGGGGGGGGGGGGGGGGGGGGGGGGGGGGGGGTGGGGGGTTTTTGTGGGGGGGGGGGGTGGGGGGGGGGGGGGGGGGGGGGGGGGGGGGGGGGGGGGGGGGGGGGGGGGGGGGGGGGGGGGGGGGGGGGGGGGGGGGGGGGGGGGGGGGGGGGGGGGGGGGGGGGGGGGGGGGGGGGGGGGGGGGGGGGGGGGGGGGGGGGATTTTGGGGGGTGGGGGAGGGGGGGGGGGGGGGGGTGGGGGGGGGGGGGGGGGGGGGGGGGGTGGGGGGGGGGGGGGGGGGGGGGGGGGGGGGGGGGGGGGGGGGGGGGGGGGGGGGGGGCTATACTTCAAGTTTGACATTGACAATAATGCAGGGCTTACCCAACACGATTGGGTACATAAATAATCGATTGTCTTAGACAATTTATCGATATTTTTTAATCGTTTATTTCTGGATTCAAATAAATTTTAATGGGCTTGTCATTGGACTGTCTAGTATGTTAGAATTTAAATCGTTCTAACATTTTAGACTTCTTCTGGAAAATTTAATCTTTAAATGGTGCTAGGAAATTAAATCCGGGTCGCGAATCCCGTTTACAGATAGAAAAGACGTAACGTATAAGTCCGCGTTTCGAACTCAGCCTGTTTAAGGATTTTTAAATAACCAGAAGCATGTCAGCAGCAGAAGCATGTAGACCATGTTGTTTAGACATAGCGTATCTTGATTTAAGACTCGGGTAATAAAATCATTTGACTTTTTATAATGTGAGTCCCATGTTTTTTGTTAGTTTGCATTACGAAAAAAATCGAGACTTCGATGTCCGGTGGTAACAGATAAAGAAACAGTATGAATAAATCGTTTTTTTTTCTATAATCGATATTGAATCGATTATGGTCGATTCTTCTTTAACATCCCTATTTTCAGTCAAAATATAGAGTTAGTAAAAGTAGAAGATGGCTTTACTAACAAAAACTCCATTTTCCTTTCTTAGAAATGCAGTTATCTCTACATCAATTAGGACGATATCAACGACGAAACAATTGAATATCAAAGAAAGTACGTACTAGAGTATTAAACTTACCTTTTGTTACTATAAATATAACCTAACTTTTTATTTATATTTTTTTCAGTACGTGAACATAAAGATGGGAATAAGTTAATTGTGGAAGGTGTGACAGTACCCTCACCCCGAATGGAGTTATTGGTGAAGTCGGAGAAAGTTGCGGAAGAAGTTCTCAGTGTCGAAAAACCAACATGTTATTTGTGCAAGTTGGATTTGGATGTGAAGCATACAGATGTATTGATATTAAGTCAGTTCGTTAGAAGCGACGGCTGCATGTTACCTCGAAGGGTAACTGGGCTATGTCGCAGGCAGCAGAAGAAAGTCAGTAAAATGGTAACAATGGCACAGAAAGCAGGTATGTACTTCATTGTTTAATGGTTTCAACCAATTTGTTTCTGAAACATTTATATTTATTGTTATTGCAATAAATTTAATATTATTGAAATTAATAATATTTAAATGGGGTCAGTGTTTTGTCCTGTATATCAGCTATTGATTTTAGTATAGGACAGATTTGTTGGTAAAATGGTAGCTATAATGTATAGCTAATAGTCAATCCCCATGGGTCCGACATGTTTCTTATTAATTTTTCTAAAACGTATTGTAATTCAGGACCCCTAGATATAAAATCAGGTGGTAGGAATTTTGAAATTACATGTCTTCACGTCAACATGGTTCATTACATTAACAAAAGGAACTATGGTATTTTAAGACTAAAGGTCTTAAAATACACATGTGTACACTTATTGAATGTAATTTTTTTTGCAGGTTTGATGATTAACTTAACACCATCTTACTGTAAGAAAGACCCAAAGCTAAGGTATGCATACAAGAAATTCAATACATACTTTGATGAGAAGACCATATTTATGAAAAGAATTCCGGACCAAAGGGACAAATTTAAGCGATAATACAATGTATAAGTGTAGATAATTAAATTGGCTAGTTATAAAACACATGGTAGCAATACCTTTATTTAAAAAAGTCTAATTTATTAAAGATGATAATCTCTGGTTAGCTGAATGCTGGAAATTTGCAATACTGATTTACTTAAAAATATGAGAGAAAAAAGATAATACTATAACAGCGCATACAACATTCTGCTTTGGTGAGGCAAAGATTCTAACTAGCACCTCAAATGTCAAAATTATGAAGCAGTTTAAGAACGACACTTACAGTTTTTAATACAATGTAGGCACAAAAAAAATATTTATTAAACATATGATTAAGTAATAATAAGATAATTATATCGCAATAGGTATATTCTGTGATGGCAAATAATTTTTTGGCTGGCCAAGGCAGTAATGGATGAATAGTCTACTTTTCTAGAACAATTGTATTTATCTTTTAGTTCTTCTAGTAATATTAGTTGTTAGTTATTATGGATAGGAGGCAATACTATATTGGAAATAATTTATGTCTTTGGATCTGGAACCACAAACATTATCTCTTTATGCAATAAGAATATGGATTTAGTCTTTCCTTAAAGCAGTATCATATTTCCTTCCAATAATTTTGACTTTTGGAAACAAAAACTTTATTCCTGAATGTACTTGTAATTAAGGAACGCACCAAATTTTATTTCTTATTATTTTAACCACTGTTTTTTATGTAATAATTCATCTGGTTATGTGTAAACCTAACCTTCAGTTGAATGGTGTCGTTCTTAGACAGCTTCTAGGTTTTGCCGCTGGAGGCGCGCTAGTAACATCTTTTGCATCATAACGGACACTAATTGTATGTACTGTATTATTATATACTATATAGTTAGGCCCAGGTTATTAAAAAATCTTTTTAATAAGACAATAATTTATTCGTTGTTTTTACATATAGAAATTACCTATTTAGATATTTTTGACAATAAGCTTCACACATATCTAATGACTAATACAGTTTTCAATAGGAATCAAAATATTGCTTTAGTTTTTGCAATAAAATGCAACAAAAATAGTTTAACATTGGTTAAACTTAGACTTGCAAATATCCTATTTTTTCTTACGCTATGTCGAAAGCATTATATGTTAATTTTTAAAGAGAGCATGCTTAGTTATTAGCTTAAAAGTTGAAAATAACGGAGTTTACATAACTAGTATCCGACTGAGGTGCGACTTTGGCCCAAGGCAATGGCTGACTCAATTATGATAAATTTGATCAACTATGGATAAAGACTTCTTGTGTCACGTAACCTAGTCCTAATAGTCATATTAGTATATGTGATGTCAAAATATAATTAAAATACTGATAACGTTCGCGTTCGCGTTTGTTTTGGTTTTTGTAAGTTATTTTTTATACAGCTCTACCGAAAACACTCTGATATCCGAAGCCGAACCTTCGGTCGGACGCTAGTTATATTAACAATATGCAAACCACAGATAAAATGCATAATACACATATTGAACGAAACATATAACACCAAGTTTTCCTTTGTCGTAAAGGCATAGAGTAATAAACAAAAATAAAAACGTCTTATTTGGGGCAAAATACAAAACCTAAATAGCTGTTCTATTGCAAAACATTTCCTTTAAAAGGTTACAATCATTCTTAAATGAATGCAGTTCTCGCGTATTATGATTACATATACACAACAAAAGCCAAAGGAAATAAATATATTTTCTATCGGATGACATCATCCATATAGAACCTTTCACAAAAATGTTTTTGAGAAATCGCTCTAAAATTACATGAAAAATAAAATCAATTCCTGAAACAAGACACTTATTCGGGATCTTTGCATAAGAAGCCTTTACACATCGAGAGGTTTTGAACCAAGTCCGTAAAACTAGCGCAGTCTGAGACATCGCAGATGTGTGGTCGGCGTGTGGCCAACGGGTGAACATCAGACACGCTCGTAGAGGTACAGGTAGCCGAGATCTTTGGGCGGGTTCTCTGATAGAGCGACCTGAAGGAGAGAAAATGTATATTTAAAGAAAATGATGACGTAGTTGATCACACTTCTGTGCCCTGCCTATTTTTTGTTGCCTCGGGATTCGAATCCAAACGTTTAACCATTTAGCTACATTTATTATAATCCTATTAATTTACCTTATTATCGTTGAATATGACCCATCTCCCTTCGTGTAGGATATGACAGACATAGTGTCCCACCATTGTGGAAGTGCCCATGTGCGATATAAAGGCTACAAGCTTGTATTCTGTAAAGATAAGAAAAACCATTAACGGATTTCTGTTTCTGTGCAAGAGGTTTCACATCTATAAATGTACATTTGACAAAATTAAAAAGCAAGAAAAAATAAACATTCTATAACAAATATTAATCTTATTTGTAAATAGATTCTAATAACATCCTAACGAAAATCTCAATAAGTTATTTCAAAAACACAATTTATGTTTTTCTACAATAAAGGAGTAGAGACGAGCCTGGGGATTTGCGCGAAGGAAGGTGAAATATCCTAGCCATATAATATTAAAACAAGTTGAGCTGTCGACCTTTGGATATTCGGACCGGCTTAGTATATTCGGAAATCTATAGACTGAAACCGAAACGCGATTAACTTCACGGCTTTTAATCTGTGGTCTAGTTCGTGACCGGGGCGGAATTTCGATATTCCTACCGCCCTCTTAATATCCAGATTTCCAGACGAAGTCTAACATGTTTCAGAAAAATTATAAATTCCTTACAAACATGTTGAGAATTAACTCACGCAATAGACACACACGAGCCCGCCAAAATACAATAAATTCTATAAATTAAAAATCGATTGAGGTACCGTTTCATCGTGTACCGTTACAATGTATTCTTTCAAAACTTACTCTCCGATCCATCTCTGCAACCGAGACTGCGATCTTGCGCTGCGGGGGCGGGTTCTTCATCTACATCGAGCTGTTCAGCCCGACTAAATATCCAGTCCAGGGCTCGGCCCACGTCACCGCCGGTCGCTTGGAGCGCTTTAGCCGCTTGACTCGGTGTGAAACCCATGCCTGTTATCTGCTCCACACTTGCTGGGTCCACAGCGACAGCACATGCATCTAAGGTTAAAACAGATAATATTAAATATTTAAGAAGTAAGCATCACGAGTTATTTAATATACAATTCATTGTATTGATATATATGTTGTTTTAAAGTTACTACTAAAAATGCAATATATGTCAGCTAAACATCCGGCTCCAGAGGATCATTTGAAAAACCAAATATTTTTCCCGTACCCCAATACGTGATAGATATCAAATATATTTTAATTATTAATATCCTAATATAATAAAAATAACCCACTTATAACGGTTTGAAACGATTGTTTTTTTATTTAAATGTCGTTGTTGAATGGGTCAAGTACCAATAATAAGTTACCTGCTGGCTTAGAGCCGGGAGGCTCAAACTTGTTAGCAAAGTCCCAATCTGTCATGTGTTCCATCAGCCATTCTGAAGCCGCCTCCATACTGGAGTTATTTGTGTAGTAAAGAGCCTTTTTGCACGCTTCTACTGGGAAACCCATGTCCAACTGTGAAATTTGTACTATTGTTAGAATGTCCTTCATATATAATTATATTAAGGAACAAATTTAATTTCTATTATTTTAATATCCATTGAGTTGCTTGGATATGAAATATGAACTACAGTTTTCAAATACGCATTTTGAACGAAACATATAAAACCATTTTAAACATATTTTATTTTATTATTTATTTTATTAATTTAACATTTACTTACCAACTTCGCCATTAAACTTTCGTCATAAACAGGCGCAGGTGCGTCAGATGCGGCTTCCGGTAATAAAGTCTCGCCAGGCTGCAGACCATGACCACGTAAGCTGCTTAGATCTACCTGAAAATATTATATAATTGGTCTTTTTACTTTTGATATTCTAGAAATAAATTACATATTGAGGCACTCAAAAAATCTGGCGTTTACTACCTACGATTAGTTTTTGTTCGTTAAAAGTGATCAACAAATTTTGTATCATTTGATAAACGAAGCTCTGTTACAACAATTATTGTCCTGAAGAGATTTTATTCTATAATGTCTCACCTCCCAGGGCATGTCGACGGCTACATCTAGTTTGGCGGGTGTCCAGTCCTCTTTGATCGTGAATTTCTTAAGCTGGATTAACAGGTAGTCCGGGAAGGTAGCTAACCGCGTGATTCTATACGAAATCGTAAAATTAAAAAAAACAAACGAAAACATAATTTAATTAATATTTTAATATCGATTCGCTTGCAAATCGATGCATATATTAAGGCACTACTTACTTCCTAGCTGTAACCTTTTTGTTTAGTGCGGAGCTGAAGAACTGTTCAACCGCCTCCTCTTTCATAAAGCTTTCCAAACATGCCTGGAACGGGATCATGGGGCGGACCATATGCGATGGATCTCTGGAATTAAATGTAGAATTTAAGTTATAAACGATACATTTAAAGAATATTTATAACTGGAAATCTAGTTTCTCGTTGGACTGACTGTAGTTTACTGCATATTTAGTGGTGCGATATTGTAACACAAAACTAAGTACATGAGCCACTTTCACCCATAAAGTACTTATCTACGAATCTTCAATTTAACTTTATGTAGGAGGAATGTCCATTTCAGGCAAAAAAGGACAATAAACTGTGTATTGTTGTCCATTTTTGGCTCAGTAATATATGTATATATGTAAGCTGAGTCGGCGACTTCGTCCGCATAAAAATTTTGGGTATCAAAATTTGTTTTAGCAAACCATTATTGCTGTACACAACGTCCACTGCGTCCCGTCATTTTTGCAAGTTAATTTTAAAAGGTAGACATATAGTGTTGCAGACATTTTTTAGATCATTTAAAGAGAAACATTTTCTGACATATGTTTGACACCTTTAACCGTTTTTGCAGGGTGCGCAAGGAAAACCCACAAATTTCCCCTTACTTTTCCGTGTCTTCTCGCTCCTATTAGTCGCAATGCATTTTATACCCTTCTTCAAATAAAGTCTAACCAACACAAAACAATTTTTTCAGCTTTCGAACCAGTAGTTCGTAAGATTTGTAAGTTAATTAAGTTAGGGTTCAAATAATCAATCAAACTCTTGATTTATATATTGGTATAGATGAGGATGCAAATCTCAATCCTACATAAACCCCTAAAACTCACAGCCTCTGCCCACTCGCTTCAGCCTGCGCCCGCCTCGCCTCGTACTCTCGCACCTGCGCCGCGTTCGTCGCAGCCACGATGGGCACGGGCAACGGCAGGTGGTGCTCTGCCCTCCGCGTGTACCGCACGCCGAGAGACTCGCTACATTGCAACCGTTCCTCCACCCCAAATTTGAGACAGTCAGAGGGGTTTGGTTTATGACGACTGTTGCGCTGGAAGTAATTAAAATTGAACAGTTCAGTAGATTTCTGTGTTACTTTACCTAGGAAGTTTAAATACTGTCTGTAGTCTACGCAAGTAGTAACATTTAAATAGACCACTTTGACGGTTTTATACGCCAAATATATTGTTTAAACTTATTTAAAACTATTTTAACTACAGTCTCCCGTGACCACGGCTGTAGTTAGGATAATTTTTAACCTACCTATCTAAAGTTTACCTAATATATTTCGCGTGTTAACTTTTTAAGTGTTTTATTTAAATAGGACGTTTAAATTGTTTTTATTAAGTCTATTTAATCATAATATATTTAGGCTTCAGTCCTGGAAAGGCCGTACCGAGTTTGATCAATGGTATATGTTATAAATAGCAACTTAAAATAAAAAATAGGCCGTTACCCAAATACCTCTAAAAGTGTGAGGAAGTGCAGGAAAAACTCGTGCGCATCCTGCTGGCGTTTTGTCATGAACTCCGGATGACCTTTTCCAATGAGCTGGCGATACATGTGAGGTGAAATGCCCTGCTGACTGCCATCTACCTCGCCGGGGAACGAATAACGACCGGATATAAGACCGACACCAACTTTAGCCCTGAAAGAACACAATTTATATGCTTTATATTTGAGTAGAACGAGGAAATACAACCTCATTATAGAAGGTAGAGAGTTAAGTAATTTATCAGTTTAAAAATCTAAATTTAAGTTCATGATACTTGATGAGTCATAAAGATAAGAACTTCACAATTAAATAATCAAAGTATATTAAAATTGATTTTGAGGCAAGTAAAAGAAAACAATTTAAAATATTATTATTTATATTTTGTACGAGCGTTTGCTATAATTATTTATACATACGTTTGGACGTTGAAATCATTGACTGGATCTTCAGGGAAAGTCGAGAAAATTTCCGGGGCACCTTCCACGAAGCGCCTAACAAAGTCTGGCATTCTGAACATGACCTAAGAAAACAAAGACCTTCTTACTTTGTCTTAATATCTTACGAAAACCGCAACGAACCCGGCTTCAAGGACGAAAAAATTTTACGAGAAAAATTGACTATGGTCCTTCAAACCGGTCACTCTATTAAGAAAAGAAATATATTGTCTATAGTTTACGCGAGTGGTACACATTTAAATAAAACACTTTAACGGTTTAAAACGCGATATATTAGTTAAACTTATTTGAAAATGATTTTTAGCTTCGGCCCGACGTTTCGGATGCTTTGCAGCAGCCGTGGTCACTACGAATAAGTTTAACTACTATATCACGTATAACCACATGAATAAGTTTAACTAATATATCGCGTTTTAAACCGTTAAAGTGTTTTATTTAAAAGAAATATATTTAATTTTAAGTATCTGGTAACTATTAAGTTGTCTCTTTACACAGTAAATATTACAGCATTCACTTACCTGTAGCACACTGTTGATATAGCACGAATTGCCCAAATTATTGAGACCTGTAAGAGCCGGTCCGTGCAACGGCCGCAGTTCACTCCCGCTCTCTTGAAGAGTGTTCCATTCACCGGTCCTTCGGTTCAGCTCTAACTCTAATTCAACCATTGACTTCTCTGTCTGAAAACAATACATATATCCGGTTTTCTTGTGTTGAAGATGAAAAAAGTGTACCTCAAATTATAAATTATGTAAAACTACCATTTTTTTTTTTAATTTCTATGTTGTACCATATTCACCTTCTGCAATTGTTGAACATTGATGCCAAAGTGTTTTAAATGATTAGCCAAATATGGATCTTCAACCATGTCGTCTTCGGCGTATGAGAAAACGTCGCCTTTGCCTTCCGCCGTAATAGTTCCCAGTTTCACCGCTAGAGGGTAGCCTGTTTCACGATAATGCTCCACCTATGTAAAAAATACTGTTACTAGGCAACTATTTAATAAAACAATCGAAAATAGTTAATCTTTTAAAACCAAATAAGTACAGAATATAAAATAGGAAGTAATGTCAAATCCTATCTAACTAATCATCCAACTGTTTCTGACGTAATGAAACTTACAGCATGATCGTTTCCACCGGAGCCATCGAAGAATCGCCTTCCACAAAGTATAGATCCATCTGTGAGATTCAGCCACAGGTTATTAGTGAGATCACATTTCTGACATTTCCAGCCAGAGGGTGGGATCTTGATGCCATTGTCTAGCTGCTGCAGGTCTACAGCGTGGCTTGAGAGGAAAAATACAATTAATAAGTAAATGTATATGCGTAGCAAAAGTTTGCTTATAAATTTCTATCATATTATTAATTATATCTACAGTAATTACAACAACTAATTTAAATATATATTTGCTGCAAGTAACATGCCGCATACACTGAAATACAGTCGCCTACCACACAATAAATCTTTATAAATATAAATATGATCCTTTCTAGCACCACCTACCTATAGTCCTTTTATTTTTTGTTTTTCCTTCACTTCAGGTTGCTGAAGAGATCGCTGTTTAGGATAAGGCCGCCTTTTGTTATGTACTACTAAGAATTTATTTTTAAACATTTTGTGTTTTGTAACTAATAAAGTTAATAAATAAATAAATATATAATAAATACTTACACAGAAACTTCTCGTTTTTCTCCATCCCAAGTACCATGTAAGGCGGCCATCTCAGCTATTTTGAACGGCGATTCTGCGTCTAGTATGCCTTGGACGGACTTTTTGATCTGTAACAAAATAATCACAGTAGATACTTATTCAACTTTGAATAACAGCAATTGAGAAATTGTTCTTGACGTTACATAATGGCCGCGAAAACTTTACAGTTTATTATTAGAAAGGCATTATCTTAGATCAAATATTAACAGAACAAAAGACCCATCCCAGGAGTGAAACAATACAAGCTTGTAATTACCACTTCCGGCAAAGCGTCATTAGGCCACGGAAAGCTCTGGAAGCCTGGCAACACTACAATATTGTAATGGTCTGTGTACGTGTACTTCGCTTTACCACATTCTGGGTCAAAGCCACCTTCAACACCTATCGCTAACCGGGTGATTTTCTTCTCTGGGCCATCGCCAGTCTGTTCGGGTTCTGGGATCTGAAAATGTTTATGTATTATGATGCGAGTTTAAAATAATAGATAAGAATTTTTATAATTAATAATGTATATGTAACATAAATTAAAAATCTAATTTTAAAAACAAATGATGAGATAGATATGATTTGATCCAAATCTGGCAATGTTATATTATTCTAAATTTATATAATGCCAGTATGTGAAAACAAGTAAAAAATAATAGTGTTCACGTAATATTTTACTTACAGGTTTCTTTTCTCGGGCAATGTGTAAAAAGACAGCATTTCCTGTTTTCTGGTAGTACTGCTCCACGTAGTTTCGACCAAAGCCAAGAAAAGATGTTAGAGATACATATAGGCCTGTTTCTGATTCCTGAAAAGTAAAATATAATAATGAGCCTAATACCTAAACAACTTTTTAGATAGACTCTAAGGGTGGCCTTAAAAAGTAATCATTTTTTAAATCCAGTCTTTAATTAACCTTCAGCTCAACCCTTATTAAGCTTAAGCTTAGCCTTAATTACAAAAGCTTAAAGTGTCTAAGATGGAAATTAAAGGTTTATCCATTTGTAAAATATTAATGATCAAATGTCTTATAAAGTTATAAGGACTAGACTATAATAGTAAGGGCAGGCATATTCCTGTGTCTGTTTTCATATTGATTAAACTATATAATATTCTAAGTATTAAGAATTGTTTTAAAATATTATTAAAAACAGAAACCCCCCCACGGCATAGCAACAAAGTGTAATGACAATGTGTTCTAAAGAAAAGTTCAATTTAATGACTGGAACCCTCATAATTTGCATAATGATAACAGGTATCACCAACAAGGAAATTTAAAATATAGGGGCTAACTGTTGACATATTTAGTGACACTTTCAAACTGGCAACATGTTTGAAATGGTAGATTTATATTTGGGCATTTTCCTAGTTGTAAGTGGTTTTGGTATTGCCTTGATTAACTTAAGGAGTGTGTTAACAGCAAAAGGAAAGGTCTATAATGTGTTGCTATCTGAGAATATTGTTCTCATGTGTATTGGACTTGCATTTCTTTGCCGTGCTATATATTCCCTACAACCAATGAATATGGGTATGGAAGAATTTGAAGAGCGGATGATAAGTTCTACTCAATTCGGCATATTACCATGTGGTTTTCCATCTCTAGTCTTAAGTTACGGGCCTTTAACTGTATCTATGGTAAATAGTTTCCTGAGTCTAGTTATTGACAACTATATGCACTATCAATTTCTCGCTGAAGAGAGTGTTGAAGGAAATGCAGTAGAAGATTTGAGAGAAACAGACAGAGCTCTTAGAGTGAACTCTATTATTGGATTTCTTAAACGTAATTTGTCATATATCACAATTATAGTACAATGGTTAATACCAATTATAACCGCTTTAAGCATGTATCCATTAAATATTCAAGAAGTGTCTATGAGAGAAATGCGAAGTTTGCAGGACAGTTGTGTATCAGTCTTAGATTTGAATAAATGCTCTGTAAATTATACCATACCTATATTAGATTATATAGAAACTCCAGATTATATGTTAAATGATTATAAGCACCCTAACAAATCTGAAGAGATAGATAGTGTTTTGAATAACGTCTTCAAAATACTAAACAACTATAACCATACAGATTTAGTATATGCACAAACAAAAACAGTCAGGATACCGAAATCTAATGATTGCATGAAAATTTGTCTAACAGACAATAGAAACATCCTTTTATACATGTTTATAATAGCTTGTATATGCTTTTTTATACCTGTCACAGTCTCAACAGTGATTTTAACAAGAATACACACAATGGAAATTAAGAAAAATAATATTAAGCGGTATATTTCCAGAGATATTCTGTATAATTTAATATTCTGGTCACCAGTAATGTTTGATACATTTTTCTCACTCCTACTCTGCTCCTTCTCTACGCAGAGCACGAGAACATCACTGTTTAATACAATAGCAAATATGTATCAGGTTGTCAAGAATTTTATAAACACAAAACGTTATAGAGATAATGTTATTGTTCCAGTTTGACTGTTAATAATGTATGTATTAAAAATATAAGCGAAATTTGGTTAATTGTTTTTCTTATTATTGTCTACATAAAAATCAAATTTTCAAGAAATATAAATGTGTTTAATTGAATTTTCAGCCTATGTTGGAAAACAAAGAGGTTACAAAACAAAATGCAACTCACCGGGTTATCGAACGAATAAACACATTCATCCTTGTAAATCAACTGCTGAGATGTCGGTATTTTTATTTTTGATAAATGCGGTGTTAGGAGCTCTAAAGATGCCATTTTTATTTTTACTGTCCAATTTATCAAACCGTTTTAATTAAATTCTTAGAAAAAGAGAAATATAATTTCTTATTTTCTTAGTTATTCGGCTAAAATAGTTGACACTTGACAGTGTCCGTGAGTTTTTTGTTGGTCTGGTAAGAGCCCTTTTAACCCAAGTCACCATAGCCATACATTTTTATGTACAAGATACAGAAAAAAAAAGAAATATAAATTAGTGCATATATAAATTAAATTTTCGTGTTTGTGTGAATTCACATTACATTTTATTAATTTAACGTTCTTAACACAATACAAAAAGAGTATCGATATAGTCTGTGGTAAAAAGTGCTGTCAGTCTCAAATAGTTGCTGTTGTCTGTCATTTGATATTGGCATATTACAAAAGTTGTTTTTGAAATTTTAACCAAATAAGAACTTTGTACCTGTTCAAAGTGTAACTTTTTTATAACAGATACTAACTTGCAATAAACATCCCTATTGGACCGTTATTATCTTTGCAGATAATTTTTATCATCTTCCTATGCTAACAAGTAAACTGGCGTAACAGTAAGGAAATAGGTTCATTGTTATCGCTGTGTTATTATTAACTAACTTGCTAACATCACGAATAAAACATGAGCTTAAAATTATATTATGATCTTATGTCCCAACCTTCAAGGGCTATGTACATTTTATTAAAAACATCTAAGTGCAATTTTGAATCCAAGTTAGTAAATCTTCGCCAAGGTAAATAATAACTTATTACACTAAAATATTGTATCCCTTAATATTTAGTTTTAATTTTTGTTGTGTGTAGGTGAGCACTACACAGAGGAATATGAGGCTATTAATAGGTTCAAAAAGGTACCTGTTATAGACCACAATGGCTTTTTACTAAGTGAGAGGTTGTACATATACTTACCTAGTTATTTGTATATAAAGGAGTTTATAAACTAACATTAAATATATTACAGTGTGGCTATAGTAAAATATTTGTCACGTGAAAATATTATACCAAGAATTCTGTACCCTGAAGATAGCAAATCACAAGCGAGGGTAGATGAATATTTGGAATGGCAACACATTGGTTTGAGACTGCATTGTTCCATGTTTTTCAGGGTTGCGGTAAGATAGTTTTCATAATATCTATTCAAACCATATTTTTTTAGCCTTATGAATATTTCTTTGAATATGCTTATTCATGAGTAGAAGTTATTCTTTCCTTTCTAGTACCTCAATCCAGTATTTTTTGACACAACTCCAGATCCAAAGCAAGTCCAGAGTTACAAGAAAAGGATGTTAAATGCTCTAGAGGAGTTTAATAGTCTTTGGTTGGGACACAATGAATTTGTGACAGGCAATACAATAAATGTAGCTGATTTATTTGCAGCCGTGGAGTTGGAACAACCAAGTAAGATATACACACAATGGTTTCATTCTCAGTCTGAAAGTATATATTTCATTCTTTTAACGATATATTTATCACAAGATAATCTCGCGTCGTATAACTTGACCTAAGAGAAAAAAATCTTTAGGTTTCAATTGAATTACCTGGATGTTTGATTATGTTACTAATATTATGTATAAAATAGAATACACAGTTTTGATATCATTATAAATTTTTTGTCACTATTTCTATGAAATACTGTGTGAAAATTCTCAATTGGCTAATAGAGGATCACCTCTGTAGCTAAATGGTTAAACGTGTTGCCTAGCATCGCGTTAAGCGCGATAGGTCCTGGGTTCGAATCCGGAGAAACAGTAAATTGTTTTGGTCGGGCAGGACACAGAAGTCTGATCAATTACTAGCCTGTAAATGGAACCAATCAGTAAAACGGACACAGAAATGTGATCGCCCTATGCCCCACGAGGGGAAACGGGAGTTCACAATACAGGTTAATAGAGGTAACAATGAATTATATGAAATGGAATATTCTTGTATATTTATTGCATAATTAAGATTCTTATGCTAAGGTAACTTTTAAGGTTACTATACCTTTACTATATTTTTTAATAAATACAATTAATTCTTCAGCATCATTGCATCATATCTTATATAGAAGATGAAAATAACCATAATATCTTTTTTAATCAGGAATGGCAGGCTTCGACCCGGCGGAAAAATACCCAAATATCGCGACATGGTGGCCTAAAGTTAGACAGCACTTCAACCCGTACTACGATGAGGCTCATGTTATTTTGAATAAGATAGTTAAGAAAAATGTGTCGAAGTTATAAAAGTCTTGCTTTTGTAATAAAGTCTACAAACCAGTTGAGAGTGTAAGACAAAATAGTTTTTTTATAACTACCCGCGCTAAATATTTTTAGTATAGTGTAATACAATTTTACGGCACGGTATATTTTATAATTATTTACAATTGTCGAAAGAAAATTTACATACATATCGTAACTATCTATAATAACTTCTTATTAAATATAATACATTAATGTAAGTACTGGGATTTATAATATGTTATAGTTACTTAATTGTAAGTTGTATTTTTTTACGGGATTTATGAGATTTACAATATATGATGTATTTTTATTAAATGTTGTTCAAATGTATTTCGTGAGTTTAATTTCTAGTCGCCTTACTAATATTTAACTTATTGTGTATTTGACTTCTTCATTTAAGACTAACCAATACTGCAAAAGGGGTAGTTCAATTGGCTAGTGTAGCACGGATCGCTGTGGATGTCGGTTCAAGTTCCGCCTAAGTCATCGAGTTCTTTAAATATAAAGATTCTGACGTTATTTTGGCACTATGTCCTTCAAAAACTCTTGTACAACTCATGTGATATTAGCAAAACACAACAACATTAACTCGGAGAAAATAAATTAAACATTTTGATTTCAAAGCTCCCTTTCCTAAAGCATTGAGGTTATTCGTATCGTGATGTTTTATGTTGAAGGATAACAACATCCCAGATATATTGTTGTGTGAAATCTCCCACGTGGGGCATGGGGCGAACACATTTCTGTGTCCGTTTCACTGATCCGTTCTTAAAAGGCAAGTAGTTGATCAGACTTCTGTGCCCTGCCTGACCGAAACAATTTTTTGTTTCCCTGGGATTCGAACCCAGGACTTCTCGCGCTTAACGCAATGCTAGGCAATACGTTTAACCATTTGGCTATAGAGGCGGCCAGATATATTGACTACTACTATAATAAATCAGACCAATACTTTCCAAGATAAATTTTAAATCTGTTTGAATTGAAAAAAATAAATACAACACATGGCATGGTTAGTTAACGCGGATTTCGGTTTAAGCCGATTGTGTCGAGTTAATCTAAATCGAGTTAATTTATATAATAGGTATCCTTATATATAACTGCTAAATCTGATGGTAGACACCACTGTCTTTATATCCCTTTAACTGCCCACGAAACCTCATATACTATCAACCGATTAGCTAATAAAAACTGAAGGCTTGTTCATTGTAATACTTATATATTATTTAAGTAATAGTACTGAAGCCCTTCGATTTTTGTAATTTTTTAAAACATTTTGTAAAAGTTAACGTTAGGTATGCCATAAAGGATGCTGAAATACTCGGAGTACAATCGAATAATTAAATCAATTATTAATTAATTAATATTAAGTAAATGATGAAAAATTTTGCAAATATGTGAAAAAGAGGCTTATTTTTAATAAAACATCTTTAACGGTTTAAAACGCGAATAAATTAGTTAAACTATTTTTACTATTACATTTTTTTTAACGTCAAAACATCCGAAACGTTCAGATGTTAAAAAAATTGTAAATAAGTTAACTCATAAGTATAGTTTGCGGTTGAACCGTTAGAAGTGTTTTATTTAAATGTGTACTATTCGTGGAAAGTACAGGCAATACTTAAGACGTGTATTGCAATAAAGTCTAATTTCCAATTTCAGGCTGTTACCGCATCTAAATACGTAAGTTATCGTCTAAGCTTATATATGCATCCTTTGAACTTCCTATTAGTATCCTTTGAACGTACAGGAAATTCCTATTTGGGCTGAAGCTTGATCAGTGACGTAACTGCATATGATAAGCAGCCCGGGCCTCAAATCTTATAGGGCCCTCTAACATCGTCTTTTAAAAGTATCGTAAGAGAAAAGATAAAATAGGAGTTTTTTTTTTAACTTTCTAAAATTAACTTATCTAATTTCGGAGGCTCTTATAAAAAAAGCTTTAAGAAAAGAGGGAATGAGGGCCCTATTCTTTTCTTTAATTAATTTAAATCCTTTCCACCTAGCTACGCTACTGAGCGTGATATGTTTTGAATAAGCTCACTGCAATAGCGAATTAGTGCCTTCAAATTTGTGTTATTGATACAAATGATTACTAGAACAACTAACCTATTTCAATAATACATTGCATAGACTGAAACAAAGGGATTTCAGAAGATATTGTTCTAGTCAAATTTAATTATGAGAGTTATTGTTGCATAAGCGTGTTCTAGATAAACAGAATCAACAAGGACTCTAGAACAACACATTTATGCGTCTATTTCATTAATTTTCCAGTAGAGAATTTCCCGTACTTAATAAGAACTAAAGTCTAAGCCGGAATTTATTACGAAAAATCATTTCTTATAATGCCAAAAAATTATATAAAGTAACCTATTGAGTAGGTATATTATACTTACATTTGTCTTTTTATGTGTCGGCATTTTTTTTGTAGGATACCTGAAATGAAACGCGTATTGGTATTGAACGTCTATCTACCCATACATGTAATGGGGACAACGATGTAAAACAATTAAACGATTGTCCGCTATTTTGAATGATTTCATTTCATTTCTCTTACAGCTGGAAGGCATTTCCGATAAATGCAATTTATCAACCGATACCGTAATCCAAATTGTATTAAACCCTATGAAATTTCAAGAACAAAAGAAATTTTCGTAGGGTGGGTGGGGTGAGCTGGGCGTGGTCAGCCATTGGGCGTGGCATGCGATACCGCCCTCATGCGGATTTTATTTTCAAAGAATTTTCACCCTGTACACTATTTCATTATAACAAACCGATTACAGAATATTCTCGATAAGTTATAGAAATGGGGTGGTGCCATAGACTAAACTATAAACAAATGCAGAAACAGTAAAGTATGCAAATTTTAAAACACTTGTAAATTGTTAAAATGGCGTAATGTATTATACTCGATACGGTATTTATAAATTACTTATCTTATACTTTTCGCCCAATTATATCTAAATTATTGAAGGCGTTATAGAATTAGGTTATTTATTTCTGATAACGAAAGAATGAATACACATAATATGAGTTATGTCGTTAAGCTATAAGTGGGCTGAAAGCATTAATCAATATTAAGTCGTCGTTCTGACAAAAGAAAAAATTCAATTAGGAAACCAGTACAAATATCTTTTCACCTACTTGACGGAGCCGGGCTGGCTAATAAGACTTTTATACTTACTTATTACCACTCTCATTAGTTATCTATTAGTTTTTCTAAATCCAATATTAGCACAATAAAATAAATTCTAAATGTAACTTTGTTTAATAAAAATGGCGGCAATTATTAGTTGCCAGAAACATAAAAAAAGATTTAATTATGGCCGCGCTCAAATTAGTTCTAAATTAAATTTTTTTAAATATATGATTCTGAAAACGGCGGCAGATTTTTCTCTGGGATTTTATTGATCAAATGATTTCGGCCGTAGAAATTAATGGGGTGGAATATTTATACAAAATTTTATCCTCATTCCTACGCGATTCGTTGCTATGGTATTATCGCTAGTAATTAGCCTTGTTGGATGTTGCCATGTCCATATTATCAAGGTGAATTCCTGTTCCAGGTAATATTGTATTAAATTAAAAAAGTATTTCACGAACACGGGTTGCCACTATCTAAATAAAAAAAGTGTTTTATTTTCTCGTTTGACGGATAACTTCTTTAATGTTTAATCTCTTTGTTATTCGCTTTAAGTGAAGGTAAACCTAAAAATAAACTAGATAAAGTTAAAGTGTACTAAATAAAATTGATTTTACAAATAACCTAAATTAATAAAGTGCTTTACAAATGATAAGCCAATATATAACATCATTTTTCAGATGACTTATATTTTATTCTGTCACGGAAGCTTTAAAAAAATCGACCAAAGAGTTGCAACGCATCAGGAAATCCTTTTAAAACTAGTAACTGCACATTGACGGACGTCCATCGTAATAGGGTTGGGAACCATAAAAAGGATATTCAATTATCGGCATACGAGCGAAAAGCACAAAGATCATTTTACTGTAGATGTTTTAAGTGTAAAGTTATAAAAACCATTAGTTTATTGTAGTTTAAGTGAACGGCATCATTGAGATGATTAAAAATTATTTATAAAAATTTCAAATCACAACGCAGAGGATGAAAGAATTTCTAAGATTTATATACACGAGGATAAATAGTATATTTTAATATGTTTATACATTTTATACCAAATTTTTTTAAATTGCGTAAAGATTATTTCTATTTACATCATCATAGTAATTTTACAAAACATTTTTAATGTTCCAGTACGTTAACTTTGAATTTCGAAATAAAAGAAAAGTCCTCAAACAGACGAGGTTAGAAACTTTCCCGCCTTTGTGCTAAACTTCTAGATGACAGCGATTTGAAAGTTCGAAAATTGAAATTTAAAAAAGTTTGTTACTAGCCAGTGGGCATCCCTGTGTCATGTTTATAGTCTATGTAAGTTGAGTGGGTGGAAGGGTTAGGGGCAGCCCCCCTGAAATCTGGGATGCAGCGCTACAGGTTGGGTGCCAAAACTGCGTCATCTCTCCCTAGATGCAGCTATAAAAGGTGAATTTGCCCAGGTTCCCGCCAGTCTAGCATCGCTCCTCGTAATAAGAACAAGTTTGATTTCCTCTTTAATTGTACGAAGTTACTTTTGCCAGTGCTAAAATGTAATACTCTTTAAACTATGATAATTAGAGGCTCCGATTGCATTTGTCGGGTCTATTGTTTTAAACTTCTTAAAGTTCTCCGTAAACGTCTGTTTTCCTGCCTGCGGCCAAGAATTCTTATTTACACCGAGTACTTCTACAATGACTTCTAAACAGGGTAAGTAATTTCTTTTATCTTGTGTATTTTTTTTGTTTGAGTTAAGTTTTTATTATTTAATGTTAAAATAAATATTTGTATGTATATTTTGCATTTTTCATTTAATTAAACTTTTTTATTTAAAAGCCATTTTATTGTATTTTTCTTTAATCTATACATTTATTTTTATTTTTAAAATAAATGC